CCTAGCAAAATGTCCCTAATTGCACACTGCATGGTGTAAGGTATTGCCCGCCTTCATGAGCCCAGTTAGATCGGAACAGTAGGATGTAAAACTCCATTCGTTTAATTTCCTTTTAAGTGAGTCAACATGCCAACTGCAATGAATGTTGTCCTTCACATGCATCCGTGCATTTATTTAATATTGTCTGTAGATACTCGCTCCATTTTTTTTGACTACATGTATATAGCCTTTTCAGATCTACTTATACAAATAAAACGTGATTTTTGACCCTTCACAAAAGAAAAATGTAGGCTATACATGTACTGTACTATTGCAACTAGACTACCTATATTTCAGTTTAAACTGAAAGATAATAACCCTATTTCGACATACGCGTGACTTATTTTCCAACCCTTTATTCATTAATATATTACAAGTCCTACACAATCTTCAATTGGCTTTAAGCAGGCTACACGAATACCGGTACAATGACTGTTAAGCCCATATTTGAAACTATAACAATTACGTATACATCTGTATAATAATTCTGAAATTGACCATATATCTATATGCCGCTACACGTGGTTAATCAAGCATAACTTTAGTAAATTAATCATAAATAAATGATAGGCCTTAAAAAAACTTCAAAGCATGCCGTTGTCTTTTTATTCAAAGAAGCGGAATTCGATAAGACACCGTCTGTGAATATTGCATGAGTTCTTTTCTTATCAGGAACCATTATGAGCCATTTTCAATTAGAGTAAAAACCAATTAAGGGAGAATTGAGAATTAGAACATACGGCACCGACACACCTGGTGAGATATCCATGAAAATACTTTCTATTGGGATTCGAACTCCTGACTTAGTGCGAGGTTGATGGTAATGGAACTTCCATATAATAGCTGACCCCACCCCTTCCTTTAAGGGCGATATCGAGACCTATGCATATTATTAGCAGTGCCGTTTTCGCGCCATATTATACTTCCGGTTGGTGCAGTTGGTCGTTAGGGATTTTATACCGACCCCTCCCTTTCATACTCGGCTCCACTGTTTAATTTAATAATAATTGTTCAGAATTGTAAGAAAATATGAAAATGTATGACCTTTGTAAAGATATTCTGATCGTATCGATATGAATTATTGATTTTTAACAATGTTCAATAGACCAGCTGGTGTTTCGATAGTAACATCGGATGTAGGGCTATTCGATACCATCTCACAATTTTTAATACAGTAAATATCAGTTTACTTTTGAGATGAAGAGTTTAAGTTCTGAATCCTGTCAGGGTTCCTGAAAAGAGGGGAAGGGCTGTGTGTGCTGTGGTTGAGGGGGGGGGGGGGGAATTGGTATTGAAGCCCGTAAATGCTTTACTCAGACCGTATACTGTGCGATAATACTATTTTCTTGCCCTATATTTTGGTGTAAGCAGTCGAAAAATAATGAATGAGGGATAGATTGTGGGGGTTGGTTTTGTCTATTGATCTACGCTACACCTAGGTAGACTACTAGGTAATACGACCAAGCAACGTTGGCACTATAAGCTTGGACACATCAGCGCTGTATTTTCTTTCTTGGGATTCAAAATTGAAAGAAATCCGAGATCTCGACGCTGTGTTTCCACTCCAAGACGTTAACTAAGATTTAATTAGCTAATGGCGCATGGGTAAAAATAAAGCAGACGACATTCCAGCATGAATACTATCCTCCCAAAGTGATTCAGATAAATCCAGGATTACAAAATAATCGATCTTAAACTTTATTTAACCATTTCCCGACATCGGATGCCATTTTTATAGAAATTATAGAAAAACTATAACGCACAGAATGCAGAATAGGACGTGCAACTCCATTATTCTATTTTTGGTGATATTGAACGATTATGTATTTCATTAGTCCAATAAGATACAGAACAGTAAGATATAAAACTCTATGTTATTTCATTAGTCCAGTAAGATACAGAACAGTAGGATATAAAACTCTATTTCATTTCATTAGTCCAATAAGGTACAGAACAGTAGGATATAAAACTCTATTTCATTTCATTAGTCCAATAAGATATAGAACAGTAGGATATAAAACTACATTTCATTTCATTAGTCTAATAAGATACAGAACAGTAGGATATAAAACTCTATTTCATTTCATTAGTCCAATTACATTTCATTTCGTAAGCGTGCAGAAAATTGGGCGTAATACTTCATTATATTTGATTGCTGTTGACATTGATTGAATTTGGGAGTGAAAGCATTCTTTTATTTTAAAGAAATTATTGAAAATTTGTCGTTCTGTCTGACATGAGTAAGGCGTTAAATCTTTAAAACTTACCAGACGTTAAAACTTTTTGACAAGCTTTGTATCGATTTTGAAAATGAAATGACTCAGCGCTTATCGAGAAGTTTGAGATGCATAATTCGGCTAGAGATATGAGCGGTTCTTTTAAACCAGTTGGACGCAGGTTCTGGTCGCTCAATTCGACAAGACCACGAGAAACAGAGCACAAGTTACGCACAAAGAGTGAAATTTGTCGAAACCTCCCTTTTATATCCAATAATTCATAAACAATGTTTTAAAAACATAAGCAGAACTTATCGATCGAGGTTTATTTTTAGCAGAATTTTCTATAATCGTAAAGTTATTTCTATTTTTCCATTATTCATCATTATTGTCAGCCATCAAGGTGCTTTCTTATTGATCTCATTCTTTGTAACGTACAAGCTGATGAAATCGGTTAGTCAAGTTAAAGAAAACACTGACATCCTCTTTTCGGTTGGTCACGAGGATATTTAATGGATCATAGCGGTGTAATCGGGGCTGGGGGATGATAGTTGCGAGGTGATGGTTGGGAAGTGTTGGGGCGGGTATTTCTTTTAAGGAGCATTTCATCTCCAAAAACCTTGTAAGCGTTGTCATAGAAACATTAATATTATTTTTTGAGACAAGAGATTCTATCAACTCCATGGATCCGGGGGTAGGGATTGGAGTGGGTCTCCGGGGAAATCTAGGGTCTGAGGGGTGTTGTTTCCCTGGGAGATTTATTATTTCTGTAAGTCATGATTCAAGTTATCGTCTTTTGTTTTTTCCTCAGCGAAGGTGAAGGTTTTCTATTGTTAGTGTTCGGTGACGCTTATCGTCTCAAATATTAAAGATTTCACTGCAGTGGCCTAATTAGAATGAAATAAATCGGAGTTCAACTTCTTACGCTCGAACACGGAGCGCAATATTCTGGTTTTCTACTCCAATGCACAGTTTCAACTATTTACCTTGTCATTATCAGGTGAAAAAATGAACTACGCCTGCGGCAGATCGTATTTTCTGATTTTTGATTTTAATTTAGATTTCCAATATTTGAATGTTGTTGAACACTAGTTCATTGTTTTTTTATTATTTTTTTACTACTGATTTAATGAACCGTTTAAAATATTTATGACAAATGGCCAATATCATAGAATTGACGGCCCTGAGAACATTGGCTAGTCACAGGATTAACAAAATAAAATGAGTAGAGTTTTACTTCGGACTCTTCTGAACCTAATTGGGCTAATGAAGACGGGAAAAGCCTTGCAGTGTGCAATGAGAGCAATTTTGCCAGTATAGAAGCGTACCAATGTCGGTTGTTGTAATAGCTTGACAGGGTGAAGATGATAGCAAAGTAAAATGTTACAAACAATATTGTACCCAACACAAGTGCATTGATCTCCAATTACATTGTTGGAATGAAATGAAATGTTTTGATTCTATTACCTTTCTGTTCTAGGCTGATAAAATTGGGTCTAATATTTCTATTTTCATGTGGGTTGCTACTGTTGCTAGACAACAAAGTAGATAATTCAATGTTTACGTCTATATTTAATCCTTATTACGTCATTATTTCGTCATTATTGATCTTTTGAAGAATTTCGGTTGGTGAAATTCGCTTTTTGTCTTCGTGTTTTCTTCATTTTGTCAATCGATATTCTTCCCCGATTTAGGTAGCGCGAGGAAAACTTGGACCTATCCTAGGGACTAGGCAAAGCAAAAATTGGACGATTCCTTCAAAAATGCCTCAATTTGGCCGAGTCTCAAGAAGAGACAAGTCGATATTCTTACTTTCAAACGCGGATAATTCTAGACAAATTGCGCCAGCCGAACCATTTTGAAACCCAAACAGACGTGAAGTTGTATGATGTAACGAGGTGACCTTGAGTGAAAGAACAAAGGTCAGGTAGAAGAATACGCCTAAAGTCTACACACAAACATCAATATTGGTGATACAGAATGGCGTATTGACAGGCCTGTAGCTGATTGTGTGTGTTGGGGGGGGGGGGGGGGGGTAGGCCTTAGGCCCTTAGCTAGACGGGGGCCAACTATGCCCCCACTAAAAAAATTCAGGCCCATGGTCAAGTGACTGGTCTAGTAGGTCTACGACCGAATATGCAGCAATATTGATATTTAAGTCAAGTCAAATTATTAATTATCTCTTTTATTCGAGGTAGTGAAAATAAAGTTTGGATTCTCCAAAAATATTATTATAATATACCTCCCCCTTTCCCTAATTCTACGATCCACGACCAGCTCGAATCTCCCACAGAACACCTGAATATAATATCTGAAATTTCGCCATCTTTTATGCATAGCCTATATTTTACAGTGCGGCCTGATTAGCCTTAGTCCAAAAGTACAAAAAAAGTCGAAAGGAGTGTAAAGTGGCGAGTGCATGTCGTTTTGACATTTTAGTTTTGTGTATTCAGTTTTCAGCATCTTATGTTGTTGTACTAGTAAACATTGTATTTACCTGCTAGTCAGTAAGATACCGTATGTAACCTAATTTCTACATCGGTGTGTCAGTTGTAGTTCCAAGACCAACAGCCTGGATTTTAGGGTTTATTTCACTGAGGTAATAACCTTGTGATATACATCTATGGGTTTATTATAGAGTCTTTATTATTACCTCTATATGGTTAATTTGTGGAAGGGAAGTAACTCTGATGAGATTGTTGTCGCTAGGAGTTGTCCCCCTTTCTTCCCATAGCACACGTGAAAACAAACCAAGCTGCCACACTGAACTGTCGTAGCCCTGATTTCTTTTCATAAATTGTCCTACATATATTCCACCTCTATGACGCCGATAAAAATTTCATCATCAAGTAGTTTAGACGTCTGGTTCAAAAGTGTCTGTGATTCGAAATGGCATTTTTTAAAGACATAACAGTTGATCTGAAAACCCCAAATGCCATTGCCATTGTTCAATGGGTTGAAAAAAATGGTGACATTTGATGATACGTTCATACACCGAATTGCATACTGAAGTGTAACATATGTTTTAACGGGAAAAAACATATGTTTGAGTTTACGTTGATAGGCCAGTGTTAAATTTCTGGATGACAAGGCCATCTAGCCGAAATTTGAATACCGATACTACTGTAGTGGCAGTAGATAGGAGTAGGACCTACCCCGAATGACGGCGTGTCTCATCGTGTGTGAAAACCACGTGGAGTGAAAACTGTAATCTTAATCACAATCTTGCTGGTTTTCCTCATTTGTCGACAGAATTTTAATTCAGTGACAGTTTTCAAAATGGCTTCTCCAAAACTAAAAGCTAAGGGATCTTATGATATTGTGCATGAAAATGAAGCCATGAACGATGGCCCAAAAGCAGTGGAAAATAAGCAAGAGAAAATCGTGTTGAAACCTAAAATAACTCTTCTGAATGGAATAACTGTAATTGTTGGGAGCATCATTGGATCTGGAATTTTTGTGAGTCCCAAAGGAGTTATTGGAAATTGTGGCAGTGTGGGTCTGTCTTTGATAATTTGGCTGCTCTGCGGATTGTATTCCATGGTTGGTGCTTACTGTTATTCCGAACTTGGAACTTCCATTGTCAAGTCTGGAGCAGATTATGCTTACATTTTCGTAACTTTCGGACCATTTCTGGCGTTTTTACGAATCTGGGTAGAATGTGTGGTCGTACGCCCCTGCACCCTAGCGATTGTGGCCCTGACATTTGCGTATTATGTGATTGAGCCGTTGTTTCCAGACTGTGCCCAACCAGATGATGCTGTTCGACTTCTCGCTGCTTTGTGCATCAGTAAGTTTATATATAGGGAGGGAATTGGAATGGTCATGTATACAGGTCTTTGACTACCTTTTCACCTTTTAGGGCAGGGGATGTTGGTGGGCTTTTATTTCCAAAACTAGCTGTCCTGATGAGGATTGTGTATCTGAAACAGGTGGCAGCAGTTTGAGATTAGTTTAAGTCAGTGATAAGAACCAAATTAAATTGGTGACCTCTTTTTTCATCATCTTAACCTTATATTAACAGAACCTTAATTATGATCCTGGATTTCATCACCTTTTTGGTCACAATCACGTGCGAACATAATTTGATCTTAAACAAACAGGAATAATATCTACCTCTCTTTCCGCTTGGCCTTTGGTGAACCTCATATCTAAATTAGAGACCCAATATTTAATCCCCCTTATCTATGATGGTTGGTTTGCAGTGTCTTACTTGCCCTATCGAACCTTACTGTACTCTACCATGCTGTGGACCAGTGTGCTATTCTGATCATACTGTGCGGTTAGGTTGTAACATTGCTGTTAAGTAATGTTACAAAACCACGGGCACAGGCATGCAGTTAGTTTGCTTTGGGGTTATGTATGGCTTAGTACTATGCTATGCTATGTGTGATATGATGTAGGACAGAACTCTCTAATCTGCTATGAGGTCATACTGCAGCTGTGCTGTGCTAAAATGGAGAAGGTTAAGCTTAAGAAGCTATGCTGTATTGTACCATGCCTATACCTTGAACTCCAGTAGACTATTCTGTTGTACCGGTACTATGTGCTTCGCTATCTGCTAAATGCTATTCCTTTTACTACTGTGGCAAACCATTCACTCATAAGCTTCTCTACTTATAAGTTATCTCTTTACAAACTAAGTAACTGTACACCTCTAAACCTCTTGATGTATAATTGCTTTGAAACCTTAATCCCTTTTTCTGAATAGGGGTCAATTTTGATAAATGCTGTTCCAACTTAGAGGATATTTAGACATTTTTTAGATGATTTCTGTATCCTGACCTTCCTTGAAGAAAATCTGATAACTTTAAGATCTGATATGATTTAAAAGAAATATGGAATCGTAGGGACACTTCTTGTATGAGTACTTTATGTTTTTTTCTTGGAATCCTCTCTCAAAATAAAATCTGATGAAATCTGTCAAACTGAAGATATTAGTAAGAAAATAATGAGAATATGATGAAATTCAATTTACAGTAAATCTTACGATTTCATCATCGCTTAATCCCTCGTTATAGCGAGACAAAATACTACTTGATCTTTATAACCAATCAAAATTGATCTGGTCTTATATTGACGAGTTGATAACCAATGAAATTGATCCTCTCTTAGATTGTGTTGATAACCAATTAAAATTGATCTCTCTTGGAATAGCAAATAAAATTGATTTGCTTTTAGATTGGGGAGTTTTTTTTTAGGAATAGGAATATTACAAAATGTATTTTCAACAAATCTTGCTTTAAATAAAATGGAAACAGACTATTCCAGTGACCTGTAGGGATTTCTTTGTGCCCTCCCACACAACAGTCCCCACAATTACACACATTAATTAGTATAAATGTGAGATATCCTTCCAACTTTTCAATAACATGTTGACCAGGCACGTCAAGGGACAGGTTCTCTCTTGACCCCCACCCCCTAACACTGTAACACAACAACAAAAGTCTTCAAAGTTTTCATAATTTGTTCTAAACAAGCTGTCCAGACATGTCTATCCATTGGATCCCTAGGGACAAGTTACATTGCCTTATTCTCCTCTCTTGACTCCCGTACGCCTAACATCAAAAGTCTTACTTATCATAATTTGTTCAAAACAAGCTGTCCAGACATGTCTATCCATTGGACCCCTAGGGACAAGTTACATTGCTTTAAATTTAATCGGAAGTACTCTGGATAATGTCTGAGTGTAATGGCTGATTAAAATCTGTCCACTGTGAGTTAAAATCAATCATTATTAGCTAGTATTGCTGAGAATTCCACTTTAATAACATTAACAATGACACTTAGAGGTCAAGTTCACGTCCTGAAGGTCATTAGGTAACGCTTACTGTCAGTTGACTACAGAAAGATTTACTAGTACTTTGGGAAGTACTGTTTATTGTTAAACATTAGTACAATGGGAGCCTGTGACTTTTGGGTTCTTCGTGTTAATGGGGAATTATTCAGATTTTGTATATGAAATTTAAGATATAACTATTACATGCTTAGTTAAATAGACTTATTTCATGAACATAATATAAGACCTTGGAGGTTTCTATTCAATTCTTTAGTCAAGTTTTGATGGGGAAACTTTTTATAGGTCATTCTTGTCCAGGACACACATTTATACACACTGCACATTTTTGCTTACATGCTTTTAAATACAAAAGTCATTTAGACATTTGAAACAGACTTTGAAATACACCCAGTTTGTTTATTGGATTACGGCAGATCTCGTCTTTAGTAAACACACACACACTCTTGTGTTTTTAGCAGCAAACGACACACTTTTAAACACAATGGCGATGTAATCTTTTAGACATATGAAACACTTTAAAATACAATAAGCACACTCAATTTAAATTGAGTTTATTTATGTAAGGAGCAAACTCTTCAAATTGTCAGAATGTCATCTTGAAGGTCAAGAGATGATAACTTCAAAAAAAAACTTTAATACCTCTGAAGAAGAAACACTCTGCATTGTATAAATTTGAATTAATGAAAATGTTCATGAATAATTCAGTGCAAGAAGGAGAGTGTCATCAGGTGTCTGTACGTCTCTTGTAACTAGACCCTCAAAAGAACCCTCCCCCTTCCTAAGTGAGGTTTTGTGAGACCATGACCCTCCAGAAAGAAGCTGGCCCAGCATTGCCCACCCCTCCCCCACTTTGAATCCTTTTATTGTTGTACATAAAGAAAGAATTGCCTTTGAGCAGCCCCCCTTGGCTAGACTGAGCCCCCTCACCCAACTTGAATCTTAATTTTTTTGTTTTATATTTTCAGTGGTGCTAACGTTCGTCAATGCATACGATGTAAAACTTTCAACTAGAGTTCAAGATGTCTTTACCTACGCCAAGGTGTTAGCTTTAATATTAATCATATTGACAGGATTCGTTCAGCTTGGTCGAGGTTAGTACACAATTTAATCAAACATTATGATAAGGGTTTGGAACATTGTTACCTTAGGGTTTGCCAATAATTCATGATTTACTACAAACATCAGTTTTTGGGGTTTGGGAATAATTCATGATTTACTTCAAACATCATTGTTGGGGGGTTTGGAATATTTTATGATTTACTACAAACATCATTATTTGAGGTTTATTTATCCCTTTTGACTTTTGCAAGATTTGAGAAAATAACTTTTAGGGTTCGACTGTACTTAAATGATTTACTACAGACATCATATAGTTTAATTTCTTATAATTTGAACACTATAACTAAATTACTTATTACAAACATCACTTTAATGATTTATATCTTATATTTCAGGGCAATATGAAGCTTTCCTCAACCCATTTGAACATACAGAACCCAATATTGGTAAAATATCACTGGCGTTCTACTCTGGACTGTTTGCTTACAATGGATGGTAAGTTTTGATTTTGTGTTTGATACTAACTTTAAAAAATTCCCAAGGAATACAAGTTCTAACAATGAATTAATATTTCTTAAAACTTTATTGTGTAGGATTTGAACCCATAGCGCTGTTATGATATCAAGTTGTATTTAGTAGAATAAAGTTTATATTGTTTGCAGTGTTTAAAGAACTCTCTTATTGTGCCTAGTTATACTAATGTTCAGGATTTGAACCTGATGGCGCTGTTATAATATCAATTTGTGTTAGGTAGAAACTATACGAGTTTCTATAGCTTTATGTGTTAAGTTATACTAATGTTCAGGATTTGTTAGTTAATAGAAACTGGAAGAGTATGTACAGCTCTCTTCAGATTCTAATTTATTGAGTAGAAACTGTAAGAGTTAATACAAGACAATTGTTATCTCGGCTAACGACACCCAATTATAACCTTTTCTTTGTTGTTTATCAGGATTTGAACTTGTAGCGCTGTTATCCCTATTGTGAGTAGATTGATATACAAACATTAGAAGACAAGTGGCTACTGATATAGGGTCCTTGAAAACAGACAGCTGTCAAAATACACGCCTTTACTGTGATCAAAATATTCAGTCATTTGAAAAATTGGCTGAATTTTAAGGGACAAATTTGAATTTTTGTATTCAGCTGATTTCGTTAAAATTATAAAGAAGTTTTCAATTAGCCAACCTAGAGGGTATAATGAATTGAATGGAGTCTTTGTCCTACTTTTCTGTAGATAATTAGTCAAGGCGATGCAATGCTAATGTTCTATAGAAATAAAATGTACTTTTCTGCACCCAATTATGACAGGCAAATCTATGCAGTGTGCAATTAGGGAAAATTTGCCAGGACAACAGCTATTTTCCTGACTTCCATCCATCTTAGGGTTTTAAACGTGTGTCACCTGTTGCACACAGGGCCTCGGTTTAATGTCCCATCCTAACAACTAGATGGTTTTTCATGTCAGTCCATCCGACCTGCATCACTGACAAGGGGATACCGGGTTGAAAAATCCAAAGATATTATCTCAACCTATGCTAGGATTGTACCCTGAACCTTCAGATCTAACTCTAACTTACTAAGCCACCGTGGCTCCTCAAGAAAGGTTGATAATTTGTGGAGGGTTAGTGATAATGTAACATGCAGTAGATAATGTAAAGTAGATTAGATTATTGTATTTATTTATGGTTTCAAATGACCTGATTAATATATAGTATACTACTTTGTCATACAATGTTTCTGTTTTACACTGGACCTCAATCCACCTACTGTCAAAATATACTTGTTCTATTGACACAATGACATTGCTATTTTTAAAATTGTTTTATGTTTACTTCCCTGCATTTCATTCAAAATTTAATGAAATAAAATAGAGTTTTACGAAATAATGCATTGCAGTAGGTTATAAGGGAAATATTATAAGGAATGTATCACTCTTTGTCAAGCTTTGTAAATACTATGCAAATAGGATCAGTGTGCAATGAGGTCCATTGTCAGTTACCAGCACTTTAAGCTATACTAAAACGATGCAAAGACGTAATGCACATCAACATTAGCTGATGTGCCTTGGCTATTCAGGTGTTACTGGCAGAAAGCTGTCTTCATTAGCCCATAAGGCTTGGCTATTCAGGTGTTACTGGCAGAAAGCTGTCTTCATTAGCCCATAAGGCTTGGCTATTCAGGTGTTACTGGCAGAAAGCTGTCTTCATTAGCCCATAAGGCTTGGCTATTCAGGTGTTACTGGCAGAAAGCTGTCTTCATTAGCCCATAAGGCTTGGCTATTCAGGTGTTACTGGCAGAAAGCTGTCTTCATTAGTCCATAAAACTTGGCTATGCAGGTGTTTCTGGCAGAAAGCTGTCTTCATTAGTCCATAAGACTGGGCTAATTGGGTGTTACTGGCAAAAAGCTGTCTTCATTAGCCAAAGTAGGACGTGAGACTCCATTCTTTTGAAATACAGTCAAATTAACTGTTTGGTGGGTCAATAATCGAGAAGTAATGTTTATGATAATAATATGCAAGTCACAGTAACTGGGTGGACTTTGTTCCTACACTATGATTTTTTTTTAAGTTTTAGATTTATGATTTTAATTATATCTGTTGGACTTTGATAGTCTAGCGCCAAAGGTTCAAATCTGCTAATGATTTTTATCAAGATTTGGCCGAATGTCTATAATCTACTGAAAAAATTACTATTTGAAACACCTTGATTGTTCACAATCTTTTAACTAAATCTCTAAATCTCTGTCTCATGTCTGACTGGGGATACAATATGGCTGGTGAGGGGTTCCTGTGAGCCGTGACCATTGAATTTTAATAAACATGATTTTAGTGTTCTAGCCATCTGATTGATCAATCACTAAAATTGATTTTAGATTTAGTTTTATTATCCAATCAGATTACTGTATTTCTTCAAATCCCGAAAATCAGGATTTTAGATTAGTTCAGTTTATGAGAATAAGGTATCCTGGTCCACAAGAAAAATAATTCTGTAATTTTGGTCTTTTTACTTTCAGGAATTACCTGAATTTTGTTATTGAAGAATTGAAGGACCCTTACAAGTAAGTTGGGATTTTTGTGTGCAAATATGGGTTTGTTCCATCATTGTCAAGGAAAATACCGTATTAATGGGCAACAGGAAACACATGTAAAAGATGTATTGCTTTCTGAGCAATGAGGAATAGACTTTGTTAGACATTCATTGTGTCATAAAGAAAGAGCAGTCTTAAGAAATTGATTTACAATTAATTTCAGCTATCTGTATTACTTTTCAGAATTAATATATGACCCCCATCCATTTGTAGGAAGATCCATTGTTCTTTGAATTCTGTGAACTGTTTTGAAGCGCAGGTAAATGGTGAAGGCTTGTGAAGCAATGAAAGAATTCCAAAATTATGTTGTTTTTTTTCATTCAAACTTGATATTTTTTTGCAGGAATTTACCAAAAGCTATTTGGATCTCTATCACCTTGGTAACTGTTATATATGTATTAACCAACATCGCATATTTCACCACAGTCGAGAGGAAAGAAATCCTAGGAGGCGCTGCAGTCGCTGTCGTAAGTATTTTTCAACATGGTTTCCCCCCTGTCAGTGATGTGGGTCGGAGGGATTGACAGAAAAAGCATCTTCAGTTGATAAGACAAAAGACTGAGGCCCTGTGTGCTACAGGCTGTGCACACTAAAAATCAGTCAACAGAATGCTGATTTCCATGTACACTCTCCCTCATTGCACACTGCATGGCATTGCTCATATTCACTTACCCAATCTGGAGAAAAACAGTAATCTGTAAATCTCTATTCCTTTTCATACCATTTTTTTGTTACTTTCAGATGTTTTCTAAACGTTTGTATACAGTTATGTGGTGGATTATGCCTGTGTTCGTCGCGCTCTCCACTTTTGGAGGTGTGAATGGTATTCTCTTTACAACCGCTCGGTAAGTTGGCTTGAAATTTTGAAATTTGACATGTGTTTAAGATACATAAACCATCATCAAGACAAATGAAGGTCTGAAGTTTTAATGTTTAAAAACATGAGTTACTGGGAATTTAGCAACTTGAAATTCTACTGATAGTGTCTGTAATTGAAATCATGGTCAAAGGGAGATAACTCCAATTTGTGTAGGTAAAATTCAGACCAAAGCAACATACAGACCTTGTCACCTATTATAAAAAAAAGTTTGAGCTTATGCGAATTAATTAGAATTTAGTAATTTTAAATGAGACTGGCAGTAAATTGTGGGGCATGGTCAAAGAAAGATAACTCCAATTTGTGAAAAGCAAAATCCAGACCACATATAATTAGTTGATTATTATTTTGCAGTTTATTCTATGTTGGTGGAAGAGAAGGTCACATGCCACAAGTTTTAAGTATGGTATCTATACAGAGGTTAACTCCTATGCCTGCAGTCATGTTTATGGTAAGATCCTTGTTTTAAAAATCAATTTTCAAATTGCAGGCAGAAATTGTAAAGCTGGCCTGATGAGGATTGCGTATCCAAAACAATGACATGTGTACTGTGGCATATTCTTATTTTCGAATTAAATCTTTTGTTAAGTGAGTTCTCATACCAAGCTCATACTAGCTGTCCTGATGAGGATTGTGTATCTGAAACACATATAAGCAGTATGAGATGAGCTCTAGACAATTAGCTAAAATTAAGTCCTATATCCATGTCCTGATGAGGATTGTTATCTAAAACGTGTCAATATCTCAAGGAAAGCTCTAGTCAATTAGTACTGCAATACCATTTTCACTGTGTTTTAATGGTTTTTATGACCAACTAATTAATGAATTTTGTTTCTAATTTTAGGGATTTTTATCGATGTTATATCTCTTTTCCTCTGATATTTATGCGTTGATTAATTATGTTGGTTTCGCTACGTGGTTATCTATAGGAGGTTCTATTGTAGCCTTGCTGGTTTTACGTAAAACACAGCCCAATATAGACAGACCTATTAAGGTAAGGCTTACAAACTTACTTCCCCTTGCATTCAAAATTCAGGTTGGATGTGGACTCACTCCACTAATTCATTTGCCATCTCTTCCCATGTTAAAACACGAAATTCAACCTTCTACAACTTTTTCCAGAAATCTCGTTGAAAGCTTTCCAACATGTCGAATGAAAGCCTGACCAATTCTCAATGTCTCCTAAAAAATTCATTATATGATGACCATGAAAATTTTGAGCTACTAAAATTGAAAGTAGACTACTACCGGTTATACTCATCCGCTAGAGTTTGGCACTTCACAAAACGACTATTTTTAGAATTAGCCTTCCGCCTTTAAGTCTCTCATTATCTCACCAAATCTGAAAGATAATGCAATTTCAGACATCAAATTCCAAATCTAGACCAAATTTTACCCAAAAATAGGCAGGCAAAAACCCCAAAAGGGAGAGAGAAAGAAGATTTCTAAAAATAGCCTGGACTACATTCCTATACAATCATTTGCATAAAATGTTTTAGTGGAGTGAGTCCATGTCACATGACAACAAGGGCAAGCCACTCTATGACTAAAAGGGAAGTAACTCTTGATCGGAAGAGACTAATTCAGACCACAATATCACAGTAACAGATGATAAAAAAGACAAAAGGCTGAGATATCCTATGACTGGCTAATCATCTAAAAATTGATTCTCATGAGTAACTATGAATCCTGTTTCTTAAACAATGTGCGGTTTTAAACTTGATAAGCTTTTTTTGTGTATTCTTTTAATTTGAATTTCCATTTGTTTTTTTTTCAGGTTCATCTATTCTGGCCTATATTATATACAATAGTTACTATATATTTAGTAGTTTTACCATTATACGCTAGTCCTTTTGAAACTGGTAAGTTATCTCCCTTATTCTCCTGCACCTGAATCCGGATGTCTCATCAAAATAGCCAAATTTGATTTATTAAGGAAACAAAACGTCTAGTCATTCTGAATGGGAAAATAAACCGAGGCCCCATGTACTACAGACTGTTCACGTTATAGATACTTCAACAGTTTGAAAACAATTAAGAAAGTGCTAGTATTGCTGTCTTGGCAAAATTTGCCTGTCTGCATTAGCCCACTCTGTGGCAGAAAAGTAAAATGTAAAACTCCATTCATTTAATTCATTCATCCATCCATTCATTCATTCATTCATTCATTCATTCATTCATTCATTCATTCATTCATCCATTCATTCATCCATTCATCCATTCATTCATCCATTCATTCATTCATCCATTCATTCATTCATTCATTCATCTGTTTATTTCAGGTATAGGCTGTGCTATCATTGCCACTGGAATTCCAGTTTATTTAATATTTGTAGCTTGGAAAGGTAAACCAAAATTTATTGACAGATATATGGGTATGTATTTTATTAACTCTCTGAAATATGTGGACTCTCTGAAGTATTTTGGACTATGTGGACTCTCTGAAATACTCTTGACTATGTGGACTCTCTAAAATACTCTTGACTATGTGAACTCTCTGAAATACTCCTGACTACGTAAACTTGCTGAAATACTCCTGACTATGTAAACTATTTGAAATACTCATGGCTATGTGAACTCTCTGAAATACTCTAAACTATGTAAACTCTTTGAAATACTCATGACTATGTGAACTCTCTGAAATACTCTAAACTATGTAAGCTCTTTGAAATACTCATGGCTATGTGAACTCTCTGAAATACTCTAAACTATGTAAACCCTCTGAAAAACTCTGAACTATGTGAACACTTTATTTTCCAGATTCCATGACTATATGGCTGCAAAGATTTTTAATGGTAGTACCAGAAGAGAAGAAAGAAGTATAAGCATGCCCTACCCTAGGGTGTTAGGAAATTACATCTCATTTCATAGTCAAAGATACCAAGACATTGGGGGGGGAAATAGATTGAAATAAAGACATCTGATTGGTCAGATTTAAATTCAGCCATAATGATTAACCAATCAAATTAATTGAATGTTAACATAAAGTAATCTGATTGGTCAATACAAGTTTATTTGAATACATCTGAAGTGATTGACCAATCAAATTACCAGGATAGCAACAAAGAGTAATCTGATTGGTCAATACTAAAAGCTTTAAATGTTATCTATAGTGATTGACCAATCAAATGAACTGAACATTAAGATAAAGCTATTTGATTGGTTAATACAACAGTATTTAAATTAACCTAGATTGATTAGCTAATCAGATAAAAGATTTCAACTTTCATTAGTTTTTTAAAATAATTTTTAACATAATTTCATTTGATGGTAATATGAAGGAAAAAAAATGGGGTAAGAATCTGATCGAATGCTAAGGACTATATTTAAAGAGAATTATTTTTGAAATCATGACATTTTTGCACAGAGATTGTAAATATTTCATTTGGCAAGGTTTGGGTTTACTTTATCACCAAATTTTGAAATTAAATTATGATTTATGATAAAAATAAAATTTATATAGTCAAGTCCAGCAAAGATATTTGTCCAATATCATGCAAGCAGTCCTTTCTATTTTAAGGTAGGATGGATAGTAACAGAAACTGTACTAGTAAGTCGTTGTATTATAGTAAGCATTTTTACTAAATTCACCTGTCAGTGAGGCAGGTAAGAGGGGCTGACATGGAAAAAACGTCTAGTCTTTCAGATGGGATGGGACAATAAACCGAGGCCTCTTGTGCTACAGGCACATTAAAGATTCCTTCAACAGTTGGAAATCAAAAAAGAGCAGGAAAATGCCGCTGTCCTGGCAAAATTTCCCTCATTGCACCCTGCATGGTGTTGCCTGTCTTCATTAACCCACATGGTGCAGAAAAGTAGAAAGTAAAACTCCATTTATTTTATTTCACTATTACTAAAAATAAAATGGACTGCTTGTGTTTTTTTTTTAATCAGACAAAGTTCAAAAATATTTTGGCTTAACTTTAGTAAGATCAGCTGTTTATTTTCTATTTTTTGTTGTTTTATTTTTGCCGTGTTATTAATGAAATGCATTTTAATTGAAAAACATGAAACATTTAAATAATTTATGCGCATGTCAAATTTGTGACATTTATTCAATTACCTATTGGCATGATTATTAGAATTATGCACAAAAGAAATTAAAAATTATGAATGCATTTTGACTTTAGAAATTTTAATTCAAAGATAAAAAGTTATTTTTGATGATTTCGTTTTAAAATGAATTTTATTTTTGGAAGCATTTTTCAACGCTTTGCATTTTGGTCAAAAATATTTTTAAAAAACTATTTGATGCTTCTGTTGTTAAGAATGTTGTAAATATATCATGCCATTTTGTTTGTCAATAGTTTTGAAATCCAGTTCGTGAATTAAATGACTTCAACATTGTTGTTTGTAAAGCCTGTAGTTGAGGGTAAGAGCTGAGATGATTTAATGGTCAGCGCTTACTTGCTAACCTCAAGCTCTTAGGTTCGATTTCAACATATGTAGAGATAGTAACTTCAGACTTTCACTATGCTTTTAAATTTCCCTCATTGCACACTGCATTAGGATTAATCCTTCTTCGTTAATTTACTAGTACAAATAGAAAAGTACGTAATAAATTTTTTATCATTTTTGTTGGGTTAAGGCAATTTGTTAATTGTTGTTTTTACAATTCAAGTTTTACTCTGGTAAACATTTTTAATGTTGAGAAGGACATAAATTATTTTACGTTTATTTTAACATCATTTACTAAGATAACAGGCATTGACTCATTGAAATATTTTTGTTTTGTTCATGGAAATTGTTTTATTTAAGATAATTGTCTAGATATTTTAATAGAGCTCTATTTCAGCTATCTGTATAGTTGTCTCAATATTAACTTTACCAGCAGATAGAGTTGTATTTCAGCTATCTGTATAGTTGTCTAAATATTTACTTTACCAGCAGATAGAGTTGTATTTCAGCTATCTGTATAGTTGTCTAAATATTTACTTTACCAGCAGATAGAGCTCTATTTCAGCTATCTGTATAGTTGTCTCAATATTTACTTTATCAGCTGATAGAGTTGTATTTCAGCTATCTGTATAGTTGTCTCAATATTAACTTTATCAGCTGATAGAGTTGTATTTCAGCTATCTGTATAGTTGTCTAAATATTTACTATATCAGCTGATAGAACTCAATTTCAGCTATCTGTATAGTTGTCTAAATATTAACTTTACCAGCAGATAGAGCTCTATTTCAGCTATCTGTATAGTTGTCTAAATATTTACTATATCAGCTGATAGAGCTCTATTTCAGCTATCTGTATAGTTGTCTCAATATTAACTTTACCAGCTCCATGTCAGCTATCTGTATAGTTGTCTAAATACTTACTTTGCAAAAAGGCACTTTTGGTAGTAAAACTGACTGTTAGGTTTTAATTCTAAGAAGTTTTAAGGGTAGCAGAATATTAGCTGTCAGCTGGTAAAAAAAATATTGTAAACGTAGTTATTCTTGAAACCTTATGTTGACATATTATCTAAGCTTTTAGATCTTCATAAAAACTGCCAAAATATATAATTCTAAGGTTATTTTTCCATTGGTTTCATGATATTTTGGCTGTTTTGGTTGTTAATTTGTGCTTATTGTTAGTATATCAGAATGGTTGTTTTGGATTCGGGTGCTTTTAGACGTAGCAAATTGTACATAAAATATTTTTCTCGCTTAGATTTACTTTAAAGGCAGCTCTTTTTAATGTTTACTGAATGTTGGATTTTAAGAAAAACTTCATTCAGCTAAAATAGGTTTTATTTAGATAGTGGTTCACTATTGTACTATTGTCTGTACAACAAGCATCACCTGTACTAGTTTCAGACATCACTCAACTCTTGGTTATATTCTAGAGAGTGATCCACTGTTGTATGGAAACACCAGATATCACCTAAGTCTGGTTTATATTGTAGAGAGTGGTTCACTGTTGTATGGAAACAACAGGCATCACCTAAGTCTGGTTTATATTCTAGAGAGTGGTCCACTGTTGTATTGAAACACGAGCCATCACCTAAATCTGGTTTATATTTTAGAGGGTTCTCCATTGAAATGTTTTGCCATGAATAATGTTTTATGTGTTCTATATCATTGTGAATAATTATAAGTTAATGTATTATATTTATGCTAATGATATGTACATATATTATGTTAATTAGGGGATAATTGTATGTATAGAGATAAATGTGTGTTGAGAATAAATTTTAATCATTAAAATATCTTTGTGCATAATTTTATTCCGTCTTCAGTAAATCTATGGTTACTTTGTGATATTACTTCATTATGGTTACTTCATTTGAGTTACTTAATTATGCTAACTTTATTGGAGTAACTTCTTTGTGGTAACTTGATTGTAGTAACCATATAACAGGTTACTTTAAGGTAGAAAGGATATTTGTGGCTACTGTAATGCAATTACTTTGTTTGTGGTTACGTGATTGCAGTAACTATAGTTGCAGTTACTTTATTGCAGTAACCATATTTGTGGTTACTTTAACAACATTTCTGGTTACCTTATTTGTAGTAGCTATTTTTGAAGTTATTTTTCTGCAGTTATCACATTTTGCAGTAGCCTTACCTGCAGTTACTCTATGTTGTAGTTACTTTTTTTTACAGTTACCCTTTTTTGCGGTTACCATATTTTCTAGTTTCCTTATCTGCAGTTATCCTATTTTGTAGTTAATTTATTACCCTAAATTTGCAGTTATCTAATCTTGTGGTTACTCTACCCTGCGGTTACCAAATTTAGCGGTTGCTTCATTTTACCACATCTTGAAGTAAATTTATTCCGCAGTTACCCCATCTTGCAGTAACTTTATTTTGCAGTAACCCCATCTTGCAGTAATCTTATAATGACGGTTACCCAATATGGTTACTTTATATAGCAGTTACCCCATTTAGCAGTTAATTTATTTTGTTGATTTTTTTAGCAGTTATTTTATTTATAAGTGACCTCATCTAGCCGTATCTTTATTTATCAATTACCCCATCTTGCCGTAACTTTATTTAGCAGTTGATTTTTTTAGCACTTAATTTGTTTAGCACTTTATTTATTTAGTGGTTAATTTATTTAGCAGTTATTTTATTTTGCAGTTAATTTATAAAGCAGTTACCCATTTTGCAGTTACTGTATTTAGCTGTTACCCCATCTTGCAGATACTTTATTTAGCTGTTATTTATGCAATTAGGAAACACCCCTTTTTATGCAATTAGGAAAACACCCCTTTTTTATGCAATTAGGAAACACCCCTTTTTATGCAATTAGGAAAACATCCCTTTTATGCAATAACACCCCTTTTTATGCAATTAGGAAAACACCCCTTTTTATGCAATTAGGAAAACACCCCTTTTTATTATGCAATTAGGAAAACACCTCATTTATTATGCAATTGGGAAAACACCCCTTTTATGCAATTAGGAAAACACCCCTTTTTATTATGCAATTAAGAAAAACATCTCATTTATGCAATTAGGAAAACACCCCTTTTTATGCAATTAGGAAAACACCCCTTTTTATGCAATTAGGAAAACACCCCTTTTTATTATGCAATTGGGAAAACACCCCTTTTATGCAATTAGGAAAACACCCCTTTTATGCAATTAGGAAAACACCTCATTTATTATGCAATTAGGAAAACACCCCTTTTATGCAATTAGGAAAACACCCCTTTTTATTATGCAATTAGGAAAACACCCCTTTTTATTATGCAATTAGCAAAAACACCCCTTTTTATTATGCAATTAGAAAAACATCCCGTTTATGCAATTAGGAAAAACACCAATTTTTATTATGCAATTAGGAAAAACACCCCCTTTTATGCAATTAGGAAAACACCCTTTTATTATGCAATTAGGAAAACACCCCGTTTATGCAATTAGGAAAACACCCCTTTTTATTATGCAATTAGGAAAACACCTCATTTATTATGCAATTAGGAAAACACCCTTTTATGCAATTAGGAAAAACACCCCTTTTTATTATGCAATTAGGAAAACACCTCATTTATTATGCAATTAGGAAAACACCCTTTTATGCAATTAGCAAAAACACCCCTTTTTATTATGCAATTAGAAAAACACCCCTTTTTATTATGCAATTAGGAAAAACATCCCGTTTATGCAATTAGGAAAACACCCCTTTTTATTATGCAATTAGGAAAACACCCCTTTTTATTATGCAATTAGCAAAAACACCCCTTATTATGCAATTAGGAAAACATCCCGTTTATGCAATTAGGAAAAACACCAATTTTTATTATGCAATTAGGAAAATCATCCCGTTTATGCAATTAGGAAAACACCCCGTTTATGCAATTAGGAAAACACCCCATTTAGCTGTTTAAAGGTTACTTTATTTTTTAGCTACCAGTTTCTAACTTGCCACGATAGAAGGTTACTATGACAGTGAGAGTAACCCCAGATGGTATGGTTACCATGATGGTATGTGTGACTTCACGTGGTAACTACGATGGTAAAAGTAACATCAAATGTTCCCATTTGTTAAACAGTTCAAAGGGAAGGAACTCTTATGCGGTTAAATAATAAGACAACAACAATATATTGTATTTATCAGATACAAAAAGCATGAAAACAAAACTACAAAAATATACAAATTATGACAAATAAAATCTGTTCTAATTTCTTCTGCGTAAGAGCTGCATTCTTTTCTTTAAATCACTGGTGATGTCCTATCAAAATGCAGGAGGGGTGAGGCAAAATTTACTTAGGGGGACACAGGCCTATTTGATTCAATAAATTATCTCTCACCACATTTTGAAAATGGTAATACAATTAATTGGACGAATATATCCCAATAAATTAGAACTTTGCAAATATACAAACAATAACCCAATTCCAACACAATCTAGAAGAAATCAACACAAAAAAATGCACCAAATTTAACAAAAAAAAGCTACTAAATATAACAACTTGCAAAATATACTAACAAAAAGCACTAAATTTTACCAAGAAATTAAAACACAACAAGCTGAATTTGCAAAATAGATACAAAGCAACAAATTGAGAGAAAATTACACTAACACAATCTAACATAATCATAAATTTTGGCAAAAAAATCATAAATTGAGAGATTCTTAAAATCGGAAAATTGCTACTTCATTCTAATGCTACGAATATACTAGAGGCAGTGTACATTGGGGTATATAATGACCCAGAGGACAGCTCGAAATTTTTGATACATAAGAGTTGTATCACTTTACAGTCTATTATGAACCTCATCTTATACCTTGACTGCAATAGTCACTATTCTTGTATCAAGTAATGTAATGATTTAATTGGATTGTACACCAGTAATAACAACTAATCAGAGTGTTTGACACACAGTCTGTAAACAATAAGCCATAATGTTTACAATCTTTCTGTCGAGGGTTTTGATTGGCTGTATTAGCTAGAGTAAAATCCAATCAAACCACTGCATTTACAAACTTCCATGATACAAGAAAGATGTCTATTGCAGGCAAGGAATAAGTAGGAAGTGCGTAATAGTTTGACATTGTGGAGAAAGGTACTTGTGTTTTCACTTCTTCTATTTTTTAATGTATCAATAATCCCACACCTGACAACCTACCTCGTCAAAATTGATTATCTGCAAAAAGTATATATGAATTATTAAACGATTATATCACTTTAAAATATAAGTTTTTGAGCATTGGCAATACGAATTAAATTCCGTTATTTACAAAAATATAAATTTGATACACGTAGCTTGAATAAAGTTCTATCCGCTCATAAAGAGACAAATAAATTTAGGCTTGTAACGACTTGTGATTTTATTTTTCAGTGAAACAGGGCCCAGCAGTTTAAAGAATTAAATTCCATTATTATAAAAAAATACAAATCTCAAAATTACTAAAAAACATTGGTATTTTATACCTTGAAAGATTCTTAACAAAAATCACTGGAATTGAACGAGGGTATTATGAGCTATTGATCCAAACCTTTGATCCAACAAGTCGGTTGTCTTATCTCTTAAAGAAATTGTAAAGAGTTTTTTTAAGGTATTTATGTGTTAACACCTCAAAGCAAAATGATCCATTTATGTGTAAACACCTCAAAGCAAAATGATCTATGTGTTTTTATTTTGTAACATCTCTTGATGAGCAAAAAAAATCACCAAATATTCTGAACATTTAACTATCTAAATCCCATTACCTAAATATTTTCATATAAATTTACAGTTCAAGGGGAATAACTGCTTTTTATAATTGATATGTTCTTCATAATTACATTAATACATTTAGTTTTACTCAAGAGGTCTCTCTCATGTCATCTTCATAATGTCAAGCTATTACAAACTAGTTATGAGCATACAATATATGATTTATCTCCCTTCTCAGATTTGAATGTAGCCAATCAAAAGTCTTGATAGAAAGTATAGAGATGGCAACTACAATGGCAGATGTGAATGGTCCTTACACGCAGCACAGCCATATTGTTCAGACTTTCAGTCGAGGGCTTCAATTGGCCGTATTTAAGTATTCAATCCAATAATTGCTGCATTTACAACGTTCCATAAGATAGTACCTAATGATGTCAAGGTATTAGACAGAGTTTATATTAGCTTGATATTGTGAAGATGATATAATGCTGTAAATTCATTTTGATTTCTTTTCTGCATACTTATCAGGGCCGTTTACAATCTATATAAAACATTGATATCCAATCATGAGCAGGAATTTCCAAGTTCAATTTACATGTAAGAAATACAAACAGGATTTCTGATCAAAGCAAAATTTATGACTGCAATTTCCTGTTTCAGAATCAACAATCAAATATGTGATCTAAAAGTCTATGGAATGTTAGATTAATTCGTAAGTAAAATTTGGAATCCTGGAATCTACACAATGGGGTTATTAGATTCTCGAAGAGTGCTGTAGTTCTGGAATCGCATGCGTTTGTAGATACGAGGAACGAAAATAGCAAACAGGACTCCCATGATGATTCCAAATAACAGGCATAGCACCACCCAATAACTGGCCACTGAAATCATAAAATACTTATTAGGTGTCTGGGGCTGATTATAGTAAGAATTGGCAGTGGTATCAGACTTTTCTGACCTAGAAGATTCAAACCTACTGCACCTTATCACCTAGCATTAAAAATTAGATGTCAAGAGTTGGAAGCTGAAACTGGGATGACTTCTGGAGGCACTGGCAGTGGCATTAGATTTTCTGACCTCGAGGATTCCAATCCACTGCACCTTATCACCTAGCTATTGTCTTCTAACATCAGTCTTTTCAATCAGACAATAAGCCTGATGTATTAGATCTTTACTGAAAACCTGCCAACTTAAAAAAACATTCTGTAGGGGTAGAGCTGTATCTTACCTCCAGAATTTCCACCACCCTTGCTGGGGGAGGGGGTAGTTGTAGGGGGGAAGGGGTACACACAATTCTGTTCATCAGTATTGTCTCCACACTCATCTATCTGGTTACATCGCCAGCTGGGTTGAAGACAGACTCCATTTTTACATAAATATTTACACACTGAAATAAGAAATCACAAATTTTAAGATTTGAAATTAAATTTAAATGTGGTAGAAAATCGAAAGACTGAAATAGGCATGGGTATGATGCAGACATGTTACACAGATGAAAACATTTGGATAAATATTCTGTCAAATATCTAAAAAACAGAAAAAGAAGTTTATGAAGATCTTAAAAATAGTTCAGAACCACACAGAAGATATCAGAAACACATTGGAAATGTGGACAAAACTTCAAGCAAATGATGTCAAGATTCCTACACCCTAAACTGATTGAGCAAATCCCATCCTCAAAAGATAGCACAGTTTCGACAAACAAAATTCTGACTGTTAGTGTTAGGGTGTATTGAGACGAGTCTCTATGAAAGCACTGGCCGAGGTCACAGAGCTGTTAGTGTTACAGGCTAGATTCAATGTCTGTTCTGAAGTTGACTAGTTATATCCCTTAATGAGCATTCAAGGTTGATTTAAAGCAGACAGACTTACCATAACGAGTGTAATTAAAGGTAAAGGAAGTGTTGGACGACCCACTCATATTATACATGATCAAGAGAGTATCGGTCCGTGACATAATCTGTGTTGAATTCTGGGAATTATTTGTCAGAAGTACCGGAGCTCGAATGGAACCACCATCGTGTATTGTCACTGAATTACTGAAACCAAAAAGTATCAGAATTTGTATTAAACATAGCATTTGATCGGTTATATATATATATGACCTAGAACATATGTAGCATATCAATCTCGTTAGATCATGGGTGGCAAGTAGCTTCCAGAAAAAAAATTTGAGATGTTGTTACTAAGAGTTTCATTCCATGTGACCTATTTCAGCCTGTGCCTCTATTGACATTTTTATCAAATAAAGTACTTAGTTTACCTCAAATTGTTTTTACTTGAAGAGTTCTTGACGACCAATTCAAAATTAATCACCGAAATATTCTTGATTTTTGGGTCGGCTGGTAGCTGGATTATCCAGACACAAACATCTGACATGTTGGTTGATTTGGGAGACTGGATAACTGAGCTTTCATTGGCGATAAATCCACCACAATCTGCAGAAAGGAAACATATATTCTTAATAACAATCTGTCAAGAATTCTTCCTTCATGAAAACTGTCAAACAGATAGACAATGTCAGGCCGAAAAAAATTGAACCTTGAACTTTGAACCTACCTAAAAATCTATAATTAGCTTGAAAACCTTGACCCACTTCAGCTGTCAGGTGAGTTGATGTCTGCTGGGAGTTGAAAATCAGTTGATAGTTATCCCCCTTGACTATGATGTCATTTGGTAGAGTATTTCCGGTGAATTTCTTGTTGATATTCCAGGCTTCCTGGAAACCGCTCATCAATTCCAAGGAATGGTTGTTAGGGAGATTGAATTTCTCAAAAGACATGTACAGCATTCGGGTATCGTTAACTGTTTCAGTGTCGGCCCACAGGCATTGGGCATTTACTGGGTAGACATTGGGCCATTTTGGACTGGTCAGAACTCCGCTTGGATGTTGAAGTTGTCCAATACATGCTGAAACACAAACGGAAATAATGGTTAACTGGAGAGTTTAGTTTTACATCCTAATTTTGTGATGATGTTTGTACTAATCTAGATGTACAGTGAACAAAGGGGAGAATTTTTCTAGGACAGCAGAAGGCTATTAGAAGGTATTATCTCAACCTATGGCAGGATCGAATCCCAGGCCCTCAAGTTAGCAAGAAAGTGTCCAACACACATTTGTCAATAATGCCCATGTGGAAATGTGGAGGGCATGTCAAGTATTAATTAAGCTGAAAATTTTAAATTTTTGAACAAGCCCTAGCCTACCGTCATTTTGAGTATAATCAGCCACAACAGAAGGCTCTGTACAATTTACACTACAATTATTGGTTGTTTCAAAAACTAACCTAAAATAAAACCAAAATTAAAAGTGAATTATCCATTTAACCCGGTTACCTAGCAGACGACATTAAAGAACGAGGTCATTCAACTTCTGTTTTGGCAAGGGAGAGAACTCTCTATGACTTACTTTTGATATAATTTGACAACTCTTTGTTCAGTTTGATGGATTTGCCAAATCTAATCAGGTCATTTCAACTTTTGCCCTGACAAGGGAGAGAACCCTAAATACAGAGAACATTATTATAGAAACTTACTGAATAATTTTTGAGGCTGAGATGTCTACGTTAGGTATAAAACTGACGTCTGTCGGTCCGGTGAATTTGGCCAGTACGTTAGTTATATTAGATATACCGCTAATAGTCAGGGAGTCTTTCGCTCGCAGACTTATAGTCTTAAATTCAAGGGAGATAACTCCATCTGTAAAATAAAACAAAAAATTTTCATCATCTTCAAATCATTGATAAGGGTTGATAGCTGACACAAAAGCTGACATCAGAAGCACTGGCCAATGCACCAGAATTCGAAGCCATGGAAAATTACCGCCAAGCAGACACCAAAGCAACTCATTCCATGGAATTCTTACCTTTATTATGAGGAGAAATTGTCCACTGACATTGAGTCTGGTTAACAGCTAATGATGAAAGAGAGTAACTTCCCTTGTTTTCACTGGTAACTACATTACAACCTGGTTGCAAAAACAAAAGAAAAACTTTTGGAAGTCATTTTAATGAGATTTTGATGTGTATCGGGGAAATGGTAGCATCGATAGCACCATTCCGATTTTCAATCAGACGTCACTGGTTCTTCCAGTTTTCCAGAAAAACTACTAGTAAAACAAATAATTTCACCATTATTATGTATTTGTCCAAATACGATTTAAACGAATTTCAAAATAGGATGTTTTTAGTCATATATTTGAAGAGGCGTATACCATTCAGATACTTTTGTGACCTTAGCAACATCTCCAATCAATTGATGCCATAAACAGCTGATTCTAATTGAAGACATTTCAAAAACTTACTATCAATAACACTGATAAATGAACCAGGCACGGATTCTGTCGTGAAATTTCTTGCTACAATCAGTAAATTACTGCCAGGGGAGGTAACTGGGTAGAAACTTGATTTTGAGCTGAAAAATTACAAAAAATATTGAGTTGTTAATCTTTTACCCTTTAGACTTGTTTACTGCTATATTTCCATTAAGAGACAACAGTTTTTATGGATATAGACTTCTATTTATTATTGAACACAACTTTCCATAAAAAACTGTTGTCTCTTAATGTGCTGTGATACTTTTAAATGTCTTACAAGGATTGCTATATTTCCTATAACCCTTTCCATCCTCTAGGTTGACTTACTGCTGTCTTTACTGTATCTCCTTTATATTACATCCAATGGCTCAAAATTAGCTTACTCTTTTATTGATATATTCTTTTACACCCTCTTGCATGGCTAATATCAATATTATTCTTGCTTTCAAGAGAAAAGTTCAACCAGGTATAAATGCAAGTTTTAGGATATTGACAAAGTGATGTCAAAGAAAATTGGAAATTTTAGCAAATTTTACCTGAAAGTTGTGATTAGTTGGGAATCTGGAAGAAATCCATCATAAAACTCAATAAATCCTGAAATATCAGTCTGGGTTAGATTGACTTCTACCTGGAATGAATGAATGAAAAAATGAATGAATGAAAAAATGAATGAATGAATGAATGAATGAATAATGAATGAATGAATGAAAAAATGAATGAATGAATGAAAAAATGAATGAATGAAAAAATGAATGAATGAAAAAATGAATGGATATATCACTCTACAATTGATGTATTGAGCACTATTTTAATAGTGAGAATTAAAAATATAAAACAATACAGAACAATAATCTGATCTTAAAACAAAAGATAAAAATATTATCCCTTGTCAAAAATAAACCCCAGAAATTATCAGATCCTGCTGTCATAGGATCCATTAGTGTCACTAAATCTGAGGTCAGGGTCATAAACCATCAAGGTCGTGTAATTAACACAATTATTGTTAATTATGACACAAGGAAGATAACGATCACAGAAAAAATAATACATTATTTTACAATATGGGTTGAAGGACTGACATATCACACCAAATATGGTTTATGGGATCATTTTTGACACCCAAAAGATAAAGATGGTAGAAAAAATAATGGACTTTTGCACAATATGAGTTGAAAATTTGACATTTTTCACCAATGGATGGTCGTCTGCTAGGACGTGAGTTTGGATTCCTGTTAAGCCAGCGGTGGAGCCAAACGGGGGACAGAGGGGGCAATCGCCCCTCCTCGCAGCCCCGAAAGCAAGTTTTTCGTGCAAAAGTCTCATAACTAAATTAGAAATTTGGGCAATCTCAGGTATTTCGCCCCCTCTCAGACGTAAACCTGGCTCCACCACTGCGTTAAGCTAAGAAAAATTCTGAAGTTATGCCATGGTCAATGCTTCCAAGAATTGTTCCCATTTTCTTGTTCACCATATTTATACTGTTTGTGTATGACATTTCGTGGTCTACAAGCTTGACTTTAGAAGTGGAATTAATAAAATAAAAACTTAAACGCTAAGATAAGGAAGTCAAAAGTTTGATAAATGAGATTAAAGTTTCAACTTTTTCTACAAAAATTTGTATCATTTATTGACAAAGAGATAACGGTTTGTTTACATTAAAGTTTATTGTAGATCTATGTCAACAAAAAATATTTCAATGTAAACAAAGTGTTGACAAGGTTGTTTACAAGTGTTGACATACTAATCCTGATACTTATCACTTAATTTCTATCAAAGTTTATGATTTTTAGATTGTGATAAAAACATTTTTGATTCCATTCTGATATTTTGGAAACTTGTGTCATATTTCTATAGATATCTAAATTTCAATTAAAAATTGGAAAAAAACTTTCAAATGACACAAAATTTTAAAACATAATTCCTGATTTTAATCAAAAAATTTGAAATAACATTTGATATAATCAGGTTTCCTTTGGAGCTAAAAAGAATTTTTTTTTTCTGACCAAAATTTTACATTTTCACCCTGGACAAATTTGATGGCCAAATAAACATTGAAATTTTAAATGCAACCAAACATGCCATCAGAATATTTGTTAAAACATGTTTTTATTGTATAATCATCTTGAAGTGGATAATCCAATCCAAATTTTAAAGAACACAATTATGTAAGAATTTAATCTTTATAAGGGTATAAACCAATTTACCAATATAATATAAACCAAGGTATTTAACAACCAGAATATCTACCTGATTATGACAGTAAATATTGACATTGGCAGTTATTTCTATATTTTTAATCTATTCTCTAGATTTTTAATGTTTTAGTTAAATTCTGATCTTTATAATCTTGAAGTAGATAATCCAATTAGGATTAATGAACACATTATTTATATGTTTATGTCACTTCCTGCCACTTATAAATTGTTTGTGACATTAAATATTGAAATTGGCACACTTAAGTTTATTTATAAGTTTTTAATCTATTCTTAAACATTTCATAAAGGTTATCAAAAACCTACAAGTATAATCCACATAACTTTAAATGGTGTTTATCAGTTTAGGTCATTGAATGGCAGTAAATAAATTAGAATTTTGACATTAAATATTGATATTGGCATACTTGAAGGTTTGATATTGGCATACTTGAAGGTTTGATATTGGCATACTTGAAGGTTGATACTGGCACACTACATACTTCAAGGTTTGATATTGGCATACTTGAAGGTTTGATATTGGCATACTTGAAGGTTTGATATTGGCATACTTGAAGGTTGATACTGGCACACTACATACTTCAAGGTTTGATATTGGCATACTTGAAGGTTTGATATTGGCATACTTGAAGGTTTGATATTGGCATACTTGAAGGTTTGATATTGGCATACTTGAAGGTTGATACTGGCACACTACATACTTCAAGGTTTGATATTGGCATACTTGAAGGTTTGATATTGGCATACTTGAAGGTTGATACTGGCACACTACATACTTCAAGGTTTGATATTGGCATACTTGAAGGTTTGATATTGGCATACTTGAAGGTTGATACTGGCACACTACATACTTCAAGGTTTGATATTGGCATACCTGAAGGTTTGATATTGGCATTCCTGAAGGTTTGATATTGGCATACTAAATAATATTTTCTAATCAATTAAAGTATGTATTCCAATGAGTAAATTTAGATCTGGGTTTAAATAACATACAGTTACTGTAGTGAAGGCAACTTTCATACTTTCAAAGCAAATCTTCAAGTGATAATTTTATTGTGAAAAGGAAATATTAATCTTATATGTCACTTGACTTAGTAGAGGCCTGATAGAACCCATGTTAGACCAAGATTTACATTTGCTATGACCCAATCTTACATTAGTATATCACTATAGGCATATTAGCCCTCAAGGTGAAAAGAAAACTGAAGAAAGCATGTTCAAGTGGAAATTTAAAAAAAAAACTCACTTAGCCTTCAAAGTGTACAAGATAAAAATAAAAATAAAAGATTGTTAACTTGAATTTTTTTTGGGGCTAGATAGAAACCAAGATTTACTTTTGACATCATCTTACATCTTTATAAGCATGTTTACCCTCCACATTGATAGATGCATGTTCAAGTGAAGCTTTTATGTTAAAAACACTCACATAGCCACTGCTGTGTCCAAGAAAGAAATCTAAAGACTGTTAACTTGAACACGTTTTCTACCTTAATCTAAACTGTAATCTCTTTTCAAAACTGTTTTAATGGACTCACATCTAAGATATTAGGTAATAAACTACCATTTCTGAACTGTAGTCTCTTTAATAGTAACCTTTTCTTAATGAGAATAGTTCGTTAGGTATCTATTGTTTACTTCTAATTAATGTAAAAAATTCTCAGTGTAAAATGTTACTCCAAATGTAGGGTTACATTACATCTGATTACTATTCATATAAAGGAGTAAGTTCGGGGCTTTCACCAAGCGATGACCATAAAACTTTATCATTAAGTAGTGTTCTGTGTTATAGAAGATACTCTCCTATAGAAGCACTGGCCTAGGTCACAAGAAGAGAACATACTTCTTTTAAATCAATTATCAATTTGAGTCATAAAGAATAAATTGAAATTGTACTATAATAAATATCCTTTGCTGCATGCAGTGTTCATTATGAGACCAAAACTGTTTTCCATTTAAAACAAATAATAATAATAATGATAAATCTTATTCTAATTAATATGTATTTTGATTAATTTTAATTTCTGCTCACAAAAGAAGGGGAATAAGTCGTACTAATTAGGGACCAAAACTATTTTTTGTTGAAAAATATCAAAAGAAAAATCCAATCATCTTAATCATTATTTTGATTAGTTTTAATTACTGTTTACAAATTAACAGGTTTAAGTTAGTAGCTCTCAACAAGGGGCCAAGTTTGTTAGATTATAAACAATATTAAAGAATTTCAAGTGTAAAACAAGGATAAATAGGGCTCACTAGGGAGCAGGGTAGGTGATTAACATAATCTAGATAATCCCTTTGATGTTTTAATCCCTTTAACTTTGATTTCAAACAGATTTTTATAATAATATTTTGATTTCAGGGTAAACAAATCAAACTTTTACCAAAATATTTTTAAATGGAAAACAAACCCCAGGAATTGATCATAATATTTGGATTCCAACCGGATTTAAAAGAAAATATCTTGAATTCAAAGCAAACAATTAAATTTCTATAAATATTGCGTGCAAATGAATCCAAAAATATGAGGAACAAGCTTGGACAAGAAGATAAAACTCCTAAATTTAACCATAATGATCTACAAAGCCATCAATAACTGTCTCTTTATTAACCCCCGTAACAAATAGAACCAGGATAACAAGGGTTAAACTAGCCTCATTAATATAAAATTTCATAACATGGCTTAACCCTCTACACTCCACTCATTTTTCATTTCAAAATACAAGATGGGCATCTTTAGCTTCAGAGTTTGGGGGGACAGGCTTTAAAGCTCAAATCCCTCTTTAATATTTTAATCTAAGTTTTGCACTTAAGATTTTGAGATCAAAAAATGAAAATTATCTTGAAACTCTCTGCATTGTCATGTATTCCTTTATACAAGCTGACCGGTTTTCAGTTAGGGGTTTTAACAATAAAGGGGCTGGCTTAGACATTTTTTTATCCCTTAACTCAAAGATGAAAATCTGAAAGCTTCTAAAGAAGGATATATGTCACAATGTAGGGAGTTCCATGTTATTTTTCATTTTTGATCTGAAAATCTTAGGTGCATAAATTGGATTAAAATCTTAAAAGAGGATTTCGACCTTTGCCCTAACTCATGGTGCTTGGATGTCACAGTTTTCATGACCTGACCCCTGATAGTTGTACAAAAGTCAAGGACACAGGGGCAAATCAAGGATTATATCTAATGACAACCATGGTCGCATAATTTGGATTAAATCTGAAAGAAGAGTGATTTTGAGATTCAAAGCTCTCTCCTTCCATAACACTTGGTCCTCAATCTTTATCTGATCTAAGTCTCATAGTATTCCTAACTCTGCCTGTGCTTTTGTGACATTGCAGTGCAATCAATTTGTGATTGTGCCCTATGCATTATCAGAATTTTTTGGAGCAGTCGTGGCAGTGAAATAGCAAACAAATGCATCAAATTATTCTACCAGTAGGTCAAGCAAAACATATCTCTTGTTCTGAGTAAATTTAATCAGATTTGACTAAACTGAACAACATTCAATAAACCACCATCAGGTTTCTTTCAAAATCAATCATTAGCTAGATTATGTCCCTTTGTTATTGAATCAAGGTTAGATTGAAACCAGGTAGAGGGATTATCTGCCCCTTGCCTTTGATCTTGAGACAATGGGATAATCCCATTATCTGGCTAATCAAGACAGGTGTTATGGGGCCTCCCACTGAGCTCTAGGCACAGGCTGGTAGCCAATTGCAACCCTGCCCTTATTGTCCCTCACCCCCTCTTTATAAAGGCCTATTGTATTCTAACCCCTTCAATGATAGCTTCTATTGTCCACCACTCTAACTACATAGCCCCTTTTACTACCCCTTAACTACCGAAAACTCAATGACCCCTTGTGACCTTAACCCCTGATAAAGGTGGCCATTGGAGACAGGTGGGGGATATAAGTGACCAATGGTGGATGGTCATTCAGTCATTCTGGTCACTGACTCTGAAGAAATAACATCAAAGCATTTCAAGTTACGACAAAAAAATTTCAAATTTGACAACAGTGATCAGTTATTTTAATCATAAACTTTGGATAGATTTTTTATTTTTTTGCAGCCGTTCTGAATTTTCAGGTAAGTTTTAAATTCAAAATTTTTTAATTTCAAAATCCAAGTTCTTACATTTGAAGAGCTATGTTTTTCAATCAATGCCTTTGAATTAGGAATATCAATTAAAACTTTGTCCAAAAAAAAAAATCTAAATTTCTATCTGACACAACCCAGAAATTTAGTAAATCTTTTTGACAAAAGTACCCAAGGATACAACAGTAAAAAATCCCAAAATGTTTCATAATTTTCACCTTGATGAGTTTGATTTATTATCATGAAAATTGACCAATTTAAGATCATAAAACAATTTGATAATCTCATCAAAAGAAACTCAAAAGTCTATAAAATTTCTAAATTGTGTTTAAGTATCCCCCGGAGTAGGGTTTAGGTGTCAGCTGAGAGCTCCCTAATAAAACATCAAACTGGTCCAATATTAAGCTATACTAGGCCAATATCAACCAATACTAGGACAATATGAAGCAATACTAGGCCAATATTAAGCAAAACTGGCCAATATGAAGCTATACTAGGCCAATATCAACCAATTCTAGGCCAATATTTAACTATACTAAGCCAATATCAACCAATATGAAGCTATACTAAGCCAATATCAACCAATACTAGGCCAATATTAAGCAAAACTGGCCAATATGAAGCTATACTAGGCCAATATTAAGCTATACTAGGCCAATATCAACCCATAATAGGCCAATATTAAGCAGAACTGGCCAAAATGAAGCTTTTCTTGGCCAATATCAATATTAAGCAAAACTAGACCAATATTGAAAAGGGTCATCAGTTACCAAATAAAGGGCCATCACTTCAAAATACAGTTATATATGTATACTTGAATGAAATCCCTAATCACTATTTGGCCCCCTTTTGAGTAAATTCTAAGTGTTTATTGTCTTAACCCCTTAAGATATAGAAAACACAGTTCAAAGAAACTTACATGAGGTGTTTTATGACAATTTAACCCTCTTCTGGAAGAGACCTCAGGGCACATACAGTTTATTAAGAATCACAGGGAAGTTGGATTTTAGGGATTTTTATGAGGCTTAAGTTTTGATTTTTAACAGCTAAGCAATAACCTTAGGGACAAATCACTTATGTGAAATTTCAGGTGTTTTATGAACACTTCAAAGATGTCCAAGAGTTTTTGATATAGTTTATGATCTTATAATTGACTAGAGTTCATCTCATGCTGCCAGCACATTTAGGATACACAATCCTCATCAGGACAGATAGTTTTGAAAACAGAAGCATATTTACTCTTCACACAACTTGGTTGGGGATATTAGGAATTTTTAACACAAAACTTTATTATTTTCAAAACTTAATACTATATCATTTTTCACTTTTATTTTCAGGACAAAAATATCAGAAAATTGCAAAAGAATACCAGAATTTGTGCCAATTCAGTTTTCCTACACTCACCCTGTCAACAAATTTTGCAAAGTTTGTTGCAAAGCAAGTGACCAATTAAGAGAGTTTGCAACACCTTACAAGAGTTCGTCAACATCTTATTGATTTTGACAAAACTCAAGTTTACAACAAATTAGTTTATACCAGTTTGGATTAGCAGAATTAGAAGTGGACACATACACATATTTGGAAAGTTTGCAACAAGTCATCAAGATTTGCCACAGTTTCTCAAAATTGGCTAAAGCTTAATCAAAAATTTGCTGTTTTTAACAGTTTCTAGAGTTGAGTGGTCAAGACTAGAGTAGACATATTTGGCAATCAAATTGTTATCAAAAAAAGGTGGCAACACGTCAAAAAGTTTGCAACAATTCAACTAAAGTTTGCAAACGATTCTTTGATCAAAAGTTTTGTGAAAAATACAATTTGGAGTTAATCACAGTTTGGATTGAAGAGAGCTAAAGGTAGACATATTTGACAAGAGAAATAAGTAAGTTTGCAACAATTCAACAAAACCTTGACATAATTCGTTTTTGATCAGAACACATTCCAACAACTAAATTTGGAGTTGATCACAGTTTTGGACTAAAAAGAGCTAAAGGTGGACATATTTGATGGTATTAGTGAAATCCCTGTGAGCAGTCGGATTACATAACGCCTCCCCTAGCAACCAGTCAGTTAATGATCCACCCCCAGGTGAAATTCATTCAACCAGCAACAAACCTTCATTTCATTTGCTGTCTGCAACATCTGTCTAGTAACTGGCCAAATTTTAGCAGAAGGTAAATTCAGAGCTTGAACAAGGCAGAAGTAAATTTGGTGGTCCAAATTTTTAGCAAACTTCAAACTTGATGTTTGTATCCAGAAGTTCTGGATTTGTGCTGAAGTCAAATTTGAAGTTCTGGATTAATACAGAAGTCATTTTTGAAGTTTTGGAACAAATTTTAAGTTAAGGATTTATACAGCAGAAAAATAATCAGCAATTTAACGAAGTTTTGATGAAAAAAAAACCCTGCCAACAAGACAGTTTATTACTGAGTTGAGATTTAAGGTGAAGAGTGGAGTTTTGTGTTCTGGAAATTCAGTGATCACCATGGATGTAATGGAATTAGCTGCAGAACTCCAGAAATTGTTGTCAATCCACGATAAAACAGTGAAATATATTCTAGATTTAGGTAAGTACATAATTATTTTCATACACAACCTTATCAAGGTAGTTAGTTTTAGAAATGGAGGTTAAAGGGATTGTTAAAAACACTGATAGTATCAATTTGCACCATTCCAATGTCTGTGGTTCCTGCAATTCCACCAAAACTAATCCTTAAATGGACTTCACTATTGCATTGGTCCTTATATTATTAGCAGCTTTTGCAATGGTGACATCATAAAAAGCTTACTTTTAGTGGAAATACAGGAACCACAGACGTCTGATTGAAATTAGAATGACCCAAATCGATGCTATGAATGTGATACATATAAAAAAAATTAGAAACCCTCTTTACAATTTCTAAAACTTTCCAATAGTGATTAAAACCTCTTTGAAATATCATAGCTGGTGCTTTAGTAAGAATAAGTCAGCCCTCAAACAAAACTCATAAAATTTATGATCCAGTGAGGCTCAACCTTGAGAAGTTCATTGACCACTACCCTATAATTAATTTAGATAGGGTATAATTAACCCCAGCCCCCAGGGCCCAGGTATTAAGGTTTATTTCAACCCCTAGAATATTCACAGTTTTATACTAAATCCCTCAAATAGATCCCTAATTTACTATATTACATAAAATAACTTTAATACCTTCGTAAAAGTTGGAAATTGGTGAGTGAGGGTGTGTTTGTGTGTGGGGGGGAGGGGGGGGGGGGGTGATATTTGTCAATTGAGCAAAATACCATAGAAATGATGCATGTCTTTTTCAAACCTCACAACCCAGTTTCCTCCTGTCAGAGATGCAGGTTGGAGGGGCTGACATAGAAAAGCATCAAGTCGTTCAGATTCAGATTAAAGATTCCTCTGAATTTAGATATCGAAAGAGAAGAGGCTAATGCCACTGTCCTGGGAAAATTTCCCTCATTACATACAGCATGGCATTATCTGTCTAATGCAACAATTCAGAAAATGTATCAACTTTTATTTGTGTATTTGCCTAACTGAAATTTCTCAAATCTTACTTACAATTTTGCCATTCATATAAGAGAGCATCAAACAAATTTACATATTCATACCAAACTAATTAGCATATTCATATATTTCTCTTTTCTATTTTCAGACAGCCGAGTGTGCGATTTGAACCATCGATCACTGGCGTTGATCAACTTGGACAAAACAGGTCAGGCCTTACATATGATGCATAAAAAGGCCACCTTAGAAAGCGTGAGAGAAATGTACAAACATTATCGGTGCAAAAAATGGACCGAAATTCAAAAATTATCGAAAAAAATTATGTCACAGTTGTCACCGGAAGCACCGAACTTGCTACCCGATTCCATTTTCCCAGAAGATGACGGAACATCGGAAGTGGATGAACGTGTTCAACATGTACTGAAAGTTGCGATGGTCCAACAATGTGAATTTTCTAGATACACATAGAGTTCAAACATAAGTTATGATTTGGCGCTTTTCCTAAAACTTGCTTCAAGATGATTTTATTGTTCCAGTCATCTGATTGGTCAATCAATTTAACCGATTTCAAATCAGATTACTGTATTTCTTAAAATCTGAATTTTATCTGAATTAGGTTTTTTGAGGCCAAGGCTCCTGATCATGTTTTAATGTCCAAAATGCATTAAAATTACAAGTGATATCAACCTCAGGGAACAAGACACATAAATAATTATTAGAAGAGGTAAAGGAAATTATTTTTCTAAATATGTGAACTCTCTGAATAAGAGTAAAATATTTAAAACTTTGTCAAGTGTTACAATACAAAGTGCAATAAACTGTGATCTCAAAATAATATTAGACGACATTTTTGTCAACAATTCTTTCATTTTATAATTTATTTATTTATTTATATATTTATTTTTTATGATGTATTAAATTATTGAAACTTTTTCTGTGTTATAATTTGCCACAATAATTCGCAGCTAAATATGCCAAAAGTACAGAGAACGAGTCCTCATGTATATACAATGTTATAGAAACTTTGGCATGTTTGGTTGTAAAGAAAATTTTTTACTAATGAGCCTGGGTTTATTGATCAAGGGAGATAACCCCTTAGAATGACAAATATTACAATTATTACCTGATTATATGGATGTATTGGATTATAGAGGGATTCTGTTGTATATTTATGGCACTAGGTGGGTCCACTGATGAATATATACTCATATTTGTCAAGGTTGACATTTAAAATTCTACGTTCATTATAAGAGGTAGTATCTCTTTAAGAGAGTCCCCAATACAAATTATCTACTTAAAGGGACAGCTGTGCCATTTTGGGGGGTTGATTTTAGTCTTGAATATAGGTAAATATATGAAAATCACATAATTCCTTTAAAAAATACTTCAAACTAAGAATTTTACTCACTATTTCTATATATGTCTTTTCTATATATCACAGAGTATATTAATTTTTGACGAGTCGTCATTTTAACATTCAAACGCAGATAATCTGGACACACATGAATTTGAAGGCTCAAATTTTAACAGTGAGCTATGAACACTATCACTGATTGGCTTAGCTAAAAAAAAATGCCAGTTTCGGAGACTAAAGTATGATTGGTCAAAAAATGGCTTACCTGATAAGATAACAGTACAGAAAAGTTATCTTAAAAATCTAAATTGTTTAGATGTAATAGTGAGTTATAATTAATTCATTAAGGGAGTCCACAATCTTACTGATCTACACATTCCAGAGTTTGAGAAACCAGCTTGAATATATTAAGGACTAGCCATAATTAATTCATGCTGAGAATCCCTATCCCTTAAAGCTGTACATCAGTAAGACTGTGAACTCTCTTAATAAATGAATTATAACTAATTAGTAGTAGCCAATTATAATGATATAGATACTTTGAAATGAAATGGAGTTTTTCTCTTCATATAAACTTTAAATACATGCTGATGTTATAGTTTTAAGAGGTGTACACCAGTAAGATTGTGAACTCCCTTAATGAATTAATTATTGCTCATTAGTAATTTGTAATGAAGATATCAAAAGATAACATAGGCCATTGAAAATTAATTTTCTATTCTTTCTGGTATTTATTTTTATGGGACAAATATCATTGATGTAAAAAATTCTGATGCTACTTCAAGGGAGTGTAAAATGAAATGAAATGAATGGAGTTTTACGTCTTACTTTTCTGCACCTAATTGAGCTATGGAGATGGGCAATGCCATGAAGTGTGCAATGAGGGGAAACTTGCCAGAGAGCAGCATACGCCTACTCTTTTTCGATTACAAGGGTTTGTAAAATGTTAGCTGATTGAGCTTCCATGAATATTCATGAGTTCACGGTAGCTAATATTATATTTAATATTAGCTTATTATTTATATAAACACACCAGATGTTGACAAACATTGATAACTAACGAGCTGACTTAATTAATTAATAAATAAATATTCTTATCTAAGATTTATATAATACCAGGTTTGTCTTAATTAAAGGTATTAGCCCGGGCCGACTCTGGGAAGCACTGGCACAGGCATCAGTTGATTAAAGGGATAGGGTTTTCTAAATTCTTTGTGTGTTATGGCATTGATTTCCATCATTCCAATTTTTAAACGTCTTAGAAAATGTAATTCAATTTTTATCACAAAGGCTCTTAGATATTATTAGCAGCTTTTGTGATTAGTGACGTCATAAAACCCTTAGTTTTTTTTGAATTGCAGGAACCACAGACTTCTGATTGACAAATGGAATGGTGCAAATTGATGCAATCAGTGTCCCCAATAAACATAAAAATGTTAGAAAAACCTTTTCACAATCCCTTTAAGAGAATAACAGTATTACCTGAGAAGAGCCAACTAGTTGATAATAATAATCAGTTGGTGTTGCAGCAGACACCTCCTTATCTCCCTTTGATACTCCTAGAGTTACCTTTCCTTCATTATAAAATCTGCCACCAGATTCTAAAACAAACAAAATCAGAGTCATTAGTCCTACTTTTCTTTTGGTTAATGAAAGAAGTTTCAAGCCCTGCAGTATACAATGGAGACTTTCAAATATCATAGGTGACTAACTAAACATAAAGGTCTTTTTTGCGATTTTGACACATTTTTAAAGCCGGAATAGGTCAGAATATTTACCTATTTCCGCGACATCTAATTTGACTTCACGATCTCCTGGTACAGTATCAATTACTACTCTCATCCATAGGTTACTTCCCTTGGATAGAACTCTTCTACCTAGAAAAACACAAATCGTCATAATCTTTCAATGTTTTTCTGTTCCACAGCTTCGAAAAATGTAACTAATGTGTTCACTTTGATACACAAACAGTCTATGTGATTTAGTGTAGACTGGTGCATTATGGGATTTGATATCGTCCAATCAATGACAATAGCTCCAATCCATTCCTTAAATGGAATGGCTGACCAGCTAATATAATATCTTTAAATCAATTTCAAGTCTGACAATTCTGAAAAAAAATTGTACAAAGGGAAATAACTCCAATTAACAAAACTCACCACTGAGAGTGTCAGAACCACCAAGCAAATCTTTATCACCTTGGGAACTGCCGTCATTCAGAACTAAACGATCTGCACCCATCAACTTCACGGACAACAGACTGGCCATCAATGGTTTTTTATCCTGGCTTGTGAAGATGACACGACATTCTGTGACTTGTGGATGGACAGACGGAATGTCTAGCGTGTAGGTCAAGGATGTTGTATTCACAGTTATCGACTTTGTACATTCTGAAAAGGATACAACAGACATGTAGGATGTACAATATGGCAAAATAAATATGCTGAAACACTAAGAAATTATGACCATATCAAGGAAGAATTTTTGGGAATATACCACAATATACACTTACGTTCTGCAGCTTGTGTGACTACCCCACTAAAAGTCTGTATAGCGCTAGAATTGTTGATTGTCAGAGTAGCTGTAACATGAGGGTTGGCACCAAGATTTCTGTCTCCTGGAAGTGTGGTTCCTGAAATGATAGTAATAGAATTGCTAACAACCTACATATATTAGAGAAGTCTTGCAGAGTCAGTATCTAAAAGGTCTTTAAATATCATTAGCAGCTTTTGAGACAATTAAACAAGTTTGGGTGAAATAGCAAAAATTACAGACGTCTGATGGAATCTTAAAGAGTACCCAATACACATCAAATGTATATAAATATACATAAATTTTTTAACCAAATTAGTTGAACTAACCTGTAAAATTGTCGCCACCAATCATGAGCTCTCCATCAGGTAAATTGAAGGTAAGAAAGGCTAGGATACCAGTGTATGGTTTAACAACAGTTTGACCTATTGTATAGTTACAGTTAAACCCTCCGCGACCTGGTAAATAAAGTGGTGGACTTATCTCCCCTGAATCTACCGTCTTATTACATTCTGAAAAGCAGAAACAACAGAAATTAATTAAATTAACTGGGTTAACACCACCAGCCAATCAAATTTCTTTCCTTTCCAACGCTTGGATTTTTTGACACAAAAGGTGGATTTCGAGAAGCATCAGAAACTGAATGCATCTTTTGTTTGTGTCACAAAATCCCAGCGTTGCAGAGGGTAGTACTTTGATTGGTTGGAGGCCTCATCAAGCAGGCGTTTGCTCAAGAAGGGGTCTTCAGACCCTAACTAAAGTGGCTATATTAAAAATAAAACTTAATAACAAACAGAACGAAAGTTTGGTCTTATCTTAATTTAACTGATATTTTGTTTTGTCAATTTTGCCCTGGAGTAGACCCAAAGTTGTGATCAATCAAGAACAAAGAACTTACCGTTTGCTGCGTAGTCAATTTGAATATCTCCTGACTTGGCAATTGTTCTTCTAAAAACTATCGTAGTGACATTTGATAAACTTACCATCCATTTTTCACCTACAATAAAAAAAAACACTATAATTACAGGCCCAGAAAACATGGGACATTTAAAGATGGGGTAGGAGGGGGGCATATATTTTCAACCAGACAAAAAAATATATCTGTCTACCGCCGAAAAAAACATCCTTAACCAGTATCCTTCTTGGACAAAACCGAGTCCCTAATATAACTAAGCATCCCCCCCCCCCCCTCCCACACCTTTTCCATACCTCAAAACTTGTGACTCACCCATAGTGTTGGTATAATTGTACAGTAATTCTGTGTCATTTTTCGCCTCTTCCAAATCACCGTCATAAATCTCTAACAGATTTCCATTTTCAGACTTAGTGTTCAAGACTATTGTCGTCTGGTATGGTTTTTCAGCCGTGATTGTCCAGGTACAGGTTTCATTGAGGTCTCCAAAGGTATCATTAATTAGGATACTTCCATTTCCAGAGAGTGTTCCTCCACAAGTTCCTGCAGCGACTGAAATTATACATATTGATTCTTTATAACTCCTGTTTTTAATTTAACAGCTAATGGTGCAGGTCTTGGTTAACGATTTTTTCGCCAATTAGAGTTTTGTCATGAATAGTGTGGTATTGCGATACATCGATTCACAGATATATCCTGGCAGAACTTTGTGCTTTGGGCACACGAGGAGACAAAAATCTCCAGTAGGTCTTTTCCCACTATGTTGATAATCACATGTGGATCATGATAATTGAAAGAAAACTGAAAATTTGAATCAAGATTCGAGTCGGCTACAAAAATCAGCAACCAACTCTTGGTGAGAGAATTGTGCACAAGTTTGAGGGATTCTGAATCAGTCTGTTAAAAGCATAAGGACCTTATGACATCATTTTGCTTGGCAACGTTAAACAAATGATGGTCATAAGTTCTATTCTCTGTTGGCATGTGCTAGTCTGGTGACCCTCATCAAGTCGTCTTCCCTTATTATTTCAGACCAGTCAGTGGGGTAATGCAGGAAGGATCCATGTCAAGAAGTTTTAAAAGAAGAATAAAACTCACCATCTTCACAAAAAACACAAGGAATAAAAACTAACACCACCGTATACAGTAACAACATCATTTCAAGTATTATAATTCAAAACCTGGAAAATATAATCAGAAAACTGAATTTGTTACTGAGTCAGTTTGAACGCTTTTTCTTAACAGGATACGTCGAGCAAATGGTAGTCATAGGTTCTAATCTCGATCATAATTCAGTCAAACCAGCTGTAAATGTATTCGGATAGAAAGATGAATACCAAGAGGTTTGGACAAGTACCAGCTGGCAGAAAAGATTCTCATGAGCCTAAGTTGTTATCCTTGTAAAATATAGTTGTTTCGTTAGAAACCTCTCAGTAATAATTCGTTTTGATTATTGAATGATCTAGACAGAATGATAATTACGGCAAGTTATATCATTAAAGTGATACTACGTCTTAGAATAACATAAAATTTAAGCTCTCAAGAAAAGTTTTTTGGATTTATCGAATTATATAAGGATCCTGTTATGTTATTTATGACACCAGGTATATCTACTGATAAATATATACACTTATTGACCAAGTTTAAAATTCTTAAATTCTATGTTCATTCTAAGACGTAGTATTCCTTTAAAATAAAACAACACCCATACCAGATCAATAATACCCTATATAATCACAAGACAATCTTATCTGGGATCTTTCTACTTACACAACAATAATTACATATTTTGCAATACTATCCCTCTAACAGAGTAAGGTCCAGAGTGCAATCCTGGCAAAGGTCGAGATAATACACTTGGATTTTTCAACTTGTTTGTTCAATGTAGGTTGAAGGGGCTGACATAGTAAAGCATATAGTCATTCGGAAGGGACATTAACAAAGGCCCAGTGAGCTACAGGCTGTTCACAATGCACATTAAAGATTCCTCAACAGTTTCCATCATAGCACACTGCAAGGTGTTTCCTGTTTTCATTACACAATAAGGTTCAGAAAAAAGGTATAAAACTTCAAATCATTTTCAACAGTGTAAAAACTTAATTTTGATCATGTACATTGACATACATGTTAAATGTATCACAGTACACATCAAAACCTTTGCCAAAATTTTATACCATTTCCTTCTTCCTCCTTTCAAGTTTATTGTGTTGATTGTAAAAGGACAGACTTCTATCTGTATTATGAGCCAAGTACCTGTCAGAGTAACTGTAAGTTCATCTCAAAGTGATAGGGGTAAAAAAATGACTCCAGAATCACTGGCTGTGGCAGAATATTTTCTAAGATCACCACTTATTTCAAGCAATTAAGCCAAGTATTTCATTCACCTAATAGATTCTAGCAGATGACAATCCAACTTGGTACAGACGTGAGTCATTTTATTGTCCTAGCAGATGACAATCCAACTTGGTACAGACTGAGCTATTCCACTGTCCTAGCAGATGACAATCCAACTTGGTACAGACTGAGCTATTCCACTGTCCTAGCAGATGACAATCCAACTTGGTACAGACTGAGCTATTCCACTGTCCTAGCAGATGACAATCCAACTTGCTACAGACTGAGCTATTCCACTGTCCTAGCAGATGACAATCCAACTTGGTACAGACTGAGTCATTTTATTGTCTTAGCAGTTAACAATCCAACTTGGTACTGACTGAGCTATTTCACGGTCTTAGCAGACGACAATCCAACTTGTTAGAACTGAGATATTCCACTGTCCTAGCTGATGACAATCCAACTCACTACCGACTGAGCTATTCCACAGTTCTAGCAGACAACAATCCATCTTGCTACTTACTGACTGAGCTATTTCACGTTCATAGCAGATGACAATCCATCTTGCTACTTACTGACTGAGCTATTCCACTGTCCTAGCAGACGACAATCCATCTTGCTACTTACTGACTGAGCTATTCCACTGTCCTAGCAGACCACAATCCATCTTGCTACTTACTGACTGAGCTATTCTACTGTCCTAGCAGACGACAATCCAACTAACTACCAACTGATCTATTCCACTGTCCTAGCAGACCACAATCCATCTTGCTACTTACTGACTGAGCTATTCCACTGTCCTAGCAGACGACAATTTTACTCACAAACAACTGAGCTATTCCACTGCCCTAGCAGACGAAAATTCAACTTACTAGTAATTGAGCTATTTCACTGCAATTAATAGTGCAAGAATGGATATCAAATTCCAATAGGAAATCAAATTAAAAATTTATCACTAGATCTAATGAATGTCATGCATTTCAGTCATCATCAGATGATAAATTCACTCACTTTATCATGATTCTTGTGACATTACAAAACTAAGTAAATGATTTAACAAAATTTCCACAAGGATGTGTCATATAAATTTTGACAGTTTTATAAAATTAAATTTTACTTTATGAACTTGATTAAAACATGCTACAATAAGCACTGCAGTGTTCAATGAAGGAAATTTTGCCAGGATAGCAGCATTAGAATATAGAATAGGCCTCTAAGGGCAGTCATATCTCCTTTCCAACTGTCAATTGTCCAGTCTAAATGGTTTTAGTTAAGTTCAAATAAGTAGGCTAACAATGACACTCAGCCATTTCTATTTGATGTTGTTCTAGTTTTGACATTGCCTAATTACTTAAACCACAGTATTCTTGTCTACTACAGTACTAGCAGTCTGTAACTAAATGGGGGGAGGAATGAGTCCCCTGGAATTATATTCGCCCCCTACCCCTGCAAAATCCACTTGAGTGGCATGAGTCTACCCTAGTCCCTTCAGTAGCATTCACAAGTATCAATGGCATGGGAAAGCAAATCGAAGTGGATGACATTGTTATGCAAAGGCAAAGCAAGGTCCGGGATACCTGGATACCCTGCTTTCTCGTCCCCTTCCTATTTTTTGCAGAAGTCAAATTACACTGAGACTGTGAGATAAGGACACTGTGACTAGGACAGACGGATGTCATGAGATGATGCATTGCGCATTGCAAATCGGAATGCATAGCACATCCATCTAAACAAACCAACAATACGAATGACAACATGTCAAACGTTTCAAGGACAAATAAAAGCAAAACCATACCCCAATGTTTAATTTCCTTGTTTCAAAAATCTTAATTCAGCGTCCTTCAACTGCAAGATAAGCTGTAAAACTTGCCCTGACTTTTCCCTCAGTCAGCTTGTACTTTTCAAGGAAACGCCCCCACGTGACATAAAGTTTACTTCCGGTTCAAATAAGGTTCAAATCATAGGGACTCGTTAGCTTGTCGTTACTTTTACATAGGGACCCGAAAATTCTTGCTGCATCAGATTCTGTATTTTGTTCGATCGTACCAAATTCAACGCATTCAGAATACAGCTCAAGGCTATCAAAGTGGCAAATTTCGGAGTAGAAGGATAGGCACAAATTGGAGACCCAGGTTACAGAGAGTAGGCTAAGCCTAGCTCTTTTATTAATCCGAAACTCTTTCTCCTGCTTAGCCCAGGATTGGCTTTATTATGAACGCTAGAAGTAAGGAACGCTGAAACATCATCACAGAGCCCACAGGACATCATTGTATTTCGGAGTAGTGCCTATCCCTTAACATGGGCTCATGAATATTAAGGTTCGGGGGGGGGGGGGGGGGGTATGGCTTTATCACCATAGAGGCATTATCCCTTTTTGGGGTTAGGGTTAGGGTTAGGGTTAGGGTTATCACCATAGAGGCATTATCCCTTTTTGGGGGGTAGCAGGCAAGCATAAAAATATTATCCCTGGGGACAAACAGTGTGAAAAAACAAAATACATGTATCGAGAACTTTCAGTCGCTATCTTTATTAGAAATATCAATTGTCAGAGAGGAGTCAAATGTCAGGGGTGAAATGCTTGACACATCCAGGTTTGGGGAGTGGCAAGGCGAGAGCGAGGGAGAGGGCGTCTTGGAAGTCAAACTTAAAGATTCATTATTTTTTTCGTCCTCAAATGGTCTTTTTATTGGTACAAACGCCGATTTTTCACTTCCCAACTTCAAATTTTTGTGTTCGGGTTGAATGAGTTTCAATGGAATGTATGTGTCAGGCTCGACCGCCATTTTGTTTGTATTCAAGCGATCTGATTGGTTGAGATTATTTGAATTCTGGTCTATGATTGGCGAATGAGATGGAGGCTGTAAATGCGATAAATTGATTGGTCGATTGGTTGTCATATTGAGGCATGGTGGATAACGAAGCATGTACTGGGTTGATCCTTGGATGATTTTGAGTCGTTCGTTTCTTCGCCATTTCGCTCGTCTGTTGGAGAACCAAACCTGGAAAATTTAAAAGGTACAAAATAATTCCATCTCTCTACAGAAACGTAGATTTTGGATTAAACTTAATCAAATTAGGGAGTGAGGGGGGCATGACCCACCCGTCCTTACGTCACTGCTTACCTGAACACGAGCCTCAGAAAGACCAGTCTTTACGGCAAGGTCTTCTCGAGTTGCAACACCAGGATAATGCGTCTTGAGGAACTCCTGCTCCAGTACTTCCAGCTGCGACTGACAAAACGTTGTTCTATTACGACGTAACTTCTGCCGATTTTCGTTAGGGACTTCCGGACTCTTTCGTTCTGAAATATATTATATTTTTCTAATATAGGTACTGTACATACTGCAATTATTTTCTATATGTTAATTTGCACGTGTAGCCTATTTGAATCCATTAAGTTTATGACGTCACTATCGCAAAGTACAAAGGTCCTTTCAGTAAGATATTATAAGCAGTTTTGCACCAGTGAACTCATATTTTTACAGTTAAGCTCCCAGGCACCACAGACATGAGATGCAAATTGAAATTAGGCAAATGTATGCGGTAAGTGTCCCCAATACACAATGGGGCCTACAAAATTTAGAAAACCTTATTACGACCACTTTAAGACAGATACAGATAGTTTCGGACTAAGAACCTACCAGCTTCGTCAGAAGAATCGTTGGATTGGTCTTTTTGGTCGACATTCCAAGAACTGTCAGGTTTTCTGTACACTGATGGTGCCAGAGTTGGTGGTACTGGGCTCGGCAAAACTGGTGACCCCCACCAGGGATTATAAATGGGCTGAAACACATGGGACGCCATCTTGGCATACTCGGCTGCTGCTCTTTCTGCGGACCTGTTCCTCAAGATCCTGTTGATGGAGCTGACACTTGGTACATTTGATGGTTGGCAGATACCTACAAATAGAAACAATGGAGGTTTTACACTCAGTAGTCCTAAGTGAACATGCATAAACAAATTCGACAATCCTCGACAGTCTCCGTAAAGCTGCAGAGTGCTTGCGGTTTTTTATGGATGATCGTTTGGCATCATCGGTAGGTAATAGCAAACAAACAAACATAGTAGGGCCTACGCGGATCCAAAGTTGCTGTCCTTCTGTAGCATGGACGTTTCTTCTGCTTTTGTTAAAGGGATTGTAAAGAGGGTTTCCAAACTTTTTATGTGTATTCGAGACACAAAGTATGATTCGGACGCCTGTGGTTTTTGTAATTCCTCTTAAACTAAGAGTTCTATGACGTCACTAAAGCAAACGCTACCATTAAAACTAACAGGTAAGAAAATCTCTTTACAATCCCTTTAACTCAGAATTATTGAATTTCTATTAGTCTACTCACTATCTTCAAGAAGTCTATCCCGTATTTCCCAAGCAAACATTGTGGGGTTTTCTCGTTTCAGCATCTCTATTTTAGTGACGACTCCTGGTGTAGCCACTTTCGGTTTACTTCCACCAATATTATTACAGCGTAATGTCATAGGATCGTACAGTCGATCTGAAATATCGATGAAGGTCATGATACAGAATGCACGTGTATTGACCAAATGCGTATTGCCATAAACTACATCGTTATGTCATAGGATTACACAGTCGATCTAAAATATCTATATAGGTCATGGTACAGAATGCACGTACTTTGGATATTTTACGCTCAAAAGTTGCAGAGCTTACAGGGGCTGTAAAGAGATTTCCTAACTTTTAATGTGTATTGGAGACACTTATAGTATCAATTTGCACCATTTCAATTTTCGGTCAGCCGTCTGTGGTTCTTGAAATTCATTAAAACTAAGCGTTTTATTTATTAGCAGCTATTGATATAGTGACGTCATATACGGTTAAGCATGTCTATAATTACAGGAACCACAGACGTCTGGCTGAAAATTAGAAGTCATAAATGACCATGATAAGCATATAAAGTTTAGAAAACCTTTTTACACTCCCTTTAAGCTATTCAGTATTAGTAATGAACGTGCGTTGGGAAACTAATTAGAAAACACATACTATCAAAAGCTCATGATGTATAAAGACGAAATTTCAAATATCTATAGGCCTATAGCAGTTTATTGCCAAGTTTTAACTACATATATATCATCGCAATGAATAACGCATACAATGGCTGCAAATCCGGCGGATTGCTACGTCGTTAGAAATCAATCCGCGTAACGATATAGTCACACGCGTAGAGTTAAGACATGTGACACCTCAGCTGGTGGTGACTAATAGACTAAACCACTTTTATTGATAAAATGTTCATTATAATTTTACTATATAATACGATATACCATAGAGTTAAAACTCATATAAGCCATATACTAAACAACCATGGTCACAGTGCACGCACGAGAGTTTCTGTTCGATATGCATGAATTCTCTTCTATAGGAAATACTTCAGTGTATGGCAACATTTGTGACTTTCTCAATCCATGTTAAAATATGATTGTTATTAAATATTCAATACTTATTCATTTTTAAAATTAATTGGAGTTTAAAACGAAACTTGTCTGAATTAATATCAAAACTAAAAACTTCCAAAGAAAGTAAGAAAGAATTCTCTAAGGGGCCTTATTTTATATCCGCCAATCCATATAAGTGCTTCCAAATCCCTCCCTGGCCAAAAAGTTCCTATAAAGGCCTGCGAATATGTTAATTTCATAATTGAGCCCCGAGCAGACCCGTAACCAGCCCAATGTGCCAAGTGGGGTGGCCGTATTGCATTGGGGGCAATATCTGATAAAGACTGATTTCAACTTCAATTGAGATATTGAATTTTTGCAAGGGGGTGGGGGCGAACATGGTTCCAGAAGGGGCACTGCTCCCTCCTCAAATCGCCCCCTCCCCACCCCTTTGAAAGTTACGGGCCTGGCTCCGAGGCAATTTAAAGTACATAGACATGCAAAGTAGACGGCAATGGAGGCTTTTGTAATTTCCGTCGCCAAAAACTTTAAAAAAAAGTATTTCAAAAACATATAATTCTCAAATTATAAATTGAATATATTAAAATCCTTGATAGCAAATTTGTTGTATGAAAATTTACTCACTCCACAAGCGTTGATAATATTCTCGAGACATGAGATTGAGGGAGTTCTGGGGGTCACTGGTTGTCTGGGGCAGGAAATGGGGCAGGCTCATTAAACTTGGTCGGACAGGAAACATACTAAATGGGGGAGGTGTTGAGTCCATTTTGAATTTGGTTTCTGAAAAAAAAATCGAAAATGATTATATCCTAATTCTATTTCAAATTAATTTCCAAAAAATCAAATCAATTTCTATAAAAATTCAATCCTTTTTTTAAAATCGATTTATAACAAAATTCAAATCCCCATACCGCAGAAAATTCTCATTTCTAAAAAAAATTCAGTCCTGATTTCTCAAAAATTCAATTCTTATTTCTCAAAAATTCAGTCCATATTTCTCAAAAATTTTCAGTTCTTATTTCTCAAAATTCAGTCCTTTATTTCTCTTTTAAAAATAAAAGTCAATTCATGAAAAATCATGTCCACATTTCTCAAAATTTAGAGTTTTTATTATTTAAAAAAAAACAATAACGTTTAATATTAACCCCTTTAAAAAAACAGTAATCATTTCTAAAACTGTTAAGTTTTTATTTTGCAAAAAATGTAAATTCCTAAATTTTATCGAATAGGTTGCAAGATTCCGCACCCACAACGGAACGAAAAACTACTAAACGGAATGGATGCTGCGTTCGTTCACATAATAGAATTGAATCCAGGACAACTCTTGAGTTGCCTTTGAAAAAAAAAATATTTTTTACAAAAAAACTATTTGTACAACTGGTATTTTTTGTAATAATTGGTGAAAAATTATTCAAAGCCTATTAATGTCATTAAATTATGGTTGTGACAGTAAAGGTGTTTAGGTAAAATTTTCAAGAATAGACAATATTAAAATACCTTTTAAGTTCCTAATTTTCTATTTTGGTGAAAAAATTTACAATAAAAAAAAAAAAAAAAAAAATATACTTACTTTATATCTGAAATATTCTTGTTAGATTTTCTGTATTTTCATAATAATTTGATCCAAGTAATAAAGTTTTTTTTACCAAGACATTATTGCTATTCACAAAAACAAACAAGGGTTTTTACGTTTTCAGCACCCAAATATGACAAATTGTTCGCAATACTGTTCACCAATTAAAAATAAATACTTAAAGTTCAATTTTAAAAACTTGTTTCAGAAGTATTCAAAGGAATATGAAGAAATATTTCCAATTTAACGCATCCGAAACACGTTCCGTAATCCAAAAAATAGTTTAAGATCCGAACTTTGAGACGAGCATGCTGTCGGTGACCTATAGGATCAACAATGTTAAAGAAAGCAGCGAGTTCCAGAAAAAAACAATATCAAAAGAAGACTATCACCGATGATCCGAAGCAACGATTTTCCAGAAACGGCTTGGCTTCTTGCTGCAGACTTCCAATTTCCTTAACAGCCTTAGTTCTTGTCCCCAAGAGTCCAAATTCCAAACCAGATTTGACTCCTAGTTCCAAGTCTTGCGAGGAAATAAATAAACTGAAGTATATAACGATTGTCTAGAAACGGTTCCAATCCAAGACAAGGTTCTCCTGTAGCACCAAGTCTTACGACGAGAAAAAGATCCGAGGCAACGAATTTCCAGAAACGGAAAGTTCGCAAAAGTCCTAGCTCCAAGTCTTGCGACGAAACAAAAACTGTCGTACGAGGTGTATAACGCATGCAATTAAATAAAATAATTAATAAAGGTTTATCTTTCCAATAACTCACAGAAGTCGAGATAAACTTTCATAAAATTCACAAATTAAATAAATACTTATTATGTTAGCGCCTGATAGATTCTAGATAATGTCAATCATTCTCTAACTCCGCCCACTTTATGCAAATTCATTTAACATCTGTTGCAGTTATGTTTATTTAAACAGACAGCCTAACACGCCAAAATATATCATTACAGAAGGTTTATTTTATATCATCATTGATATTTTGGCTGGTTTGGTTGAGAGCAATGAATATACAAATGTATACTATGCACAGTCGGAACATATCAGTCATGAATCTAAGAAAATATTTAAAACTCTCCCTAGCATATATCTCAGATGACGCCTAAATACGGACAAATTGAAAGCAAGATTTCCATTTCAAAAGCGACACAAATGGCTGACATCAAGCTCTGTCAGCTACTGAAGCAAACATTTGGGCGACTACATCCGTTTCACATACTAAAACAGATTAAATATCACACTGTTAAAGACGCTTCAGATTACGCGTGCATTGACCTACATAGTCCAAAACGTTAGAAAGAAAACGAATGATACATCGGCCTGTCTGGAGGATGAAAAATCTTTAAGAACACCCTATGGCATTCTGCGACTGATTTGTCATTATTTTAACATTTTCATCATCGACAAGTCGTCCGAGATATTTTCTCGACCCGAAAGTTTCGATTGTAACGGCACGTGTTTGTTGCCCTATCAATTAGTAGGAAAGGGTGCCGACTCGCGACTTTCCTTTTACTCTTTTTTCACGTATTAACTCGATAATTTGGTTGTAATGTTTAAATTTGCTGAGATAATCCCAGATGGGCGAAATAAATGAAGTAAAGCCTAGTGTTTTAATTATATTTCAATATTCCATATTTACTGTTATTCTTATTGATCGTGTTCGAACTCCAACATCTGTAATCTCCGCACGTGTCACCCCCCCTCTCCCCTACCTAATACCTCAGAAATACAAAACCAATAAAGCTCATAAGTAGCATAGGGAGAAAGCAACGTTTCGACGATGTACTGTCGTATACATTTGGCTTTATTGTACACAAATGTACATACAATGCATGTTTTTTCTGTTTTATTTGGTACAAAAGCACTGGTCGAGAATAATTCATTTATATCAATTACTGTTATTCGGAGAAATAATGCAAATCTACGTAGTGTTTATCAGGTACTCAGTCAAGGTATAATACGAAGCTCGTAATAGCTTGACATTATGATGATATCTTGCTAAATGTGCGAGCGTCTGACCTGAATCGTGATCTCAAACATGCGTCCACAGAAATATACATAAATTTGTTAATTGGAAATAATCAATACGCGATGTTAATTTTGTTTAAAAAAATGAAATGCTAAAAATATTAATATATAATATTTAATGTGAAATTTGAATATTTATGTAAAATTGTTCGCTTTGTGATTTATTCTGGAGTTTTACCGTTTCAAATCAGTGATCTCGAGCTAATATATGTACATTCATAACCCGAGCTGGTTGTGTGTACAACATATACTTCAATCTAAAGGGATGTTATCGTCTAAATAACTACATGATCACCTTGCAGCGTACGTTTGTTTCAGATATAAAATATTTCACCATGGGCATGATTCTCGAAAACTTAACAAAGATAAAATCCCGATTTTAAAAAAGTTTTAAATAAAACTAGATTTAAAATTGATTTTAGTGATTGACCAATCAGATGACTGGGACACTAAAATCATCTTAAGGAAAGTTTCGAGATTGAGGCCTCAGGAAGCGAATGTGTTAAAACCTTAGGTAAGAGTGGGTTCTTCTCTATGAGAGATTACCTTGAAGAGCTAGATGAGCTATCGAGCAGCCTGAAAACTAAAATTTCGACGACTGCTTCCCTTTAAATTTGAAATCCATTAATAATTGTCTGTTTGCCAATTATTTTGTTTTGGTTTGTGATTTCATTCAAATAAATAAATATGGACTTATCGCTTAGTTAATCAGAAGGTATAATGAATTGATATTACTGTACACACAATGGATCGTATATGGATATGCAAATTAGGACAATATAAATTTTGCACATATCTGACTCCAAGCTGCGGGTAATTTTATGACATATTCGGTCGTTAATTTCAGAATAAAAACACATTAATATTATTTTTTGACATGTTCGGTTGTTAATTCCATCATTTAATCACAAAATTATATAATATTTAATATAGTCTAAAGTTTTAAGTTTTGTTAAATACAAAACGAAGTGATCCCGACCAAGTAATGTACCGTATTCACATAAATACACATACGTAAAGGGTTTCCATCGTATTTACACGTGCAGGCTCTTTTTCAATTTTAACTGCCAAACTTTCAATTGTATCAATCAAAACCTATCCTGTTGACAGTCTATTTATATTCAAGTGTGTCTTTGAGTGTTCCTCGCGTACTTAAGCTACACGTGCGTGCCTACAATAATGATAAATATAAAATTTAATACGAAAAGTACCGAATTGCTCGTCATTGTTGACTATAATCCAAATGTATCCAAGGATAGACATGGTATTTAGATACATGTGTGTGTGTTTTGAACTTCTCGTGCATTTACACGTGCGTGTTGCCTATATTGGTAAATATGACTTTATAAAATGTAAACTTAATACCCCAAAAAGTAATTTGAAATAGTCGCCATTGTTAAATTTAATCTGAAACGATCATTGGTAGATTATATATCTAAATGCAGGTATTCTCGTGCATTTACGCGTGCGTGTTGTCTACTTATTTGTCGCCATTGTTAAGAGTAATCCGAAATGATCTAGGTACACCATATCCAGGTGTGATTGAAACAAAGCTATCGGTGATAGATCTAACGAGATTTTCAACTGAATGGTTTAACAATGAAATAAATATAATTACGAAGATAAACATCTATATTCGAGTTTATTAGACCCAGTAGACTTTGATTTCATATAGTTTTTTTTATCATTTATGTATATCATAGTTATTAGCAATGTGGAATCTCCAGTAGAAATGGCAGCCGCGGTGACGCAGTGAGACTCTTGCTGGCAAAATTGTCTACATTGCACACTGCATGGCATTGCCTGTCTTTATTAACTCAGGTACAGACAAGTAGGATTTTAAACTCCATTCGTTTCATTTCCAAGTTGACAAACTAAAACGCATAGTGGATTCAGGTGTTCCGATAACTTGAAATTCCTTGGGAATAATTGGACCAAACAGATTTTGATTTCAAATAGTTTTCTATTATTTATGTACCGTATATCATAGTTATTAGAGCTATGTGGAATCTCCAAGTTGACATGAAGGCCGCGGTGGATCAGTAAGTTAGACGCATGTTGCTAAATTTCCCTCAATGCACACTGCATGGCGTTGCCATCGCCCCTTCAACATATATATGGCTTCCCTTTTACAGCGAGAAAACATGGTTGAAATAAGATAGCCCTTTTTGCAGTCTCACATTTATTCATTTAGGTATAATAGAGAGCGACAGGTGTGAAAAATTGGCAGAAATTTGACCCAATCGATTAGAATTACTTCTTCTGATCAATTTCCAAGTTTCGTGACCATTTTATTATTTTAATTTGCTGAAATTTATATTTTTATTTTCTATCGTTCACTAACTTACAGTTTGCTTATTGATTTATTTTTAAACATTATTATCATTTCAAATCATCGTCTGCTTGTTCACATCAGACGGAAATAGGTCGGTGAATTTCGGTAGTTTTCGTCAACAGTATGATCCACATGAAACTTCGTATGCTGTATGATCAAAGGGTCTACCTTAAACTACGGAAGCCGGATGGGGCCATATTACCCTCCATAGTGGACGTTTCACTACCGCTCTGCAACAGATTCAGCGTTACGTAAACGTTCAAGAAGAGAATAATGAGAAAATTTAGGACCGACCATCTGTTAGTTTTTAAATTGAGGGTATATTCAATATTTTTTATTCATATCAAATGAATGCCTTGGAGTTTGTAATTGGGAAGGAAAGTTGGTGGTAAGCGATAAGAACGAAATTAAGGTTAAATGAAATTAATGTGCTTTGAATAAATCAGCGTTATGGGTTATGGAATGAAATTTGAAAGCACATAGATTATGAAGATTTGGATAGGAGAGGTGTTGACAGGTGAGGGATTACTGGAAGGGGAGTGGGGTGGTATTGAGTTTAGGAGGGAAACTTAAAAGCCTCGGTGTGGCGATTGTGGTTGACAATATCCCATTTTCCAATCCAGGGACCAGTCAGTCTGGAGTCGAACTCATCGTTCGGATCATACTACAAATAACAAACGAATCCTATGAAGTAATCACGTCACAAAACAATTGAAGGGTAACCCTATTATAATTTGGGAGTTGATAAATCGAACTTAACTTACTGATTAGAGCTCACCTCATGCTGCGTTTCAGATACGCAACTCTGTCATCAGTAAACTTTCAAATATATCACTGAACAGGAGCGAGAAATCGATAACAAGAATATTCTGCAGTATCCTAAATGAGTCTTTTTGTAGCTTTCTGCGACAAAGTATAAAAATATCACTGACGCTGACTCTTCGCCGAAACGTACATGAATTAAGCATACAATTATCACAGATCAGTAAAGGGAGATAACTCATAATCACTTACGTCGACCATGTGCTGTTTCTGCCAAACGACTTTTCGATCCACGGATAAGAATTTGTCCCAGTCCGGTTTCAGGCTCGGATCATCTTTAGATCTAAAGACAATTCCGTCTCCAATGTTATAGAAGCCCATATTATAGTGCGGTGACTGCCATCTCAAATCAGTGCTCCAGCGGATATCATTGGATACATTGGGTAAACTGAAATTATAACATCATGTAGTATGCAATAGGGGAAATTCAGCTTTCTTCAGTTTGAAGAAAAATCCCATGCAGTGAGGGAAATTTTGCCTTGAGCTTATTCTATTAAGTTTAGCTTTCTTAACACCATGCAGTGTGCAACGAGGAAGTATGTCAGAAAAGCAGCATTATCTTATTCTGTTTCGATTTCCAACTGTAGAAGGGCATTTATGAAATCCCATGCAGTGTGCAATGAGGACATTCCTGTCAATCAGTGGCATAAGCCTACTCCTTTTTCGTTTACCAACAGTCAAGGGACACAAAAAACTATGTTTTCCGCTTCCAATTTTCTTTTATTTTGGATCAAAGCGGACCTCAGAGTAAGCCTTGTGTATTACAGATTCTAATTTTCTCAAGAGTTTATAAGAGTTACCTTCTGTGTGGTGTTAAATTATGGAATAATATAAACCCTCCGACTGGAACAGGTTCTATTCTAATATCATTCTCTAAATCAACTCCTAATAATGAGAAAAATACGAAATAACGCTATATTGTGTTGTAATTGCACGTACGAAAAGCTATATCGGTATTTTGTTGCAGTACGAACTGCTATATATGGATTACAATGCACATAACGAACTGCTGTATTGGATTAAATTGCACGTACGAACCGCTATATTGTGATTAAATTGCACGTACGAACCGCTATATTGTGATTAAATTGCACGTACGAACCGCTATCTTGTAATTACATTGCACGTACGAACCGCTATCTTGGGATTAAATTACACGTGCGAACCGCTATATTGGGATTAAATTGCACGGAAAAACCGCTATATTGTGATTAAATTACACGTGCGAACCGCTATATTGGGATTAAATTGAACGTACTTATTAGAAGTAAACTTTAAAATGTACCTAAAGTCTTTGCCATCTCCTTCTGTTCAAGTTGAATATACCAAGTTGGACCAACACAACAAGTATGTTTGGCTACCTTTCCTCGTTTATGTCCATTTTTAGCCATCTGAAATACAAATAACGCTCAGACTGGTTGAAATGGAATGAAGTTATTGTGTTCGTTTGCTGGGTGTAAGAATTGATAAGGAGTTTTGTGTCTTTACGGGGTTAATGAAGATAGTCCTTTTGGAATGAACTCTAATCAACCCACTCACCTGCATGCAACCATTTTCAGGAACCGCATCTATGAATGGAATCCAAGCTGTAGGAATGATATGATCATAGGACTCCCAGCTTAAATATCCACTATCTGTATAACATAAAATGATGTCAAGTATCAGAATGCACGTGCTTTTAGATAACACCAACAAGGACTGGAAGGCTTGACAATGTAATGTACTCAATAGGTCAATGATGAATATGCACGTACATCCTAAATTTGTTTTAGTATCTACTGACCTTGATGCCAAGGGATGTTGACGGCTTCACTTTTAGGAGTTTTAGTCCTTAGATTCCAGGTAGGGTGACCAGCGATGTCTGGTCCTAAGATCTGTTCCAGTAGATTTAGCATCCGTTCATTACTCCACAGATCTCGAAAACTCTATGATAAAATAGAACACCGTTAATTATGCACGTGCATGTCTTGAAATTTGATTAAGCTATGTGTAAATATCATTGATTTACAGCATCTCAAACGATCGAAGACCAGATAAAATGGCTGCTAATTAGTTGAGCATGAACTGCTGACGCCAACAAGCGGCAATTGCTATTTTTCTGTCGTCGTGGCGCTCAGGTCGAATAAATCCTGGAGCTAGCAGTTGCTGCCAGTCACATGTCTGAAAACTGACCTGGACATACCTTTGGTATCTTCTGGTATTTAAAGAGTAGAATATTAGATCCCGGATGTTCTTTCTCTAACATTGTCAATCTTTGAAACAAACCATACTTCGAATACAGGTCTGAAAAAAGGATATAGCGGCATGTTTCACAAAAACTTGGCTTAAGGGTGATTTTTGTGTTCGAGACACTTGATTCGTCAATCATTAAAAAGGCAAACATAATTCCGTTTTATTAACCAATCAAATTACTGTATTTCTTAAAACCATAGTTAATATTTTGAATCATTTTACGGAAACTTGACACGTGCTTGCCGAATGAAATGTTTTTTCGGGAATTAAAAGAAATTAATGCTGGAAACAACCTTTAATCTTCCCAGCTTTATATAGTTTCTGTGCCAGTTCCTCCACCATTGTTTCTATGGATTGACGGCATGGTTCCAATTCTTCTGGGGTGAAGAAGTCCTTTACTACAATGTATCCCTGCAATGAGAACAAAGAAGCTATGGTTTGATTACGTCATTACTCCTAAATGAAGCGATAAATTAGCTTCTACGATTGCACACCAAGTTTTTTCTTAATTTGAGCATGTTTTTTTTTGTCATCAGCATTTGGGGCAATAGGGTAAAGCTAGAGATGTGTGGGAGCAGGAAGAAAAGGAAGCTGTGGGTAGCCTTAGATCAAGCAAAGAGTGGGGTGGGGCATACCTCATCAAAGAATTTCTGTATTTCCGAGTAAGGAAGCTGCCCTGGTTTTCTATCTTTTACATCTGGAGGACAAACTGTGAACGGCTCGGGATATACTTCAGCTATTTCTCCCGGGAACTTCTGATCTTTGGAGGACATCTTGGATTCTTTCCTGAGCTCCGTGGTTCTATTTGGACAAAAACAAAATGAAAAAGAGGTGCCATGACGAAGAAATTGTGATTGCATGAAGGCTTAAGACGCAAATAGACGAGGTAGTATACTATGCTCGGACAAAGTACAGCATTGAATAAGCGTATAATGCCTGCATACTCAAAGCAAGGAGGCCAACAGATAGATCCTTCAAGCGAAATAAGGATTCATTCACTTACTATTACAGAATGTATGCCTACATCCATGACCTATAACTAACATTGAGAAGACCTTACTGACGAAGGTTAAGTATCCAAAATGCATATACTTACATGTATATTATTGCTGTTTAAGGCGTTGTAAACTGCGTACTATTAAAGTCAAAGAAAATCAGAGTTATTAGAAATCAACAGCTTGCGACCTTCAATTTGATTGTAACCCGGTCATATATAGATAAATTTACTCGAATTTAAATATAATCCGAAATGTCTGAATCATGTGAGATCAGATTTCTTAAGTTTTCATCAAGTTACCTCCCTTTTCACAGCGAAGCAGACTATTCTAGATGTCAATTGTGGCCAATTTCGTGGTTGGCAGGGAACCCTTCCACGTGCTCTAATCTCTATTTTACTTTCCAATATAAGGACTTATAAGAATGCTATCGGCACTCACAAGGCGGTTCTTGTCTGCTTGGGCGTTTCCTCGTATATGCACGAGAGAAAACCTTTTTACTCCAATTTTCGGTGTATACTGAGGCCCTGGTTATTGTAATTATATAGATAGTTGATAAGAAACTATATTGACAGTCACGAGTAAAGAGATTTCATTCATTAAGACTGAGACAATGTTTGTTAAAGCATGTGGGTTTAAAGTGTAATGGTACACAACTGAAATGAAATGAATGGAGTTTTACGTCCTACTCTTCTGCACCTTGTGGGCTAATGAAGACTGGTAATGGTACACAAGGCAATTGAGGTTAATATGTTTCATTAATGAACCCCTGATAACGCTGCAGGAGGAGGAGGAAGGGGTCTGACGGGAAAGGTTTAGAATTCTTTAACGTATGTAAGGTCGATATAGCAAAAGCTATAATATCTAGGGGCTTTTGCGTTAGCTTAGTCTTAAATCGCTGTTTTAGTGGAATTGCAAGAACCACAGACGTCTGGCTGAAAATTTGAATGGTGTAAATAGACGCCATCAGTGTCCGTTATAAACCTACAAAGTTCACAAAACCTATTTAATACACAGAATCAAAGGATGGAAAGTATTTGACTGACACGTGCAACCTGACTTAATCAAAATAAATTAGTTCCATTTTAGCATTTACGTCATTGTTAAACCACAACATTAAACCGTCATTGCTGTCACTCGGGTGACGCCATTGCTGCTTAGCTGTCTCTTAGCAAATTCCGACTGATGACGGAAATGGTCGAAAAACTCCGAAATGTTATCGCCGTAAATCAATAACCAATAATCATTATCGATACATTAATCTGTAAGCCCTAATCCACTTATAGAGTATAGCTAATCCAATAATCCCTTACTCTCCTAGCGACGGATAAAACATCTCGAAATAGAGCGGACCATTCGTAAACGAAGTAAGAACACTAGAACATGTTTAGTTTTTTGTAATCTATGTAGGCTCTTGTTTAGGCTTTAAAACAAATTTGCTCAAATTTCGAACACGACAAAATCGATTCAAATATTAGACCTAAGTAATGTTTATTTGAATATGTATGTGGTCTATAAGTATATCGAACAAATCGGATCAAATTTCATTTGAATAGGAGTACTGTACATTAAAAGGATTTTAAACCAAAGCTTCACGAATGTGATCAGGTCGTCAATAAAATTGGACTTGTTTAAAGTCGATGAAAGGTGTTTTGACAGCTGATGAATGGATTTAAAACTGTCGTGATTGAATACTGGTGATTGAGTATTGGTGGTTTATTGTAAGGAAATGAAGTCTCTTACTGAATAAGTAAGTATATTAATTCTGTATTTCAAAACAAGCAGGGTTGGGTCCGAGGCAAAATAGACACTTCTGTGGGTCTTTAAAAAAAGGTCGATTGGGTCCGGGGCAAAATTGAGCCTTCAATGGGTCATTTAAAAAGTTGGGTTGGGTCCGGGGCAAACTTGAGTCTTCAATGGGTCATTTAAAAAGTGAGGTCCGGGGCAAAATAGACACTTTTATGGGTTATGCAGCCTCTGCGTTTAAGCTATAAGACCTACAACATTTTGGGAGAACCAAGATATGCGTTCAAAGTATAATAGGTTTACAAATCAAACTAAGCAATTTTATGCGACAGACTACAGCAAAAAATCTTTTGGATTAAGTCTAAAGCGTTTAGAACTGGTCAGCACAACTTGTCCTCGCCCGTAGCCTACTACGTCCCAGAAATATAAATAAACTTGATAAATACGATATTTTGAGACCAATTTGGCTATTTGCCATAATTTCTCAATTTGAATTCAAATCGATCAAATATCCAATTAAAGGGATTACTTAAAGGGACCAAACAGGATTTTTACTACTAGCACTACTATTGTCAAAATGATAAAATATAGTTTAAGAGAAGAGTTTGGGTAGATCAGTCTCTGCCAGTGCTTTCGAGGTTGGCTGAGAAATTTCTGAAATGTCTGAGTTGAATCTTACTTCCGGTTCTTTTTTTTTTCCAGATCTGTTCATAGCTTGATATCAAATATGGAAACCGGAAGTACAACATGCGTGACCTATCGTAACAACACCTTTCTTCCCAGTTTGACAGATAATCAACGCCGGTTCCTCGTCACTCCAGCTTCAAGCGTCATTTCCGGTCGACCTGACATGGTCTTCGGTCTTGGTCGAGATACTATTAGCAGCACGGACATTAGCAAACCTCAAATAACGCCGAGTGGTGCTAATGACGTTAAAACTCCAGTGGCCCATGAATCTCCGATGAATAAGACGGAGGTTAAGGATTCCGCACCGGATGTTACCGACAACGCACCAAATGCTTTAGAGCAAAACCCGGAAAGTAAGAACGCAGCAGACCATTCTCCAAAAGTGGACAAAGAAATCTCTTCAACCAGCGAATTAGCCGCGTTGAAGGCGCAGATTATCCAAAATGGCGATATGGAACTACAAGAGAATTTCTCCAAAGAGCCAGAACATAGTTTTCTGAAAGCAAACTCTGAAGACGGGTTTTCGGAAGCATTGGACAGCGTGTCTCAATATAAAACTAAATTAGACGAAGTCGGATCTAAAGAGAACTCATTTATTAAACAGTCCGGCGTTCCAAAACAGACGTACCTGACGGAGACGCAAGACGACACGGACGAAGAGCAGAAGTGGACGGAAGCGCTGCAGAGGCATCACGAGCTCGGGACGTTACCGGAAGGAGATGTACCAAAAGAAGATGCCTTAACTAAGCACAGTCGACTAAGCCAGGGCAGTGCCCATGTTCGTCTGCCCTCCAGCACTGATGAAAATAAATTTACCTATTGGGACAGGGGACGACAGTTCAAAAGAGTACCAGCTAAACTGATAAGACTGGCATCTCGATCTGCTAGGTAAGAAACACAACATCAACGACTCATTTCTTACTAATAAAGTACTTTCTTCGAATCATTTCTAGAAGTTAGACGACTGTCAATAATCATATTGCTTAGAAAGAGGGGTGGCATAATTGTTCAATTATGTTGGCAAATACTTTAAGAAGATCTTATCGAGTTTACGACTCCTTTTGATATTTTTTCAGGAACTCTGCCGACAGTGAAGGAAAGAGCACTTTTTACAGTCCCCCGAAACCGACCCCCAAAGTAGTGAGTTTGGATGAGGCCATCAACTCCAGGCCGCCATTAAGGATCGACTTAGACGGACCTAACCCCTGCACCTACTCGCCACGAAATAAACCCCTTCACGAGAACAACTCGCCATCTTGGAGTTTTGGAAAGAAATGTTACATTGAGAAAAGTGAGTGACCTCTGGGGTAGTTATTCTAAGTAAGTGGGGGCTGTGGGGTGGGGGTGGTGGAGGGTTGATTATATTGATGTTTACGTCCTACTTTTCTTCCGTTGATTCAGCCCATGAAGACGGCTCGAAAAGGGGAGGTTAATTTTTTACACAAAGTGAAAAGACAATGAATGGAGTACTACGTTCTACGTTTCTGATCCAAGTCAGATTGAGCTTAAGACGGCATGGGATGGCTGAAGGAAACAGGTCTGCGATGATCTTAGAAACGCTTAGATGATAGGAATTGCAAGAACCACAAACGTCTGACTGAACAAGAATATCAAGTAAATAAATATGTGGGTTTTTTTTCAGGTGGAGGGGCGAGGACTTCCTGGGGTAAAATGTGGTATCAGACCCCCCACGTTTGGCAATATAAAGTTGATTTTAATGCAGATGTCGAGGTAACAATATTAATACATATTCAACGTGGGCTCAGTTCTTGCTGACGGCCCACAATCCTTATCAGGGCAGCTAGTTTGGATATATTGCTTATAGCACATCTCTTGCACATGTTTCGGATTTAAAATTCTCATCAGGACAGTGTTGGGAATGGGGTTATAATCTTATGACTAGAGGAGTATCAACAAATTAAAGCTTGCTCATTGGACAAAAAACCGGAAGTGAAGAATAGTTTAGGGAATTCAATAGACGATTAGGTGTCATGGGTTCGAATCGTAGTGAAAGGCAAGCAAATCTTCGAATATTGATGAACATTGACCATTGGCCTCTCTCTCGGTATTGAGAAGACTTTGCACATCCGCCAAAATTATCTTTAAAATTGCCACATTTGTATGCTTTATTATTTCAGTGGCCCTCTCCGGCGCATTACCCCCAACCTCCCCTACTGGGTCAAAAACAACCAACAGTACATGAGGCTCCTTCTTACAGTATTGGAGTCCGAAAGAATACTTCGTCTTCTTACCGAATAGGTATGATATTCGAATATAAACTTGAACTTCAGGGCCGTTGTCAGTAACCTCTCAGCATTGATTGGTTGCTTTGATTGACGTCATTGTAATAACCAATGAGATTCTAGTAACCGTCATTTCGTTATGCATAGTATTAAGATGTTTTTATGAGGCTAGTGCGAGAAACTCCGACTCCATCTACAAGGTTGTGGTATCTCGGACTACGATCAACTGCCTTGAAGTGTACCACGCACGTAAATTTCTGAAAAGGGACAACTATCAATGATCAAAAAATGGCCTGTAGGTGCTTGCCTACCCGTAACTACTATTATTTTTTTAGGGGTGGAAAATATGCCATCGCCGATAGACTACGACAGACAGACAGCCGATAGACTGACCCATCCTAGACAGCCAGCGTTTACTCACCAGTTTAGACGAGAGGGCACGGTACTCTGGGGCAACACAGGTGGGTAATCATTGGGGTGACCTCAAGTAAAGTGGAGTTTTACATCCTATTGATCTGAACATGTGAAACAACTATATTCCAAGTACAGATAACTCATTTCGAGCCAAGGGAAATAATTATTCGTTAAAAAGCCTATTGTCAAGCCCATGATGTGTTCAATGAGGAATATTTCGATCGATGTTATTGTCGATGGCTCCAATAGACGCCGTAATAATCCCCACGTAAACTGCACTCAAAGACAAACCTTTTTTGAATCTCTATAATAAATATCTTTTTCTAATTTCAGAGCCGACACCGGGGCCAGGATCGTACTCTCCCCGGGGCACGAGTTTACACAGATCACATACAATCTCTGGTTGCAGACGAGACAAATCTCATAGTCTGGGACCATTTTCTTATCTTTAATTTGAAACAGTGCACAGCCTACCCTCCCTTCCGTGTCGGGAACAGTTTTCGGATTACGTTTAAGTTCATCCGATACGAGCTCAAAGGAAGACAATAGGCATGACCGTGGTTTCGCCGAAGTTTCGTTATCCACCCTTGAAATATTTTGGAGCAATGAAAGAACTTTTAAGACCCTTTTTGGACGGACGGATATCACCTTTAAAACTATAGAAACAAAACTGAAAGCGGAAACGACTTATCTTACGATATTTCAGAATTTGAATATGATATTATATATAACTTGAAAATAAATATTATGTTGTGAACGCTATTAATGTGATATTTGTATGTAAATAAAATGATAGTATACAAATTTATTTTTTGTCGATTCATGGTCTCAGAGAAGTAGCGGGAATGGGGCTTACCTAACAAGCTCCAATTGGAACTGGATTTCAGCCTTATAATTCTGCTTACACACTACTCCAAAGACATATCAAAGCCTGTTGGTTTGTTTGTACAGCGGGTCGCATTGGGTATAAAAACCCTGAAACTTGGAGCATTTGTAACTGCACCGCAATATTAAACTATTTACGAAGGCATTGTCACACGCAGATAATAGCATAATCCCCAATTGTATATTCATTCATGGTCATAATTACAAAACAAACCATATGTATTACCTCAGTCCTAATACGAGGTTTACCTAGTAAAAGGAACACAGTCCAATGTAATAGTTTTAGACGATGTAAACCCATAAAACTCATCCGTAAAGATGAACTCAAAAAGGGTTGGGGTTGTGGGAGAGGGGAGGGGTGCAATATAATGCCAACTATGGATATATACCTTCCCCACAATGAAAAAGGGCAATACCTCTATACCGTTGCCTATGATGTGACTCATCGTCCATTGGCGTCAATAAGAAATAAAATAACCCCCATTTGTCTGCCAAAAAATCATATAAACTCAAAATATGGTCGTCGAATGTATGTTTTGTAAGGGAGGAGTATTTCGGATTAAAGACACGCCCACTTCTAGAAAACTGGATACTGAGTAATGTCCCTTGAGTAACCGGAAGACAACAAGAGTTATCTTCCCAAAATTATCAACAACAGTAAATCTAATTCAACTTTTTCGAAAATTTCAGTGAATTATTTGATTTCGAGGGAAGATTTCGAAGCCTAAATGGTTGTAACAGATTCCTGTTTATTCCCTCCTTCCAACATGAGGGTGCGATTCACAAATATGGCCGGCATCGATCTGATTTTAGACCTCCACCCTGACTTGACAGTTGATAAAGCAAAAGTGAAATGTCTGGATCGTTTTCACAATCCATCAGAAAGTATGAAGCTCTCTCTGTATCATAAGTTAGTCCTAGCCAGAACTGGCAAGGTTTTAGCTGAAGGAGCTTCGCTTGGTGCTGAAGGGGTCAAAGACAATGGTAATTATTCTGTTTTTGTTGGCATCCTTTTCTGCATGATGACACTTGACAAGCAAGAATGGGGCCAAGGAGACTGTCTACGTCATACAGCAAAAAATAACGCGAGGACAGCAGCATTAAGGTGCTCCAATTGGCATAACACAAGCGGCAACAATTAGTTTATTGTCCCATCTAGACAACAAGATGTTTTCTCTATGTCATATCAGGGGTTCTCAATTTTTCGTTGTTTTGTTCTCATCCTCATTTTACCAATTGAATATGTAAGCTGACTTATTTGCATTTCAGATGAAATTTTAGTTCTAAAGAAAAGACTTCAACCTTCACCATATGAAAATCCTGATAAACAGAATGTAAGTCAAGAAATAGTCAGATCTAACTTTAAAAATATAAATAGAAGTTTTGCATTTTATTGTTCTGCAAATAATTTGGTATAAAAACCAACAATGTCATGTCCTGTCCTGTGCAATGAGGGAAATTTTTACCAGGACAGCAAAAAAGATTCACTTCGAAGCAGAATTATTCAGCCAGGTTGAGAAAGAATATCTGGATAATTTCGAACATGATTTGTTTTTAGAATGAAGAAAGAAAGAGTCCGGATATGGAGACTATAAAACGTTTAACTGCCATGTTAACCAAGTCTACAGTAGAACCTCAGTCTGATGATAGTAATACCAACGTAGATGTAAGTATAGAAATAAATGTACAGCTATATGCAATACTGGTTTCTGTTTCAAAAAAAATCTCACAAGTTTTGTGCTTCTCAATGTAAAGTTACACACACTTACAATACATTTTTAGCCTGGAGCTGTCAATTTGGAAAAATACCTTTCACTCCAGTTCATGTGGTTAAACTTCTGGCAAATAAACATTGCTTATTTTCCCTTTTTTCCTTCTCTTGCTTGCTTCTATAACTCTGTTATTTCTAATGAGAATATTTTTGATAAACAAGAAACAAAGTACTTTAGAATGATGAAATTTTGAAATGAATGTCTTTTTTAATTTTCAGTTTCAAACAGAATTAAGAAGGATATTAATATCATTAATTGACGCGTCTCAGAGAATTTTATGTTTGAATCCCGAGGCTAGTAAAGTCTTTAAACAGGCTGAGGGTAAGACGATGTTTTCTATATTGTTCTAGATGGGAGAGAATCTGGTTTTTATTTACATTTCGGAGTGGGGAATGTCATTTATTTCTTGAGGAAAGATTAATTAAGCGAGCCCTGTTAAATTTCAATTTTGTTTCAGAAATTCTAAATGAGCCAACTAAAACACCAAAAGTTGATGCCTCTCTTCAAAGACAACTGACTGATATGGGCTTTACTGAAGCTCGGGCAAAAAAAGCTTTGATACTCAATAAGTAAGTTGAAGTTTTCATCTTTCTTATGTCAAAAGTCATAAATCATAATGAGATGAAGTTTTACATCCAACGTCATGCAGTGTGCAGTGGTGGGAATTTTACCAGCACAGTAGCCTTAGCCTATTCTGTATTCATTTCATACTGTTCCTTGGACCTTCAGGTTAGCCGGAAAGTGTCTAACTCACTTCCAAGTCATATGTCAAAGCCTACAAAATGGATGTGGTAGAGGTGAATGTCCACAAGGAATTGTTAAATTTTCAAATGATATTGTATTTTTTAGAATGTCTGTGATGTCGGCCATGGATTGGTTGTTACAACATCAGGATGATCCTGATATTGACGAGGCTCTAGAAGGGGAGGCAACTCCACCAGTTGCGGATACTACTGAAGAGGTATGGCCAGGGTTTATTGGTAATTGTAAACCTATATCCCTTGTCTTTCTGTTTCCCACTAACTTATCGAGAAAGAAAGAACCAAAATGGCTCAGTGGGGCTGTTCAAAATGCACGATCAGAACCTGTACCATATCTTGAATAATCTCCCCTTGTATTTATTACAGGTAGAGGGAGCTGTAGGTGGCACTAGTGTTCCGAGTACGTCTGATACCAGTCCTAAAGTTTCTAATATTCGTCACTCTATACGAGCTTTCAGAAAACGAGAGTTTAGACCAAATGCTAGAGTAAGTTTTATGATAAACTTTATCAAACCTTTTTGAGAGTTCACTTGGATCCTTTCTACCAGCTAGTGCCTGGCCAAAGCTCTTGGTAATGATTTTACAAACATAGCAATAAAGGTTCATAAGGATCTTCTCTACCAGCTGGCCCTTGACCAAACATCTTGGCATTGATGTTGTAAGAACAACTTAGGCTAGCTAGAGTCTTGTCTACCAGCTTGTATTTTGCCAAACCCTTTGACAATGAATTTACAAGGATAACAACTTAGGTTCTCAAGGATCATGTCTACCAGCTGGTCATTGGCCAAACCTCGTGGTATTGATCCTCCCTGAATTATATGCATGCTAAATTTTTCAGGCATTACAGAAGTTACTTGAAATGGGTTTTGAAGAACAGGAATCGACTGATGCTCTGAGAATTGCCAGGAACGACCAAGATGCTGCCGTAAGTTTTCTGGATTTTTTTGCTCAAGTTTTTATCCACTCAAACTTTTATATTACAGGTGTTAGGAAATTGATTCTCGGTTTAGATTTTACATACCAAATAATCAAATCAGATAAAAACTGTAGATTCTGTAGTATTTTCGATATGAGATATTACAGGGGTCAATATTTCAGGGGACCAACAGACAGGCACACGCCTGTTTATGGAGATGTTAATTTGCTTGGCATTTGCAAAAATCTCAAAATGAATTTCTCTTTCCAGTGTGAATGGTTGCTAGGTGATCGAAAGACAAAGCCGGAGAATCTAGACGAGGGACTGGATACTAGTAGTCCAATATACCAGGCCATTATAGCTAATCCTACCGTTCAACTAGGACTCAATAATCCAAGATGTCTACTAGGTTAGTATCTGTAGGGGGTGGGGAAAGAGACTGGATACTAGTAGTCCAATATACCAGGCCATTATAGCTAATCCTACCGTTCAACTAGGACTCAATAATCCAAGATGTCTACTAGGTTAGTATCTGTAGGGGGTGGGGAAAGAGACTGGATACTAGTAGTCCAATATACCAGGCCATTATAGCTAATCCTACCGTTCAACTAGGACTCAATAATCCAAGATGTCTACTAGGTTAGTATCTGTAGGGGGTGGGGAAAGAGACTGGATACTAGTAGTCCAATATACCAGGCCATTATAGCTAATCCTACAGTTCAACTAGGACTCAATAATCCAAGATGTCTACTAGGTTAGTATCTGTAGGGGGTGGGGAAAGAGACTGGATACTAGTAGTCCAATATACCAGGCCATTATAGCTAATCCTACAGTTCAACTAGGACTCAATAATCCAAGATGTCTACTAGGTTAGTATCTGCCTTATACAAAAAAAAATGTCATAATACCCTGAACTGCAAAGGGAATATGTCATCACTTGGTAGCATCTTTGGTTATTTTTATTGGTTATTTCTAATATCATCTACAAGTCTTGAAGGCGGCATAAAAAACTTAACTTACTCCTACAAATTTCAATCAACAAGCACACACGAAGACATCTTTAAAACGTGACAATTTGAAATAATCCCCAATAAGGTATAGAACAGTTGGATGTCAAACTCCATTTCAATTTTTTTTTCAGCCTTTCTACAGATGTTAGAGAATCCAATAGCCGCTAGTCAATGGTTGTCAGACCCTGAAACTGGTCCGTTACTGATGCAGATCTCCCGTATATACCATGCCGAGAAAAACTCTAAACCTTCACTGAATCCACTTAAAGATTTACGATCTTCCAGATGATTGGATGATAAAGTCACAGTTGCAATGTGACAACTCTGATTGGTTGAAAATTTTGTTTCACTATTTGTATTGTAAATTGTTAGACAGATATTCAGTACATTTGAATCTGTTTATATCTTGTAAACCATGAGTTCACATTTAAGAAATTGATTCTGCCAATCACATGTGGTATCACTTGCAAGTGGCCCAACAATCTTGATTCTGACTATTTTCTTGAGATCGTGTTCCAGTGGGTTTAATCTGTTAAAATTCTTATGAATAAGAAGTTCACAGTTAAAGAAACATTTCAACCAATCATGTGCTCTGTGACATGCTGAATTGATTTTATATTGAACATTTCTCAACTCAGTTTCTTAAATAGAGGGGAAATAACTCTTTATAATATATTAGTATATTTACCACAATTAATTCTTGAAAGATTAGTCTTTGATTAAAGTGCAATTTTACACTTACCTTGTTTTCCCTTAAATTTTATGAAACCAGCTTTACATCATTATCAGAAAAGCAAAAGGCATTACCCAGGCATTCTCATTTCTTAAGCAATTTTGATGAGCTAAACAGCATCTACAAAAAACCCAAGTTCTTTGTGCCATACCATCTATAACACACAGACAGTGGTGCTCAACCTACAAAGGTTGCAGTTTAGCCCACACTTAGCCAATAAAGGTTGGTGTGGGCCCCAAAGGTTGGAGTTCAGCCCACAAAAGTCGAAATTTAGCCCACATTTAGCCAATAAAGGTTGGAGCTTTGCCCACAAAAGTTGGAATTATCTACATTAAGCCCACAAAGATTGGTGTAGGCCACATAGGTTGAAGTTTAGTCCACAAAGGTTGAAGTTTAGCCCAAAAAGGTCCACAAAGGTTGAAGTTTTGCCCACAAAGGTTGCACATTAAGCAAGGTTGGTTTTCAAGCCAAACATTATTTCAAAATAAAGTGAAAATCAAATAACTAGTCATATTAGTGTCTGTACATGTTTTAATGTATTTTATAATAGTAATATATAATATGATAGTAGAAAAACATTGTCTTACAAACATTTTCATACAAAATAACTCTTATTTTAATATCACCTATCAATGTCTTTTACAATGGTTGACAAAATTTACATTTTCAAAACAAAATATCAAAAACAAAAATAATTTTACAGAAGATTTCAAATTTGTGACTTCTACAATATTACATTTTATTTCCTAAATATTTTAACTTTATCCTTGATATGACAGAATCTAATTAAATTTTAATTTTCAATATTAGACAATTTAGAAAAACATGCACTTTAAGTCTATACACATTCTATAAAAATAAATGCATTTTTAGGTTTATAAGAAAAAATGAAACATGTATGTACATTTCGATTTTATTTACATTGAAAAATTTTGACATGGAAAAAGTAACGTTAAATTAGGAAGGACTAGAGATGCGTTCTTCGCAACAAAATTCAGTTTCGCAGCAAATTATAGTTTCGCAGCAAATTAAATATGCACATTTATCGCATATTCACAAAATTAATTTCTTAATCATTTAAATTTTAAATTTATCATTTCTCTTTCACTTTGAGAAAAAACGCCATTTTTCAAAAATCTTAAAGTATATTTCTATATTTAATATAACCTATTTCTTACGAAATTAGGCAAAAAAAATTACAAAGTATCAATCAGAAACGTAACATAAATAATTTGATTTTTTCAAAAAAATATTTTAACTATTTTGATATTTTTCTTTCTCAAATTTGGAATGACCATTCTAGGGAGGGAACTTTAAGGGTTTGAAGTCATAAAAAGCACTTTCATTTATTGCTTATGCTTGGACTCCATGCATAGATAGATGTAATTGTGCGCTATGAGATAGAAACTAGATGATTATGAATATTGGAAAGTTCCCTAAAACCTTTTTAAAGAGATCTTGGATCAAAATTGAAACGAATAAAAAAAAACAAAACACAAAACAAAAAGTTGCGTACAAAATTGGTGATCTTGTTGAAGCACCATATGCCATTTTAGAGAGAAGGTTTAAAACAATAGAAAACCTTGATGTACAATTTTAAATAGCTTAATTTCTAAATATCTTTTTTTTGTTTGGAAAGCTAATAATATTTTACCTAAACATTTACAAAAGGGATAAATTTGATAATTCTGGAAAATTGAAAATAATTTGGAATAATTGTACAAAAAATTTTATTAGTTTATTTCACTCTACAATTAACACAAATTGGTGGAGAGTTCAGAAAAAAACCTAATCAAAATTGTGCATTAAAGTTCGTTAGCTTAATGAACTGAGTGAAACTAAGATTATAATCATGAAGCAATAAATATATATCAGCGACTAATTAGACTAAATAATTAAAACATAACTAACGAATTCATCGAGACATTTTTAAATTGTTATGGCAGCTTTATTTACAATTGTTAACAAATGCGATTTCGGTGGGTTGCGTTCATCGTTGAATTTTCATTGGCTGGCAATTTTTTTTACGAAATGTTATTCCTGCTGAAATTGTATCACAAAATTCGACAATTATTTTTTTTTTTGACCATGAGTAAATTTAATTTAATTTTTAAAGTTATTTTTTTTTTAATGCATTGACATTTAATTTTCTGAAAATTTAACATATTTAAGGAATTTTACAAGTTTTGCAAATGCCTTCGAAAGGCATCGAAATTCATTTCTACATTTTTCTAGCAGTCCTTAAATTTAGAAATGCATTTTTATAACGCCTAAAGTCTTGTAGTTTTAGTTCAGTACGCCTATAAATTTCATTTTAGGCACAAAGTTTTTCAAAATCAGTATTTAGGCCAGCAGTTTACATTTTAAGTACACTTTAGGTTTCAAATTTACAAAAAATAGCACAAAACATAGTAAAACACAGAAAAACAAACTAAAAATTACAAATATGGTATGAATTGATGAATATTGATGAACCTTTAAAAGTAAATTGTGACCAATCAATGGGCAGTATGATCTTAATTAACATAAATGAATATGCATGAATGACCATATGAGATCAAATGTTCCTTATATGGCATATATTACCAAATTTGGTCTTTAAGACCTTATAAGGTTATGAAAAAATTCAACATGACTAAATAAGGAAAAAATGACCAAATATGGCATGAAATATAGAATTAATCTGCATGTATAAAAATACAAATGTCATTATATTACAAAATGAAGTAAAAACTCAAAATTAAATTTTACAGATTTTGGACAGGGACAAATCAAATTTTAAAATTTTTGAAATTTCAATCAAAAATAAAATTACTTTTTGACAATTTTTAAAAATTTGCATAAAATCTAATAAGTACACCTAAAAAAATTTGCAAAAACATTAAAATTTTGATCCAATGAAATGAGTATTGCTTTTTCTTCGACGCGTGTAGATCTGGGCCTTCCACAAAAATTTAACGAAGATGAAATTCCGATTTGCAAATTTATTTGGCTCAGAAATCAAAATTCGTTTTAGTCATAGATCAATCATTTATTCACAAATTCCATCTTAGTTAAGTTTTGGTGAACCAGTCATTTGCATAAATTTGCATATTCTGTGACCTAAATACATAAATTTCTGAATGAGTATGGCAGTTTAGAGCTCAACTAAACTTAAAATATTTTCGATGATGACAAAAAAATGAATGGACCCTGTTTACAAAAAATTTCTGAACAACCAATCCTGACAAAATACATAGTCAATAGTAAGTCTTTGCCTTAATAAGTTTGTATTTTGGTGGGATTAGCTGATCAAGTGACCATAAAGTTACAAAGCACTCGTAAGTGTGTCATGTTTCAGCTTATCTTTGAACATGTCTGTCTTTTCAAAAACACTAAGCTGCAACACACTTTCCGCTAGCACATCATTTCATGGCCCACAGCGAAATTTGTTACAATTTTGACTCACACCAAACACAATGTTAGTTCCATTACCGTCCTAATCCATCACGTTTTGCTCAAAGGAGTAGCTCTTGTACTCCATGCAAGAGGTTTACTTCAAGCTGTTCACGATCATACACTTTCCTCCAACAAATTGAGTTCAATTCCCCAGCAGATGAACAGTTACATCCATGTACAGTGTACTTTTCCCGTTCTGCTTTAGTCAAGAGACCATCAACATTTAAAGCAGCTTTTTGTTCCTTGAAAGTCACAAAATGGCTGAATCATTCTTCCAATGTCCCATAGAAACACACAGGTGTGACTATTTCTTCAAAGTTAGCACAATATAGCACATAATATCATAAAGTGTCACTATCACTACAGTAACAGTTACTTAGATATAAACAGCATCCGTGCAACGTTTACACTTACAACGCTTCCCATGTGTCTGTGTGGCTGGCTGCACGGGACTCGATATACCTTCCGACCAATCAGAATGAGCTGAATGGGGCGAGGAACTGGACCACTGTCCAGGTGAATCTGGAGATGGCGTGGGGAAATGATCTGGAAGGAACGTAGCCATTTGGTGTTGGGGTGGGGTAGAATCACTGTGATGAGAGGGGGGTGTGGGGAATTGGTCTAAATATTGAATTTGTTGGGGTTGTTGCTGGGACATTTTGTGTCGAATATCGACAGGTTGCGTGTACACGAGATTAGTAATGGGAATGTTTTCACCTCCGTTGAGATAGGCGTAGTCATTTTGACGACCAACGTTATGCGTGGCTGGTACACCTCGGTTCAGCTGAGCTGCGTGTTGCATAGCTTGTATGTGTGTAGGGGATGTGGGAAGGTTTTTCAATTTATTAGGTGATTGTATCCCATGGTTCAATGGACTTCCTCCTGATTGAGATGGAGGCGTGGTGCTAGTCGGAGGAATTTGTTGTTGTCCGTAGGTGTTGTCCATCCAGTAACTATTATCCACATGAATCCCGCCATTTTTATAATGTTCAGACATCAACGCCATGTCGTTGACGTGTAAATTGGCTTGCTGCAGACCTACCATCGGGTTTTCGTAACGAGGCGGGGTTAAATCGTAGCCTTGAGGCGACTGCGATTCCAGTGATGTCACAGGGGAGATTACTCCCAATGAAGGATCAATCATCCCTTGCATGGTAGCAATGTTATTATTTTGTGTATTTTGCACTGTCTTTTTCTTGCGCGGTTTCGATTTAGTTTTCCCATTGACGGGCGATATAGGTCCATTTTCCTTCGGAGCACTTTTATTGTTTTTACGCGCTTTGGGTTTTTGTTTCATATGAATATGCTGCATAAATGGCAGATCACTAGGTGACGGTACCCCACCGTTTCCGAGGTGCATGCCCCCTGGACTATTTACTTTATACGTATCCAACAACTGTACGATATCGTGATGATGGCGTTCATCTGCTACTTCGCGAGGCAAACACTCTAGATGGTCTGTTATTTCACGATTTGCATAATGATTCAATAACGCTTTCGCTGCTTCAAAACTTCCTTCCCTAGCTGCTAGGAATAATGGCGTCTCATCCTGAAAAGGAGACGAAATTTGGCATGAACAAACATAGGACAAAAATGAAATTCATTTTAACAGTGATGCTGAAAATGCAATGAAAACGATTTGAGTAGCCTGTTCAGCATCTCTTTTTATATTTTAACCAACACCAAAAAATAAAAGCATGGTTCACACTGCTCCGAATTCCCTCAAACCATTCAGAGATTCAGCCTAGTGTAGACTTACAGAGCAGTGTGAACCTAACCATAAAACAAAACCTTCAAAAAAAAAATTAAAAGTGAAAATTGGACACGAAACAATAAAGAACAAGGTGAAAAGTGAAACCAAAATTTATCCAAAACTTTGAACATTTAACTTTTACAAATTGAAATTTCTACCTGAGAAGTTGATAACTTTTCTTCTGTAGAATTGAAACTCGACGAGCGATACATGTACCTTTTGTGTGTTTGAGTGTCTCTAAATAATTTTGTGAATGTGTGTATAAATCACGCGCCTGCGTCAAAGTGTTTCTGACTAACCTTATTGTCTTGAGCATCTCTATTGGCGTTACGTTCCAGTAACGATTCCGTAGCTTCTACGTTATTTACTGCAGCTGACCAATGTAACGCTGTTTTACCTGAAAATTTAGAATTAAAAAAATGGGAAATAAAATATTTTACGTTTTAATTTTCTGCTCTATTGGACTTATTAAGAGGGTCCACACAATGATGTTTGCAATGAGGACAATTTTGACAAGACAACGGCATTACCTGTCCTATTTTTCAATTTTCAACTGATCAGAAATATTTAACTACACAAACTGTAACTCATGGGGCCCTACTTATTTTCCAGTTAATATCTAAACACTTTTTCCACGTAGGGCAAATCTCCAAGAACTGTTTCATATTCGCTAGACACTGATGATGGCAGGCATAGCCAAAAGATTTTTCTTACCATTATTATCGAAAGCGTTGATATCTGCATCAGCGTTGATCAAATCTTCTACCATATCTTCAATAGCCAGTCTCGCAGCAAGAATTAATGGTGTCGTCCCATCATACATCTTGGCGTTCAGATTCGTAGATCGGTTTCGCAGCAAAATCTACACGAAAAACAAAAAAATAATTGAGCAAACTTAGGATTTTAAATCAAGAAATTAAAACACAATAAAAGAAAAAGTATTGACGGAAGCTTTTTAACAAATGATATAATGATATAAGCTTACCTGGAAAACGCCCTGGGCGTCAGCAGCTACAGCAGTATGTAGAGGTGTACGTCCAGTACTATCTAATGCATTACAATCAGCACCAGCGTCCAGGAGAACCTTGGCAGCATCAGCTCTAGCATACCGGGCAGCAAGATGGAGTGAAGTTTCACCTGAAAATTAGAAATTACAATTTTATGTTTGTCAGCCATTTCTTTGTGATACCAGTGGCATTAATCATCAAACACAGCGGCCGAATATGGGCAATTATTCGCCTATGTAAAATGATAGGAAATTGAAAGTGCTTTGAAATGACTATGAAATGACCTCCTAATAGACATGCCACTGTGATCTGTTTTGCGGAAGGTTTTCCTAACAATTTGCTTAACGAAGCGAGGCAAGGCAAGCTCACTCTCCTGATGCTACTGCTGCAATTGTGTTAGTCTTATGAATTACTAAGGGAATTATTTTCAAGATTTTGATTTCAGCTTACCTGTTCTGTCAGTTTGTAAATTAATAGAGGCTCCTTGAAACAACAAATTATTAATGACGTCTGCTGCCCTATTATCTTCCTCGTTACCCTCGGCAGACCCACTCTCATCATCGCAACTCGTATCTAAGGTGTTGCCACGTAGTGATGCCAACATCAACGGAGTCATTCCACCTAAAATTTAATAAAGAAGTTTTTACAAAATGGAACAACTTGACCAAAAGTGACCCAGGTGTAAATAGGTCCAGAAGATGTCTAGATAATCAAAGTATGGTGACCTTGAATAAGTCATCTATCCTCATTATTCCAGTTCTCCAAATATGGTCCAGATTATCCAGGGAGATCAAAGGTCAGCTGGAAAGGACAAATTTGACCGGTTTCATTCTGTTTGCTTTTGCTATAAAGGAAAGAAGTTAACTCCTTTTACCTGGTCCTCTAGCGTTGATATCTTTGGTATCAATGGGGTCATCACCCTGAGGTGGTGTCAAGGTCAAAATTGAAGGATTGGTGACGTTGGCAGCTTCCATATGTTTCTGCGTCCATTGTCGCGAATCCTGAATCTCGAAATTCACTAAAGATTGGTCACTGGAGTCACCTTGTTCATCAATCTGAAATTGAGAAGTCAAAATACAAGATGGCTGCTTAGTTACCATTCAAATCTTTAGGCAAAAATACAAAATGGCCGCTTAATGACAATTCAATTCAAGCAAAATATTAAAATTCTAGATTGCGGCTTCATTAAGATTCAAGTTTTAAGGGGGAATTCAAAATGGCTGCATAATTACACATAGCCTAAGCTTTCTTCTATTTCCAGAAGCAATAATCCAAAACAGACAACTCCATCCATTTTACATTTATGAAAAATTGAAAAACTTCTCCCTACCCTTTGACGTTTGGCTTTAGGATGTTCTTCTTCATCTTCACCCCAGTCACCATGACGATCATCCATTTTGTCAAGCTGAGAATGATGGGAACCTTTCTGTACATCTCTGAATAAACAAATTTCAATTATGGTAAAAAAACATGAAAAGAAAACAAAAAGAAATATTTACAAATCTTACATTTTTAACAAAAAATATCCTTAAAAGGGTAAGAATGGATGTGCATTATATTCTCAATTATATAGAATATTCATTAACAATTTCAACTTACTTCATTTCTTCGCCGTCTGGGCCTCGTCGATTTCGAACACCAGCTTTCTCTGAGCCTCGTTTATTAAAGAATCCTTCTGGAAACCATGTGACGGCTCGTTCTCGTTTCCGTGAGATGACGATGATCACAACAAGAGTGATCAAGAGGATGGCGCCACAGGCTACGACAATGTAGACAAACGTAATAGCTGGACTATCTACCGTTGGTTCCTTTCCAAGACCTGAATCAAAAAAAACTCATTAAAGGCCATGTTTCGCTATTTTCGCGAGTTGATTTAGGTCTTGAATATATGTAAATAGTCTTCAGAACTAGCACCATATCACTTTTGTTTATATGTCAGAAGTCTAAACTGGCAAGTTTAAGGCTCAATTTCTAATTCACTTGTCCTGGAGATGGATGTAATATCAGAAACATGTCAACTCGCCCAAAATCACTGTCCTGATGAAGATTGTATACCAAAATCCTGGCTACTCAAATGAAATCAAATTAATACTTACTTTCAATTTTTCCGACGGGCATTCCCAAATCGGCATCATTACGTTGCAGTGCCGCAGCAACAAACTGAGCTGCGTTGTCAGTATTATCAAAACATTCATCAGTCGAGTATTTATAGCAGCCACGATTATCAATTTCTAGATATACCTTCGTTCTGAAATAGAAAAATTCACAAGGAATTGAAATATGGAGGTACAAATTTACAACTGAGCTTTCTGGGTTAATCATACAACTGAGTCATAAAATCAACTATGAAGATTCAACACTTACCCTTGCAGAAGTGCTCGTTTTTCTCTGACAGAAGTATCCCAACCAAAAGCAGACTCAGCCCAACGTTTTACTCTGATAACGTCACTAACATCGTCACCTTCTTTCTGTTGCCATGGATATATCATGGGTGATCCATTCTTATCCTTCAACACCCTCACAACGGCACGTAACAAATGACCTAATTTACGCAGGAACTCTTTGGACATGTTGCGGAAAGCTTCAGGTTCAACCAATACGATGATGACCAACGTTCCTTCAGCGAGACGTTCTGGCGACTTATCACAATCTAGACCATCCCATTCGCATTCTTCCGTATCGCAGCCTTGGTCACAATGTCCGTTGCCATAATATTTCTTACAGTAAGAATCATAAATCGGGTTACATTCTTTAAGTTTCGTCTGACAATCGAACCCATCATAAAGACATTCTTCGTTGTTGCATTGTGGGTTACAGGTTCCATCTTTGAAAACTTTCCAGCAGAAGACACCGTCTCGCATCCCTGAACATTCTTTCCACGGCTTCATTCCATACGAACATTCCTTGTTGTCATAGTCACAGGCGTGCATGTTGCATTCGTTCTGAAAAGTGAAATAACATTTCTGTCACATTTGGAAACTTTTCATGAAATTTTGAATTTGTCCATTCTGTAACCCACTGGTTTAATAAATGGAGGTGTACAATGAGGGAAATATATATGAAAAGATGAGTTCAAAATGTCCAAAATTAAAGAGTAGGTCTACTTACGTCACATTTTCCATTGTTAGCCTTCGCCTCACATCCATACTGTTCACATAGCTCCTTATCAGGGTTCAGATTAAGGGATGGTTTCATAGTGACAGGACGTCCTATACCAGGAACGGCGTTGACATCATAATTTTGACAGTGAATACCGGTATAATATCTTGGACAGTAACATTCATAATATCCTGAAACAATAATTTGTTATCCTTGTAAAATCATTGCCAAGAGGTTTGACCAAGGACCAGCTGGTAGACAGCATCCTTAAAAACCTAAGTTGTTATCCTTGTAAAATCATTACCAAGAGGTTTAGCTGTTAGAGATGATCCTGGTGAAACCAAGTTGTTATTTCTGAAACAATCAACTTACCAATTTTATCGTGACACGTGCCGTCATTTTTACACGGTGAAGACAAACATTCATCCATTTCGTCAATTTCACAATTAATTCCAGAAGCACCCGCCGGGCACAGACAGAAATAGCCATCTTGAGTGGGTCGACATGTTCCGTCGTTTTGACATGGAGAGCTGTCACAATCAGCTGACTGAAACTCACAATAGTCTCCTGAATAACCCTGAAATATATTTCAAAATTGGAATTTGGAAATGTGAATAAAATACAACAAAAATTGGATAAAAATTAACAAATTTCATGATTTTTTAGTTGAGAACCATTAAAAAAACAAGGTAGTTTGGGGTTTTGAATGGAATGACATGAACTTTTTTTCACCTTATCCTGTAGCTCCAGAAAGCCACAACATGCAGTGTGCAACGAGGGCAATTTTGGCAGGTCTGCAGCATTAACCTACTATTTTTTGATTAATTTTGGAGGATAGGATCCCGAAACTGATGAAGCTACAGAGTTAAAGAATTAATGAAACAACATTAAAGAGACATCTTAAAATTTGACCTACCTTCAGACATGAACATTTAGGACCACTGTCAGTGTTGGTACACGTTCCACCATTTTTACACGGAGCCTCCGAACATTGGATACGATTCTCACAAAGACGACCTAAAAAATAAAGTAGGTCAAGGTCAATGAAAGGTCAAGGTCAAAGGTCAAGGTCAATGGGTCAAGGTCAAAGGTCACAAAGTCGAAATATGAGATAGCCAAACCCAAAGAGTCTTGCTATCCAACAATTCGTCTTTGGTTTAAGAAACAGGTTCTACATGACATGCTTTGATTGGTTAGAAATTAAATCATTAGAACAGTAATGTTGAAAATAACTTGTAAGATTGCAACGGGGACAATTATCAGAAAACAAAGAACAAAAAAATGTAATCTAATATCAATTTCATTAATTGAGTGATTCATTATAGAGATCCTATTAACATAACATTTCATTTTTACAAATCAAAGGTGACCCCCATGACCCCTGCCCACAAAATATTTTAAGAAACTCACCACTAAAGCCAGCTTTGCACTGACATCTATAATCATTATCCAACTGTACACAATCTTGGGTACCAAGGGCACTACATGGGTTCGAACTACATTCATTAACGTCACCTTCGCAACGTGGACCAGCGAACCCTGGTGGACATTTACATTCATAATGTCCAATCTTATCCACACAGGTACCGCCATGGTAACAAGCGTTGTCAAAACAATCATTACTATTAATTTCACACAGTAACCCCAAAGTACCAGCCGGACAAGAACACTTGAAATCGTCAACCAAATCATGGCAGACGCCATTATTGGCACAAGGTTGATTGGCGCAGTCGTCAATATTATATTCACAATTCTGTCCCTGGAATCCTGTCATGCACTGACACGTATAATGATTGACAAGATCCTTACAGGTGGCGCCATTCTTACATGGAGCAGATGCACATTCGTTGATTTCCCGCTCACAATAACTTCCCTCGTACCCAGCTTGACAGATACATTCGTGAGTTGTGCCGCCCAGGTTTTTACAAATTCCACCATTTCTACACAGTTTTGAGACATCTACGCCTGAAACAATAAAATGGAAAATACTCAATTGAAAGTAATTATTTATCAGTAATTTAGTAGTTCAGGTAAACTTTCTCAAAAATGTATCCATTAGCCTAAACATCTTGGGCCACAAATGCACAAAATAGCTCATATATCAGATCGAATCCGCCTTAAGTGTTGGGATATTTTGGATTTCAACTGTTGAAGAATCTTTAACATTATAAATGAAAGAAAAAAAAAGATGGATCAACGAACCTTTCAAAGCAGCTGCAGAGTTACAGGGCACACGTCTGATGTCACATTTCTCTCCTGTCCAATCAGATGTACAGGTACAGCGGAAATTATTGGCGAATTGTTCACAGGTGCCCGAGTTTTGACACGGATTGTTCTTACACCAATCTTGTACTCTCTGAAAATAAACAAGAATTCAATCTGAACTCACGTCTGAAATATGGATATGGAATTTTACGTCCAACTGATCTGAAATATTAACATGGAATTTTACGTCCAACTGATCTGAAATATTAACATGGAATTTTACGTCCAACTGATCTGAAATATGGAAATGGAATTTTACGTCCAACTGATCTGAAATATGGAAATGGAATTTTACGTCCAACTGATCTGAAATATTGACATGGAATTTTACATCCAACTGATCTGAAATATTGACATTGAATTTTACGTCCAACATATCTGAAATATGGACATGGAATTTTACGTCCAACTGATCTGAAATATTGACATGGAATTTTACGTCCAACTGATCTGAAATATTGACATGGAATTTTACGTCCAACTGATCTGAAATATTGACATGGAATTTTACGTCCAACTGATCTGAAATATTGACATGGAATTTTACGTCCAACTTAGGACACAATATGAAGACAATATAATGAAATTTATTCTCGAGACTGAACAAAACAGTATAAAACTGAGATTTACATCAAATTTTACTGAGACAATGCAATGCAGTAGGCAATTGCGGAAACTTTTTAAGGACTGCAGCATTATCGATATCCATCCAATGAGCAAAAACCAAGAATAACTTATGAATTTACGCCAAATTTGAGATAAAATCTTTTAAATATGGTGATCTTCTGAAGAAAAATTTGAAGGAAATGAAATGAAATGGGGTTGTATGCCCTAGTTTCTGTATGTTTTGAAGTGAAGAGGGTGACTTACCTCACAATGGGTACCTTGGAAACCATACGGACAGTTACAATAATAATTTCCATTGTGATTGAAACAGGTGCCAGCGTTCATACAAGGATTGGTATCACACGGGTTAATACGAGTTTGACAGATTGACCCCGTGAACCCGCCTTTACATTGACACGTAAAGTTATTCACTCCATCTATACATTTACCATCGTTTAAACACGAACTGAAACATATAATTTACAAACATGACATACAGGGATGTTTTTAAGGCAGTATTACCAGTGTTTTCTTGCCAGTCGTGTCTGAATGAAGTTTGAAAATCTCCTCCCTGGTCCTCGTACAATTAGACAGTATTTACCTTTTCCACAGAAAAAAAAGCGTAAAAAATTCTTGCTGTTTGTTTTGACCAGCAGCCTTTGAAAAGAAAAGAATTAAAAAAACAAAAAAATTTAGCGTCTGCTCTTACCTCTTGGTACAATCGTTGTCATTGACTTCACAATGGACTCCACTGAAACCCAGACGACACGTACACGTATAGGAATTAACGTAGTCTGTACACGTGCTGCCATGCATACATGGATTCGAAGCACATTCGTCTATATCATTTTGACAATGTTGACCTCCGAACCCGTCCACACATCGACAGGAGTACCCACCGATTTCATCGACACATGTTCCACCATTGATACAAGGGTCTACAATACAGAATGTTCGTTCATAAGAAATAAAATTTCGTTGATGAAAAGGTCGATGAACTTAGCAATACGCAGACAAATGAAATGGAATTTTACATCCTACTTTTCTGCACCTGATAATGAAGGCAATGCCACACAGTGCAGAATGAGGGAAATTTTACCATGAAAGCAGCATTGGCATATTGGAGCTTTAAGCATTTTTTTCAGGTCCCTGATTTGGTCATGATTTGGCCAAAGAGAACAGGCAATGCCATACAGTGTGCACTGAGGGAAATTTTACCAGGAGAGCACAGTCTTTTTTAATTTCCAACTGTTGAGGGATCTTAACATTTTTAGCCTGTAGCACACAGGGCCTTGGTTCATTGTCCATGATCTATGCAGGAATTAAACTCTGGACCTACTGGACTGTGACCTCTATAAGCAGACACGAGTGGACATCTATCTGGTGTGTTCCAAATCTGCTAGCACCACAAGAAAGCAAAAAGGATAAAGAACAAGAAGATAGAAAATGGACTTACTTGGAGCGCAGTCATCATGGTTGACTTCACAACGCTTTCCTTCATAACCACGGAGACAGATACATTTAAACGAGCCGTTTTTATTGACACATTGAGCTCCGTTACGACAGGGAGAACCAGAGGCGCATTCATCAACATCTTGGTTACACAGTTTCCCTGGAATTTAGATTTGCATATTTATCATCGTTGTGTTTTGTCAGCAACGATCGAGGGATATTCAATTTTCACAGCCTGTTGTATTTTATTTATTTCCAGTTAAAGTCACGAAGAAAAGACTAACCTGTAAAACCAGTTGGACACCGACATTCAAAATCTTTATAATTATTGGTCGGGACACACTGGGCGTGGTTCTGACATGGAGAAGGGTGACACGGGTTCAACTCCTGTTCACAATTCTTGCCAGAGTATGGCGGATTACAGTTACAATGGTATTCATTGGCTAAATCTACACATTCACCGTGAACACAAGGATTACTGGCACATTCATTGATGTTCTTGTCACAGTTCTTGCCTAGAATGAATGAATGAATGAATGAATGAATGAATGAATGAATGAATGAATGAATGAATGAATGAATGAATGAATGAATGAATGAATGAATGAATGAATGAATGAATGAATGAATGAATGAATGAGAGCAAATGAATGAAAGAAGCAAAGGACATCTTATACAAAAATGAAATGGAGATTGGGAGAGAGTGGCTTTGTCCTGTAGCACACAGGGTCTTGGTTTATTGCCCCATCTGAAACCAGTTTGAAAAATCTGGTGGTATCAACTTTGTTCCATGCCTGGATTGAATCATGGAATATTAAAGATCTATCTCAAACTAAGGTGAGATCGGATTTGCAGAAGTTAAAACCCAAAATATTTCTTACCTTCAAAGCCTGGTTTACAATCACAAGAATAGCTATTAAGATGGTCATTGCAGGTACCGCCATGTTGGCAAGGATTAGATACGCAGTCGTTGATATCATTTTGACATCGATGACCTCCATAACCATCCAGACAGAGGCACTCGAACTTGTTAACACCATCGACACAAGTCCCATAATTCATACACGGATTACTGCCGCATTCGTTGACGTTGGATCGGCACTCTGCGTCATAGTAACCAGCAGGACATTCACATTTAAATTTGTTGATCAGATCCGTACATTTGCCGCCATTATGACAAGGTTGCGAGGCGCAGTCATCGATGTCCAGCTCACAATGGGTTCCTGAAACAATATTTGAAGAAGGATTTTCAAAAGCGTTACAAAAAATATAAGTTATTTAAACATTTATTAAAGAAAATATGAAGAGTTGTTTCCCTCCAAAACATAAATAGTGCCCTTTATAACTAGATAAACAATAATTAATCTCTCTTAAGACAACATGAATTTGAAATTTTAGGGATTTTAATTTCAGCGTAGAGTTTTGAGAAAAAGGGGCAGTAATCTTACCTTCGTAACCTGGTTTACATTTACAATTATATCTATTAATACCATCAATACACGTAGCTCCGTTATGACAAGGGTTACTAACACATTCGTTATAGTTCTTCTCACAATTTTGACCTAGTATAGAAAAAACAATGCCATTAAATAATTCTGAAATGAAATTGTCTCCCTTGACACGGATTAATCCAACTTTCGTTTAAATTATACCGGAGATAAAAAAAAATATCATTTGATCAAATACTGAATTGAAATTATCTCCCTTCAATGGCAAAGGCTGTCTCCTCTCTTGGCAATTTGGGAAAATTCTCCAATGATTGTGTTTTTTTGTAGGAGTTAGAAATTTAATGACAAAAAGAAAGGAATTATTCTCGAAACGATCTTAGCACTAAGATGTCCTAGAATCAATGTTAGAAGATAAGAACCTAAGACATCCTAGCGTTAAGATCATTTCGAGAATATGTAGCCTGGAAATTATGCAAGTAGACTAAAATCTTTCACCCATTTGTGTGAAAGGTGCTGATTCGTAAAAATTCGTAAAAACTCAACTAATTAAATGTTCCAGTCATCTGATTGGTCAATCACTAAACATTGATATTCAAGTTAGTTTTATTATCCAATCAGATTACTGTATTTCTTAACATCTGTTTAATTTCTTTGAAAAATAACTCACCTGAAGTTCCGTAAGGACATCGACATTCGTAACTGTTATCTAAATTAGAACAAGTTCCTCCGAACTTACAGGGGTTGCTGGAACATTCATCGATATCGTATTGACACAGTAGTCCTGTATATCCAGGAAGACAACTACATGTATAGGTATCCAGACCGTCAACACATGTACCATGTCCACAATCTACCTTACGACAGTTATCAACATTTTCTTGACAATGGACGCCACTGTAACCTGGATAAAACAGAACAATATTTTACAATTTTTGTCATGAAATTTCGAGAAAGACCCTATTGCCTACAATGTCTAGTTTGTTACACTTTTTTACCAATATAAGTTCCAAAAAATTCATGTTATTTTATGTGAAAAGGTAGAAAAAACCTATAAAGGTCTCTAAAAAGATGTTATTTCCACGATTTTTTTTCTTCAAAATACTTGAAATACCAACAATTGTTGGGTAAATCTTTCAAGTCAAGCTATAAAGTCAAGTGAAGTTTTTGGAATTAAGATGGCAGACAAAGCTCCTTATCAGCAGACAGTCATGTAGACTCTAGTATAGAGATATATAGTTTTTATACAGAACTGTAAGATGATGAATCTACCTACCAGTTTTACAAGTACAGGTATAAGTGTTGATTTGATCGTTACAAGTACCTCCATTGAGACAGGGGAATGTTTCACACTCATCAATATTGACAGCACACGTTGGACCTTCAAAACCTACAAATATCAAAACATTTCAAATTACTGCCAAGGCCAGTGCTTTTGCTGACATTCTCTCTTTACTACAAAATCATAAACATCAAGACCCAAATTCCAGAAAAAGATAAAGTTAAAGACTATTTTCTACACCTTTCAAGAAACTGTTCAACTCCAGGCACTGTACAATGAGGGAAATTTTGCCAGGACAGCCGTTTGACCACTACATTTTGATATCCAACTGTCCAACTGGAGTCAAAGAGCTTCCATGTACTGGCTGGACAGATACTTTTAAATTCATTGCCCTTTTTTAACAAACTTTTCCTGTGGGGTCAAAGAAAGGGGCAGGTCATGAGGGGTAAGGGAGAAAAAACTTACCGGCAGGGCAGGTACATTTAAATTTATTGACTAGATCTTGACAGACTCCCCCATTAATACATGGATTACTGCCACATTCATCATATTCTACTTCACAATTGCGACCGGTAAAACCTGGAAAATAAATATATAGACTAGGTTAGGCTAGACACTCAATACAACACTTACGCAATGCTTTGATGCTTGAACAATTACTCAAAAGTTTTACATCCCCTTTGGAGAGTCCGTACACTTATAATCTTTATTTGGTTATTAGGTTTAACATAAAGTGATTTAGTTAAGAATGTTTGATTCAGGATTCCAATCAAGGAGTCCTTTTTAGAGAGTCCACATAGTTCATAATGTATATAGTGTTAGGGTGTATTGAGATGAGTCTCTATGAAAGCACTGGTCTAGGTCACAGAGCAAGAGATACGCTTGATGAGTCTCAATGAAAGCACTGGCCATGGTCCCAGAGCAAGAGATAAGCTTGATGAGTCTCAATGAAAGCACTGGCCAAGGTCACAGAGCAAGAGATAAGCTTGATGAGTCTCCATGAAAGCACTGGCCAAGGTCCCAGAGCAAGAGGTAAGATTGATGAGTCTCAATGAAAGCACTGGCCAAGGTCACAGAGCAATAGATAAAGTTGATGAGTCTCAATGAAAGCACTGGCCATTGATGAGTCTCAATGAAAGCACTGGCCAAGGTCACAGAGCAATAGATAAAGTTGATGAGTCTCAATGAAAGCACTGGCCAAGGTCTCAAAGCAATAGATAAGCTTGACGAGTCTCAATGAAAGCATTGGCCTAGGTCCCAGAGCAATAGATAAGTCTATTAATTATGTGAAAATTTGTTAGTCATTAGTATGATTTTAGTTGAAAAGATACACACACAAATATACACTACTCTGATATATAATATACTGTATACAGCAATGGTTACAGTCCGTATTTAGGTTTGTTAACTTAGCGTCACTTTCAGAGAGTCCACATAGGTCAAAATGATATTTTCATAAATATTAAAGTTTAATAAAAGATCCATCCGCTAATGAAAAAAGATTTCAAACATAGTAACTTCCCTATATTTCGAAAAACAGCCATTTTTAAGGGTACAGTTTGGAATTTTTTGTTTATTTTACAAACTTTTCACAAGCTTCAAACAGTTTTTACAAGAAAATAAGAATTTGACTGTGAAATAAAACTCTCTGAGTTAGACTGTTTAACTGATGTTTGTAAAAGGAGGACAAGTGCTTTTATTTACTTCAAATTTGTCGATTGGTCTTTAATTTGTCGAGGGTGTCTAAATTTTAGTCCAAAAAATAGAAAAGATGATGAAATAAAATAAAATGGTGTTAAAGATGGGTTCCCATGTTTTTATTTATGAAAATGAAAATGCTAATATTTATATGAATAGAAAGTAGAGGTGTTCTAATGACTTAGAAAAATACCAGTTTGTCTCACATGTCCATAATTAATTCATAATTAACTAAATTAGAAGAGAATTACTAGCAGAATTTCAATGAGTGACCGATCAAGAAAGGTCAAAAAGAATTTTTTTGTTTATCCAGACTGTACATACATGGGCATTTATTTATTATATAAAACTCTTAATAATATGCAATAAGAACATAATGATATGATTAAGAATACATGATAATTCATTAGATACATCAATTAATCAAATAGTTTGCTTAATTTTACACTAAAATATAAAAAAACCCATCTTTAAAACGTCCTATTTATTTGAGATAATGAAGACAGTCCATGCCATGCAGTGTGCAATGAGGGAAATTGCCAAGACAGTCCATTAACATATATTTATTGATACTCAAGACATTTTCTGTATCAGTTTTTAACAATTAACTAATATTATTTGAAATTCTGTATTATTTCTTTAAAAATTCTAGCTAAGAAATAGTGTTTATATACCCTTTAAGGAAAGGAAAATTCTGATTCCTCAACCAGTGCTTTCTAGAGTCAGCTTTGCGTCCTCTTTCAACCCCTAATACCAATGTTAAGAGTATAAGATTAGGTAAAAATAGAAAAGCTAGTCTAACGTTGAACATAAGTACATCTCAATTCTAGAGTGCCATGGGTTTGAATCCTTCAAAATTTATGAGGCCAAGGCCAGTGCCTCTGAGTGTCAGTCATTTCTATCACCTGAGTAAAAGTATAGGACTTTACAGTTTCAGTAATAATATGAAAGCTAATGTTGAACACAAGTATATCTCCATTGTTATAGTTGAATAGCCTAGGGCAATTTCTATCTTGGTAAAGTCTATATAAAAAACTTCCCACTTGAACGCACTTCCCACCTAGTTCTCACACTCGCTGATAGACATGACCTTTCAGGGGAGGTAATTCAGCTGTGTTTTTACCATCGTGAAACCTGATTAATAGTTAAGTATTGTGACATAAATAATTGGCCAGGATTTGTTATTTTTAACAAAAACTGGACCTCAGTTAATTTAAGTTAATCCTCTTTTATTTACTGTAATTTTGTTTAGGGTGGTTTAATTCGGGTATTTTCAATCAAATGATTATTTAAACCACATGAAAAAAGAAATATTAGACCTAGCCTTTTAAAATGATTCTTTTCGATTCTTGTCACAATATGTAAAAACTGGACTTCGTTAATTTAAGTTAATCCTCTTTATATATTTTTTTATTTTTCTCAAAGGACTTTAAGTTACTTGACAAGATCTTTAAAGTAATTACATCTGTTCATTCTAGCATTTTGACAATTAATTCAAAAACTTGACTCTAGTTAATTTCAGTTAATTTTCCTTTCGTCTTTTTACTGTTGTTTTATATTGTGATGTTTTGTTTTTTCGTATTTTCGGTTAAATGACTTTCTAAGCCACTTGAAAAAAGAAACAGATCATTTCGTTTCAAGTTTTGACTATTAAAAATTTAATTTTTACTTTCAATTTGTTTAACGAATCTAATCGCAATGATTAATCTTGCTGGTTTCAAGAATTAAAACACCAATAATTGTAAATTTCCGCAGATGTCCAGCGCACAATACAGTCAAGGCCAATAAACTCTACGATCTCTTCAAAACACCTTAAGTATTTAAGTCGTTAAATTTTTACTTTCAATTTGTTTAACGATTTCAAGCGTGTTCATTAACCTTGTGATTTTTAATTTTCATGAATTAAAACACCAGTAATTCTGAAATGAGCGAACAGATCATTAAACCTACGACTGGTCATTAATTTTGGTGAATTGTGGGATATAAAAATTGTGAAATTAGCGAAAAAAATTAATTCTGCCATTTGGTAAAGTTTGTGAATTGTCAATAACTGTAATTGTGAAATCAGCTAAAGAAAATTACCAGCGTTTTTTGTCAATATGTTTTGGGGATTTTTAGTGTTTTTTGTGAGTTGATATTTTTATTGAGTTAATAAAAACTATTTCGAATCAACTGACCGTATAACTGTATCTAATTTGACACTTTTTCTATATCTTTTTTTTTCGCTTCATTGAAATTTTGGCTGAAGAATTGAAACTTTCTGGTCATTTTTTAAAATAACACTTGATATGGGAAAGTTTTTATCCTCGCTTGGCAAATTTTGACACTTTCGCGAAAATGTTTTTATTTTTTTTGTTACTTCTTTGAAAATAAAAACAAAATTTGACAAGATTCCAATTCCAAACCTTTCGGTCTTTCTTTTTTTTAACTTTACTCAAACTTTTCCCTTTTTTGTCAATTCTCAATTTCAGTCAGATATCAAGAATACAGAAAATCTAGCACAATAGCAAAAAAAATGTCCTGCAAATTAATGTTGTTGTCAGTCATTTTGGAACTACAATCAGACATGACTGGTAAATACAGTAATTAAACATCCCTGATATATACCTCTATTTATCAACAACAACATTTCAGGACAAAAGCCTAATTCAGAATTTTTCAAAAAACATTTTAACTACTCAACACTTAGTTTTTCTACATAAAAAATATTTTAACTCCACATTTCAAATTGTCTTATCTCAGAAAATAAATGATTTCTTTCAGAAAAGTTGAGTTTAATATATATTATTTATAAATGTTTATCTCCATTTTTTTTTGTCCTAATTTTTCGTAAACAATACACGTATTCATAAATAATATTTTACAATATTTAGAAGCTGAAAGCACATATAACAAAAAACACACAAGAGAATATATTATGGTATAACACACTTCTTATATAACAAAAAACACACAAGAGAATATATTATGGTATAACACACTTCTTATATAACAAAGCACATAACTTATACACATGTCTTTATCAATTGTGCATCTTTTTGAAGTTTTTTTGAGAATTTCTGGAAAATAAGGTACAAGGAGAGCACATATAACAAGTTTTTTTGAGAATTTCGAACGAACAAGATACAAGTGAATTATAACATTTTTTTGTAATAAATTTGGTGGCGATGCCAGTCTCCTGAGGGGGCAGACTGACTTAACGAGGGGAGATTTAAATCAATAGCTCAAAACAATCTCATGGAGAGAATTCTCGCAGAGAAAATTTTGGAAAAATTGAATTGTACTCCTGTAACCCTTCTCAAACTGCCACTGAATAAATTTGGTTTATAAAATCTATTAATTTGTATTATTTAAACAATATTTTCATCAACTAGAGATTTATCTCAGATTTTACAGGTTTGTGTAAACAGGAGAATCTATTTCAGGTCATTGTTAGGTTCAAATTAAAGTTGTGTTAAATAATATCACTCTTATTTTACTTTGTGTTAAAACTGATCACTTGAGAATCTCCATGTCAATTACTCACTCCTTTCAATGAAGTTCAGTTAAAAAAAGAATTGAAGTCTATAGACTCTTAATTGCAAGGCAGTTTCTTAATGTGTTCACGTTCATCAGAGAATCTGCAAGTCAATTCCCCACTCCTGTCAGTGTAGCTTGATACAGAAAGAGCGCAACTTTTGAGAGTGTATTTCTAGGTTTTGCAGCTTCCCTTCCGCGAAATCATTCAAAAAAGTTTAAGATTTTGATAATATCTTAGCTTCCCTAGTGAAATATTCAAGATGGAAATTAAAACTCAACTTCAGGAAACAGGGTGGACCTTAGTCTCTCATCAACATTAGATTGTTGTTCAATTTTAACAATTGAATCATTCATTGTTTCTATCCATTGTCAATACAAACCAGGATGGCCGTCTTATATTTTGGTTGGTTTAGATAATACCGATCATTTTTGAAACAAAAAAAAAAACCATTCCTTACCTGGCATACAGAGACATCTGTAGGCTCCTTTTTCATCCAGACACGTTCCGTCGTTGATGCAAGGGTTTGAACTACATTCGTTGATGTTAACCTCGCACCATGGCCCCGTGAACCCGACTGCACAATCACATTTATAACTTCCTGGCGTATTGATACAGGTTCCACCATGTTCACAAGGTGTGTCGGCACCTACAAAGGGGTAAATCGGTTAAAAAATAGTCCAGGGTCCCTCTCAAAAAATCTTGAGATCAATTTTGTCGCAAGTATGAACGAAAAATTCTTATCGTGGGATTTTTTGAGGAACCAGGCCAAGTATATTTCATTCCAGAATTTGTACTTGAAAAGATTTTCAAAAAGATCTGAAAGTTTTTGGAGAAGATAAAATAAAATTGTATAGATAGAAAGTAAATTCATACATAAAAGATATTAGAGGAATTCAGTTGGTGGGAAAATATTTGAGAGGCTAGGCATTTCTTTGCAAAATAGAGCATTCCATTATAGTATCATGCATAAGAAGAAATTTTGAAGATCTCATCTCAGTCCAAGACAGTAAAATTATCTTAAAATTCCTGAAAATTAAAATCTACAAACTACATAGGCATAGAGCGAAGCATCCCAAAAAATATATCCTGCCCCCTTCCAAATAATTTTGGGTCCCCATGCCAACGAGTAATATTAACTACACATCTACAGTTCTACGTCTACAGTTCTACGTCTACAGACTTACTTTCAGTACACTCATCTACATCTCGTGAACACGTGTCACCTGTCCACCCTCGTTTACACGTACAGATAGGGCTGCCATCTATTGGCGAAGTCTCACATGACGCTCCAGCGTTACATGGATTACTCTCGCATGCATCATCCAAATGACATCTCATTCCTAAGAGAGGAGAGAGAGAAAAATAGAATTTAGTTTGTTAATAAACAGTGAATGAACGATTGATGGAATGAATGAATGAAACACAAAATGAATGAATGTGTGACTATATTCATGAATGAATGAATGAATGAATGAATGAATGAATGAATGAATGAATGAATGAATGAATGAATGAATGTTAATACAAAGTTTCATAATATTAGTTAATAAAATTTGACGTAATAAAACATTTGATCATTTTGGTTAGTAAAAAGTTTTTCAAATTTAAATTTATCACAGTTGAAAAAAAAAGAAGAAAATGTTGATACAGTTAAGATTTTTTGGAAATACATGTACATCATTTTCTTTCAGCGAAGAAAATTTCTTAAAAAACATTTGAAAGAAGGCAAAATTTTAATTTATGACTTTCATAAATAATAATTCAATAAATTTTTATTTGATTTCGTAACGAGGGTTTTTGATCATAAAGCCAAACTTTTATGGTGAGAAAATTGCAAACTCTATAAATTATCAAAATTCAAAATATATTTAAAAAATCAGAAATATGTATTTTCTAAAATTAAAACAAAGAAATCAATTAAAGAAAGATAATTGAGTGTTCAGCTTTGGGCAAAATGTCGTTGAAAAATTTTATGACAGTATTGCGTATTTGTATTTTTATCAATTTATTAATCGCTGTTGAATAAAGACTTATAAAATGACGACAAGACAAACCCTTTGGCTATTCCTAACATTTATCACAAAGAGTAAGTAATATATTGTTTTAAAGAAAGTAGAAATCATGTTAAGGTCCAAATTTGCTAAAAGATGCCATACTGATTACCAGTTGCTTTGGTTACGAATAATGAAAATGGTCACAAGTACCAAACACACCTCAGTTGCATGAGAGTTCCATGTTCAACTTTTTACCTCAATTCTTATTCTCACCCATACACAACTGGTGATTGCTTTGTAAAACAAAGTCCAAAATAAAGCACTAGGACAATCTGATGTATGATTAAAAACAACAGAAATTAAATTTTCAATAAAAATGGAAAATAAAAAACCTTACCAGTTTTTCCACGAGGACATTTACAATAAAAATATCCGACTCGATCCTCACAGTTTCCTCCATTAAAACACGGGTTGTTTTTACAATCGTCAATATTCTCACTGCAGTCAGAACCAGTCCATCCATTAACACAGATACACATAAACCCATCATTATGATTCATACAAGTTCCTCCGTTCTGACAGATAAACGGAGTCGTTTCACATTCATCTACATCTATTTGACACAGGTCTCCTGAAAATAGACAGAAGAATGAATGAATGAATGAAAGGATGAATGAACAAATGGAGAAATAAAAGAATAACATGCAGAAATGAATGAATAAATTAAGAAAATAATGAATAAATTAAGAAAATAATGAATGAATAAATTAAGAAAATAATGAATGAATAAATTAAGAAAATAATGAATGAATAAATTAAGAAAATAATGAATGAATGAATAAAGAAAATAATGAATGAATGAATGAAGAAAATAATGAATGAATGAATGAAGAAAATAATGAATGAATAAATTAAGAAAATAATGAATGAATAAATTAAGAAAATAATGAATGAATAAATTAAGAAAATAATGAATGGAATGAATGAATAAGAAAATAATGAATGAATAAATTAAGAAAATAATGAATGAATGAATTAAGAAAATAATGAATGAATGAATTAAGAAAATAATGAATGAATAAATTAAGAAAATAATGAATGAATAAATTAAGAAAATAATGAATGAATGAATGAATGAATGGATGAATGAATGGATGAATGAATGAAAAATGTATGAAAAAGTCTTAATCTAATGATATAAATGAATGACTGAATAAATCAATAAAATGTTAAAATGTTGCCAAACATTTGAAATGGTAAAACCATCATATTCCCAGCCCCTAGGGTTTTATAGCATTTTAACCATAGATTTTTATGCCATGGGGGGCATTATCAACTATATTCAGGGCATTATAAACCATCACTAGGGCCATTATCAACTATAATGACCCGGCTTATTCAGTTGTTAAAATTGCCATTAAAATCACAAATTTATTCACCCAAATTTTAAAATTGTCAAAATTTATGGTTGAAAAATTAATGGGTTTATTTTAACATCTGAGTGAAAATTCAAACTTTCAATAATTATATATATTATTATAGATATTTAGATATTCGCTGAATTTTACAGGTTTATCGTTTTTTCGTCCATGTTTCTTTGACCATGTTCATACCATCTGCGATTTTTTTTTATTAATTGCCTGAAGTCAGTTGAGAAATTGGATTGATGCAAATGGAAGCCATAAGTATACACGATACTCAAACGGAGATTAGAAAAGCTTTTTACAATCCCTTTAAAGTATTAACTTATCTATGAAAATAAAAAAAATCTATATCAGATATTGAATGCATTCTATCAGAAAATTAGAGCTAATTTTTAAATTGTAGGACTAAAGAGAAGGATTTGGTTTGTGCACATGCATGCATTTTGATCAAAATAATAATTTTTTTTTTGCGTAAAAACCAATGAATAGATAATTACAGAGAAAATAACCGAATTATAAAAATCAATTTCTGAAATTAATAGGCAATTATTTTGATACAAATGTTCATATATCACTTCTTTCCCATAGAAACACAGAGAAAAATACTAATTTGACCAAATCAAGTCAATTGAGAGCTAATTTGTGACAATCATCTCAAAATTCACAAGAAATTGTCCAGGTGTGTTCACAGAAACTTGTTAAGAAAAGTCAGGTGTCAAAACAAATGGTTTCTATTCACAATAATTGAATATGTGACTTCAATAAAGAAATTTATCATCAAATTGTATTTTTATATAGAAATATTTAATTATTTTATTCCTTTGCTATTTTATGGGAAATTAAATGGGGTATGACTGTTCTTGATTGAGCATTAAAGACAAGCTACACACTGCAGTGTCCAATGAGGGAAAACCAGAGACCAGTTGAGTGTTATTAAATGGAGTTGAACTTTTACTTGTTTTAGCCATGCAGTGTGCAATGAGGGAAATTTTATTAAGACAGCTTCATGAGCTTATAATTAACTCTCCCATCCAATTGATCAATTCAGTAAATGAATGAATTAAACAATGAATGAATTAAACAATGAATGAATGAATGAATGAAATGAGTAAATAAATGAATGAATGAATGAATGAATGAATGAATGAATGAAATGAGTAAATAAAAAAATCACTGAATGACTGAATGAATGAAAAAATGAATAAATATATAAAAGAATGAATGAATGACATAGCAAACCAACATTCTAATTTCAGCCTAGAGATTAATCTAAAGAATATCCACAGCTCTGTTCTCAAACAACAAGTCCACAATATCATATATATAACTTGTATTTTATTAATATATTTACAGGGATTGTTATAACTATGAAAAGACCCAAACATCTCTGACAAGATAATCTCTAGATTAGATTGAGGGGACCGTAAAATACTAATATTGTCAGCAGTCAGTTTTATCTGACCTATCAATTTATATTTATATTTTTATTCGTTATCCACAATTGTTGTTTGACTATAAATTAAAGGGGACAGGTTTGCCATTTGATTTGGGTTGATTTGAGTCTTGAATATATGTAAATAGTCTTCAGAAATAGTACTAGAAATGTACAAAAATCACATAATTCCTTTAAATACAGCTCATATTATGAATTTCTTTTCCTATTTCTATAGATATCTTTTCTATAAAGGTTCAAATTTCAATGGTGAGCTGATTAGCTAATATTATTGTTTCTCAGACTTAGGTATGATTGGTTAAACTGATGGTGAATCTGTCTTTTTTTGCAAACTAGTAATACATTGTATATTAAACATTAATTTTCTGTATTATATACACAAGTCCAAATAAGGTTTTGTGACCAAAATAAGGCTTCAAATTGCCATCATTAATATTTTCATATTCGAAAAATATGACCCCATGTTGATAGCCACCTTTAAAACTAAGACCATGGAGACAGAGCCATATAAAAACAGACCCTAAATTAATCCATCAAAGCTGGGAACTTACTTTGTATAAAAATACCATCAATAAATGGAACCCCTGTGGTTTTATGATTTTTAAAATGGACAATTTTAATTTTGGATCCTAAATAATTTGATCAAAGATGGGAAAATTTGTCAAGATCCTTATATATTTATGAAAAACAGTTTTTAAAGGAAAAGTAGAGTGGATTCTTATTTTCATTTTCAAAGAATACACAAAAACTTTTAAAGAAAAAAGTTTTGAAAATTAATTAATTTAAAAGGTCATGTGGATATCCATTTTCTAAAAAAAGCCCACCAAGATCAAGGACCTTACAAATTTAGACAATTTTCATAGCTTTTAAAATTCTGAATGTATTTAGGGTAGTAAATTTGTAATATATCAAAATATCCATTAATGATAAATACACGCCATTAAAATTTTACTATATATATCTCTAAGTGATCCTTTTAACTTTCAATTCTAAATTTCCATTAAAGATTTTTAACTTTACTGGCTAGAGACACGAAAACTATCAAACCATGACAACACAAAACATCACAGATTTAAAATTTTTTAAGACAAATTTTATTTTCATTTATAAAAATGAAACCCAGTCGACCCAGCTGTTAATGGGTATGGATAACCTGGGAAAGATCAATGCTAAGTTAGAGGTTTGACTAAGCTGGTAGGTTGTTATCCTTCTAAAATCAATGCCAAGAGGTTTGACCAAGGACCAGCTGGTAGAAAGGATCCTCGTGAACCCAAGTTATTATCCTTGTAAAATCATTGCCAAGAGGTTTGGCCAAGGACCAGCTGATAGAAAGGATCCTTAACTGTGAACCTAAGTTGTTATTCTTGTAAAATCAATGCCAAGTGGTTTGGTCAAGGATCAGCTGGTAGAAAGGATCCTCGTGAACCTAAGTTGTTATCCTTGTAAAATCATTACCAAGTGGTTTGGTCAAGGATCAGCTGGTAGAAAGGATCCTCGTGAACCTAAGTTATTATCCTTGTAAAATCATTACCAAGAGGTTTGGTCAAGGACCAGCTGGTAGAAAGGATCCTCGTGAACCCAAGTTATTATCCTTGTAAAATCATTGCCAAGAGGTTTGGCCAAGGACCAGCTGGTAGAAAGGATACTTAACTGTGAACCTAAGTTGTTATTCTTGTAAAATCAATGCCAAGTGGTTTGGTCAAGGATCAGCTGGTAGAAAGGATCCTCGTGAACCTAAGTTATTATCCTTGTAAAATCATTACCAAGAGGTTTGGTCAAGGATCAGCTGGTAGAAAGGATCCTTGTGAACCAAAGTTGTTTGCCTTGTAATGAATGGTGCTTTTATCAGATAAGAGCCTAGAATACAGTGTGGGGTGGGGTGGGATGGGGTGGGTTGGGTCGGAGCAGGGCATGCTTACCTGTCATGGTGGGTGGACATTTACAAGTATAGGACTTAATACCATCAATACATGTAGAACCATTGTTACAGGTGTTGTTAATACAATAATCTATATCTTCTTCACAATTCTTACCACGGAAACCTGAAAATAGATTAAATATATCATAAATATTAAGTCAAGCTGGAGGGTGAAAAGTGTAAAATTATGGAAATATTAAATGGTAGCATGTAAAAGCCGGATGTGGATATTGAACGATGAATGTTTGTTAAAATGCTATGCAAGTTTCCCAAGGGAATGTAGAATTGTGGGATAAGCTTTCGTCAATGTTTGTCAAGTCAACACTGGCTACGGCAATTTCTTCGTTTCTTCGTCAGAAACTGTGTGATCGCAGCCAAAAACACACGAGATTAGACCTAACGACAACTTGCCAACTTACACCATTTTAAAATCGTTTTTACAACAAATTATTTCAACTTTGACCTTTATGAATTGTGGGTTTGAACTTTGACCTGTTTGTTGTGGGGTTGTAAATAAACAGAGTTCAAAATGCACTGGTTCTAACAATGTTTCATGTACAAAACACACCTTTTTCCTGAAAATTGTGAACATTAGCGCCAAACCAATGACATCTTAAATTATGAATTTGTCTTGCTGAATTGCTCAAAAACCAACTCAAATATGTTTGAATTTTTTGAAGCAGCTTATTTGCTTAATTCATAATTTCCATATTTGGCTAATGGTTTTCAAAAATTTTGTTTGGCTGAATGCGGTGAAATAATTTTTCAAACAGGGGTTGAATTTTTTGAAGTTGTCTAAACTTTGGAAAAAGTGTGAAAAGTGAAAAGTTACATGACCTATTTTTGATAAAGGAGGTAGCTAGGTGTCAGAATAAACAATAGCGCAATCATCCAAACATGGTAAACAATCAACGAGATTATCTCCAATCTGATTGGTTAATCTTGACCCTTGACCTCTGATGTTAGTTTAACCATGATACTCCTCAAATACGACCAAATTTTCATTGATCAGTGACCTTGTAAAAAATATTTTTGTGTTTTGGAGAAAGGAAGTTGATGAAAGAGTTAAACAAAATGGCGAAGGGTTGACATGCCAAAACTATGTTACTAGTCCAGAATGCATTTAGTTTTCAAAATCCAAAGACATGCAAAAATCATAAAAGATATCATCTAAGAATAAACTGAAGCGAAAGACGTCATAAACATGAGATTTAACATCCCTCTTCAGAACCAATGAATTTAGACAATGCTCTGCAGTGTGCAATGAGAGAATTTACTCGTATTTTTGTTACAATGAATCTATAAAGTCTATCTATGACACGTTGTTGAGTAAGTGAACTAATCTCTTACCAAGGACAAAGTAAGAGCGAAGACCACCAAGCCCTCACCACAATATCGTTATTCAAAATACGTTATATTGTTATTCAAAAAGTTTCACTAATTGAATGACATCTTTGAAAACGGCCCTATTGACTCAACTAATACGAGGCTGTCAAAATGGAAAACCCGCGTTAAAATAACAAACAAGGGAAGTAACTCAGTACAAATTGCCGTCGTTATAATATTATCAAAATATTGGACTATAAGGGATAGGTAGTTTATGTATAAAAGGGAACTGAAATAAAATTGAATAGATAGTGAGAGATTTGTAAAAAGAGTGACTCAATTAAACTGGCCGTGGGAAAAAAGTTATTGAGAAAAAACAGAAAAAAACAGAGAATATCTGATTACCTATTGTTATTTTGATTTATTGACAAGCGAGGCCAACGAAAAAATAAGAGTTTTTGGTTATCTTTTTAGACTATTAGTAAAAAACCCAATCATTGTTCTGATATACTTCATAGGTCTAGATATTGGCCTGGTTGATATGAGGTTTGAAAAGGAAATATGAAAACAAGGGATTAAGGGCTAGATTAACTGTGTTTTGATTTCAATAAGGCTGGTGATATAGAAATAAAGAGGTCTATTATTACTATATAAGGCAGTTATGGTCAGATTGGACTAATGAAAACTTTTTTTCTCACTCGTTCAATTGGACATTTAATTGGGATTTAATCCTTGAGGGATTTTTTTACGCTAAATTTCCCTAATTTTCAAGTCTTCTAAATTTGCTTCAACTTTTCCCAGGCAATAGTCAAATGCCAAGAGGTTTGACCAAGGAATAGAAAAAATCTTCGTCAACATATGTTGTTATCCTTGTAAAAAATGCTTGTTTCATTCCATGCATGAAAAATTCTGCACAAGTTTTTTCTCACAAAATACAAATTATTTGATAATGATTTTATACCTTAATGGATTTTTTCACCAAAAAAGTATTGCTTAGTTTTCTCATGATAAAATGAAATAAAGTGGGAGATAGTTTGGTGGGAATATGTAATGTAACCTAAATTAAAACATGTATATACCTCTAACAACAACTATATCAAATTATAAATTAATTATATTTTTAACAAACCCTGTCAAAATTGATCAGTTGAAAACATATATCGTAACTATTTCAAGGAAAAGTCTCGCTTTCTTGGCTTTCTTAGGGAAAAGTAAATTATATTTTCTGTAAGAAGCAAGAAGTTTGGGAAAGTAAAGTGTTGTATCAAATAATTAACTATCTTTTTAAGCCGCTCCAAATTTATCAGTTTAATACAAAACTACACTGCACCCTTATTTTTTTTAAGGGAAATCTCTCCCTTACTTCAGAAAAGAACTTCATTTTCTGTGAGATTTTTTAGGTAAAGCAAGTAGTTTTGGGATATAAGAGCTGTTGATAATAGTGTGAATAAATTTAACCTGAGCCTCTATAATGTAATTATAACAGGTCTTTTTCAACCTCATTCGTCAAAATTCTTTCCTTGTAATATAGGCATGAATTGGAAAAATTTCAAAGACAATTCACAGGATCAAGCTGGGGATGGAACATGTTATTGTTTATCAAAAACAAATGAGGACAACAAACTATAGTCCACCATGTCACCTAGATCCAAATTCGAAAAAAAAAAAAATATATCCTAACCTTTCACCTCTACTAATGAATATGTTGAAATATATATCATGCCTATCTCGGTTTTCAACACGTCAAAAATAATATCATGAACTCAGAGGGAGTACAATCATAACGAGCTTATTAATTAGCAGAAAATGTTAATTAATAGAACATAGTTCTACATTGTAATATTACATAAAGTCATAGACTAATATAGTACGTTAGTCCTACAAAACATGCTGACTCTTACATCGTACATGTCCCAAGAGAACAGGGAGGGGAGGTGGTGGAGAAAGTGAAGGGGGTGCTGTGATCATAACGAGCATATTAATTAGCAGAAAATGTTAATTAATAGAACATAGTTCTACATTGTAATATTACATAAGGTCATAGACAAATATAGTACATTAGTAATACAAAACATTGAATCAGCAACACTAGGCAGTGTGCAATGAGGGAATTTTTTCTAGACCACTGGCAGTATCCTACTTTTTTTTTTATTTCCAAAAGTCAAGGGATCTTTAACACACACAGAGACTGCTGTACACAGGTTTAGTTTAGTTTCCCATTTAAACATATCAACCCCCTCGACCTGCATCACTGACAGGGGCAAAACCCACGCCAAAAAATTATGAAATATTTTACTTTATTTAGAGAGTCCACATAGATAGTAATGATATTGATAAACAAATTTCTAAAAAATGAATGGAGTTTTACATCCTACTTTCATAGACAGCAGTATTAGTCTACTCTTTTTCGATTTCCAACTGTCGAGGGATCTTTAAAATATTTCTAAAAAGAGTCAGCAAGTTTCATAGTACAATATTACAAGTAGTACAGCTCTAATTAGTCTTAAAACTGTATAATTAATCAAAGCGTTAATAAGTCGTTAATTAGACCTCGTTAGAAATGCCGGAACATGTAATTAACATGCGCATATTTTTAGATCTATTATTTTCCTAATAAGGTAACTTACTTAAGAATGTTAAAAATAATATTCTCAAAGTATAATTATTATTCTTTAACTAAACTATTAGCTTAAATAGGACATATTCACTATTTTCAAGGTTTGATTTGGGTCTAGAACATAAATGTAAATATTCTTCAGAAGTACCAGAAATGTACAAAAATCGAATAATTCCTTTAAAAATACTTCAGATTAGAATCTCAAAGGCAGATAATTCTGGACATACATGGATTTGAAGGCTCAAATTTTGTCGGTGAGCTATGAACACTAATACTAACTAGCTAAGTTAAAAATTAACTAATCAGACATGACTAGCCAATTCAGTCAAATCAAAAGCCCTTGTGACTCAAAATAAGAAAGTAAACAGTAGGGCAGGTGAATAAATTCTCTTTTCAATATCTCGTTTTTCTTTCTTTAAGGTCTTCTATCAATTCAAATTAAATACAACTATATATAGAATTGATGAAATAACACGTTAAATACTTTAGAACATTTCAATTAAATATTTTCTTTATATATATCTTATTGAGTATAATCTTAGGAATAGACGGGGGTGGGGCAGGGTAGACTGGAGGGGGTAGTTGTAGCAGTATAAGCAATATGTTATAGGACATAATACTGGGTTTCTTTTTAAAGGGGGTAGGGGTTTGATATTGAATTTATCGTTAAGTCCTCCTTTTCTACACCTAATTAGGTTAAAGAAGATGGACAACACCATGAAGTGTGCAATAAGAGAAATTTTGTCAGACAGACAGTGGCAATAGCCTACCCTTTTCAATTTTTAACTGTCTAGGGATCTTTAACGTACACATATTGTAGCACACAGGGCCTCGGTTTATTGTTCCATCCGAACGCAATACCCTTTTTCCAAACCAGCCCGTTGCATTGCTGACAGGGGGAACGGGTGTGAAAAATCAACCTATGCCTGGGATTGAACCTACAAAAGCTACTCATATGTGTATTTATATGCAGATTTGTAACTTCTCAATTAAATGTACTTTCCTTTCGATTATAATCGACACGCCATTTCTTGATAAAAGTACAAAAAAATTTCAACAAAAAGCTTGAAGATGTTGGTTAAGATATCAATAAGTAAAATTTGTTAATTTCATTCAATAAAAGTAGACGATTTCAGTGTAGACTACAAACTATTTTAAAGTATTTTTTTCTGTTTACAGTTGAGT